AGTCACAAATTAATTACCTACGATTTGATATTTGGGCAACTCATTTTGGATTTTTTGAGAATCTGAACTTTTTACTGTAGAATATACACACGAGAACCATTTTTCCACCAGCCATAAATGATCAAAGATCAGATATTACATTTTTGATTCATTTTAAAATTTGGGCAGAATGAAAAAAAGAATAAAAATAATAAAATAGTATTGAAAATTTTGGGCAAAATCAAAAATAATTAATTGATGCCCAACCGGCGTGTTGGTGCTATGCATTTGCTGCATGGCAGTGCGGCACATTGATTGGTGGTCCCGTTCTCGGCACAAGAACGGTGACGTCACAGGGTGTACGAACTTTTTCTGCGCGGTTGGTGTCTGAAAGCAGCCAGTGGACACTACCGGGCTTCTCCCTGCCGCTATACCGGCCGCTGCTTTTGGCACCGGCTACGGCACTTAGGTCCTACCGAGTGGAAACTGCTCTTCTTGTGGCATCCGCGTCGCAAGAAGTGACGTCACAAGCAATCAAACACGGGATTGGGCCATGGGCCGTCCGTACGGTGTACCTCAACGAGCCTCGGCCGAGGCAACCGTCCATTGCCATCCTCGCGTGGCGGCCGCCCTCGGGAGTCCGTCCGGAGTCCTAGTAGGTACCTAGACTCGGTACCGTAGGTACTACTACCTACGGTAGTAACCTACCTATCCGATAGTACCGTGTGAGAATGGGTTGCGACTAGGTACCTAGGTACCCCGCTAGTTCCGTAGGGCCGGTACTCTTGGCGACTCGCTGCATCCGAGGATCTAATCTAGGAATGCCGTACTTCTCGGACAGCCACCGTACTTTCAATGCAAATCTCGAAGTTTGCGATGTCGCAGCGTGATTGCGCCGCCAATCGGAAGTCATGACATTGAAAACTACCTACCATAGCTGCCGCGCATGAGGAGAATTTGAATCAGACCTATAGCTTGATCTGTGAGGGTGGAGGGTATAGTTACCGTAGATGCTTCTTCAAACTACCAGCATGTTAAGTGCACTCGGGCCAGCACCCCCACTGGGCCCCTCTTGCGGAGGTCTTGCGGCCTTTGCGTCATTACATGGATGAAGATGAGGTGCATTGGGACAATATGACCTTACAAGTTGTTGCATGTGGAAAGCCATCCAATGCGCGGCAAGGACACCATGCTTGCAAAGAGCATGCATATCAAAGATGAGACCAAGTCCGACTTCGTATTCTGCATCATTAAAAATGATACATAGAGAAAAGATGGAAATCAGACAGTGTTAGCGGCAATTCATCGAAGAGAATCTTGATCCCACTGCATGCCAAGCCGGCCAGAACTCAAATCGTCTTTTCGGTGTCATACTCACAAGCTCCGTGACAGAGGCCGTCAACCCCAACGCTCCACTCAGCGGATTTCAGATCGACGTATCGAATCATCTTTTTGCTCGTTTATTCCTCAGAGCGTCGAGCGCCTCCTCTCCGAGGGAGCCAATCGCCCCTGCGCCGGACCCGTCCGGTCGTTGCACCGCCTGCTGAAGTTGCTTCACCGTCTCCGCACTTATGCCCGACCCGGCCAGATACGTATGGTGCATCGCACGTGGCTGAAGGGGTTGCTTAACTAGAGCGCGGAGCTTTGCCTCAAGCGTTTTTGCGTCCCCGGGCGCGGGGGCCTTGTCATCGTCGATTCGGACCTTGCCCTTTTTGGACGTCCGGGATTGCGCCTCCAGCTCGTCCGCGTCTAGTTCGATGCCCAGCTCCTCGGCGTGCTTCTCGAGCCAGGTGCGCTTCGCTTTTGTCTGCGAAAACCCGTGTGCAGAATCAGAAAGTTGCTTCGAAAGCGTCTCGAGACTGGATGTGCTTCAGATTGTTCTACGTTGATCTGAAGAGATTTTGAAAAAGGTAGCAGGAAAGTGTGTCGGTCTTTGTCGGTCATTAAATCTTGAACGTGTAGCAAGTGCTAAGCAGGGGCCAGCCCGGCTATGAGGTGGTCTATGAAAGATCCGAAACGAAAGAGTCCCTTTTGTCTAGTCGGAGGTCCATTGGAAGCAGCTCCATTCAAGCGATACGCTGGGCTGTCGTTTACAAAAGCGCGGCTTTCAAGAACAGCTTTGTGCATGCGATGGCTGAACCGCAGCCCTCGCCCTTCGCTGAAAAGTGCCCCCTCTTTGAAAGAGTTTCCGTCTGCCCTCCGGTGCGTGCAATCAAAAGTCGAAATACTTTCCTCAAAGAGTTTCTAACCGCTCTTTGCAACCGCAGTCTCAATGTCAAATCAAACAAGTCCCGTTTTCCACACACGTTTCTAAAGGAAACTTTCACAATAACCAAGACCAGCAAATCACACGGTCCGACCAACTCGGTTGCTGCAGCGAAGCGTCGCCTCACCCCCCAGCTTCACTTTTGCCAGCACCGCCGGCATGTACGTTTCGTTGAACGGGACTTCGAAGAAAATGGCGCGAACGTAGGACCCGAAATCCGTGGAAACCCAGAAATGTTGCAACAAAAACCGCCCCGCCTACTGCTGTTGCCGCAGCGAATCGTCGACCTTGATCGCAAGCTTCGATTATTCCATCTAAGCTCTTCAAACTCAAATCTCCGGACAAATAGGCGGCGCGCGAACCGCTTGACCTGACACCCGAAAAACTCTGAAAACCTCAAAAACTGAATCCCAAAATCCCAACGCTAACCCACCTGCTGCTGCTGCCGCAACGAACCGTCGACCTTGATCGCCAGCTTCACTCGTTCCAGAACTGCCGGCATGTACGCTTGATTGACCGGGAAATCCGGAAGGCCGCTCTCCTTCCCGAGCGCCTTACACAGCGCGTTCAGCTTCGGACGCTCTGACGGCGACACGATTGCCACGCTCACGCCGTCCGTTGCTGCGCGGGCCGTCCGGCCGCTCCGATGGACGTAGATCTGCGGACGGGCACGGTGCTTGACACAAATGACTGAGCCAAATGCACTGACAAGTTAACCCATCAAGGAAGATGGTGTGATGTTTCGTCATTGAAAAGCTTTGGCTCTTTAGATTGCGAACGACGGCCGTAGGGAAGCAGTTCCTGAGAAGATGGTTCCCTCCTTTCAGCAGCTAGAATATCGGAGAAATTGGTTCCTTCATTTGGACCGTATTCTGGTTTAAAGTTCCTGAAGATCTATCAGAGCAGACAGCGGAATACGTTCATGATCAGAGCAGCTAGACGCCCGAACAGGTGAAGACTTTACACGAACATAGATCAACCGGAAAAGCTGCTGACTCTTCACCTGAGCTGCGGCTAACAACTGATAGTGGACCAAGAACTGCCACATTTTCGAGCGTCTCACCTCGGTTGACAGCGGCAGCTGGTAATGAATGACGCAGCGGATCCCCACAATGTCGAGCCCCCGCGCGGCCACGTCGGTTGCCACCAGCACGCCGTGCTCCTCTTTCTTGAAGCGGTCCATTGCCTTAAAGCGCTGCCGCTGCTGCATCTGGGCGTGGAGCGGCCACGACCGCACCTGTGATGACATAATGCATCCGTCAGCAAAAGCGGCAACCCATCAAACTTTGAAACCGACAACGTTCCGGCGAGATCACGACCGGTCTGAAAGCGATTTATCGCTTGAACCGCTGCCGCTGCTGCATCTGAGCGTGGAGGGGCCACCACCGCACCTGTGGACGAGACTACGATTGTCCGAAAAGGCGACCTGGAAGGCGACATGTAATGTTCGATCGAATTTTTGATCCATGTCGATTTGTTGTTTTGGTCGATTGTGATCTATTTGATCAACTTGCAAGCAAAAGGTTTCGCGGCCAGATCGCCCAGATTTCAAAACGGTCCATGGCACCGTATCGTTGCGGCTGCTGCATCTGACCACGACCGCACCTGTCACGACCAGAAACCTTCCGATCCATTTTTGATGCGAATTCACTTTGCGAGACTTGTACGAAAAAAATTGTGCCATTTACCTACAGGGGCCACAGTTACTGGAAATGGTCCGAATGGCCTTCATCCGAAGCATCTGGGCGGGACCGTTCACTTGGGGACTGCGCGTTGAGCGCGAGCAGAGCTTTACTACATCAATCGTCGGAAGTACGCTGAGCAGTTCGTTTTCACCAATGCTTGAAATATTCGATATCGAGAAGCCGGATCGTGATCCGTGTCGTCCGACGCAGTTTAACGTTGTGAGTGACTTTCTCGCTGCACCACCCGGGCGGGTTTTTCCCTGCGTGAGTATCTGTGCGGCGCAGCTGGTTTGAAACTTTGGATTCTCCGGTCTTCAGCCGTCTTCTAGAGCTGTCTTCTAGAACCTCAGGGAAAGCTCGCAACCCACGGGCTTGAGTCTCTTCAACGTTGGACCCTGACCGAGTCTTGGAGCTATTCCGGGAGAGCAGCCCACCGATGAAGGAACGCCCAAGCAGATCGGAACACAACGGACCGGAACGGAAAGGATTCTCGAGCCTCATTACCTGGAGGAGCTGCAGGAGCGCCGCGATGCGACGGACGGCGGAGATTGCGGTGCAGAAGACGATCGTACGGCTGGGATGCATCTTCAGCAGATAGTACAGGTACGCGTCCTTTTCGGTCTCCAGGCACTCGATCGCGGCTTCCTCTAACTTGGCGGCGACAATGGAGGCGCGGGTCAGGTCTACAATCGCGGCTCGGCGACTGAGCCCTGGAAACCAGAAAGGGGGTGAAAGCCTGAGCATCAGTAAGACATCATCGGTGTGGCCTGGAAAATAGCTCAGTGAGTGAGGAGGTAGAAGGGGGAAAAAAAAGGAAGGAAACTCTAGAAGCAAAGCCACAACTGTGGGATTTTGACAATTACGGCGTCAGAGACAAATCACAATCTCAATGACGCCGCAGGTTGGAGTCGAGAAGAGGTGCAAAGATGATGGGATGGGATTTGCCGCATAAGTGGACGATAAAGGAGAAAGAAAGGAAGCAACACCTAGAAGGCGAGAGGGCGTTGGTAGGAACGCTAAGAAGACACCAGCGCGCTCAACTAGCTCTGAAAGCTGCCTCTTTCTCTTTGCTTATGCCTTCAATCTGGAGCAAACAACGATTCTTTATAGATCCTTCAGAGCAGACAAGGGAAAGTAAAGTAAAATAAAGAGTGTACAGAACCGGAGAAATGCGGGTGTACAACGAGAGGCTATAGGGCAGCTACGAACAAGCACACAACCTCGGAGAGCGTACTACAGAGAAGAGAGAGGAGGAGAAATTGGGAAACAGAGGGAAGAAGAAAGAGGAAGCAAAACCCGGAAGAGAAAGCAGAAAAGCGCACCCGCTCGCTCAATCAGCGCCGCGACTTGCCCCTGTTCCCGCCGCATCGGCGCCTTCCCCGCGCCTTTCAGCTTCTTCTTCAGCGAGGGGGGCACCATGAGCGTCGCCGAGAACACGAACGTCTGGCGTTGCGCCACGTGTTTCGTCTGGGGCGTTTCGGCGACCGTGTCCTCTTCCGGGGGGTCGGACTCGGCTGGCGGGGCGCCCCCCTGCTTCGGGAGCGTGTCGATGATGGACTGGAGCTCCTTGAAATGGCCCTTCTCGACCATACGGTCCGCTTCGTCGAGGACGAAGAAGCGGAGATCGTCCACCTGTAAGAGAAACCTCTCAGTCCGTTTTCTTGGTTTTAAGATAAATCTTTGGGTAAATCTTTGAGTATACAAAGTCTTACCAATGCTGTCGCCACTGCAGGCATTCTGTTCCTCTATCCAAAAGATCCGCTGATTTGTGTGCGACTGCCTTCCTACGTTTCCACTGCCACTCTAAACTCCAAACAGATATGCCTTTAGACTGAGATGAGGGTTGGTACGACTCCTATCAGCACTGGGGTATTGGATCGACACGTCACAAATTGGTGACCACAACGGATCGCAATAAGATGGTTACCTGTAAGAGATGCTGCTCCCCCTCGCTTATGAGCTCCCATAAGCGCCCGGGCGTCCCGACCACGACCGCCGGCCGCGAGCGGAGCAGTCGCTGCTGCTTAGGCACAGCCATACCGCCGACAATCGCGACGATCCGAATAGAAGTCTCCTGGGCCGCGGCTTTCAGATGGCTGCAAACCTGCGCAAGGTGAGGAAAAGAAGTTGGGTCACCATATCGCTGCAAATCTGCGGAGTTTTCGAGACGGATTCCGAGATGGTTACAGAAAAGTCGCGGCGCCGGATGGGTGCAAAGCTCCGCAGGGTAAGGAGAAGGTTAGGAGACCGTTGCGGCACCAGATGGCTGACAATCTGCGGCGGTTTCGAGATGGTTGAAAGAGACTCGGAGCACCAAATCAGATGACAGCAAACCAAGGAGGTGCCGAGAAGGTAAGGGTTAAGCTGGGGCAAATAGGAGGTGTCATTCTTTCTTTGTTCTTTTTTGCCCTGTTAATGTTTGCTTTCAGGGTTTATCCAACCCGTCCAGATACGACCTGGGTTGATCACTTCCGGGCTGTGAGGCCCAAAGTGTCCAGGTCATCAAAGAGCCGGACTCGGTGCGTTTTGCCTTGGAGGATTCGACTTAAGATGATAGCATCCATGTCACGCCGCAGGCTTTCCGCCCTCCGCTCGCGCAATGAATGTTTTCGATAGTTAACGGATTGTCGGCACGCCCCCACTTCTAGAAAGAAAAGTAGCGAGGGTGGTCTTCTCGTCGCAAAAGCTTGCTCCTGCGCTCCCCTTACCTGCAGCGCCAGCTCCCTCGTCGGCGTCATGATCAGCGCCCTCAGGGGACTTCCGCGCTTCTTCCCGTCCGCATCCGGACCATTCCGCTTCCGCTGGGCGCGATCCGCTTCCGCTAGCTTCCGTTCCTTTTCCTCGATCTGCAACAGTCGGTGCAGGATCGGCAGCCCGAAGGCGAGCGTCTTGCCGGAGCCCGTCTCAGCGGCACCCACGAGGTCCTGAGGAGGCGCAAAGCGGCTTCTTTTTAGGAACGAAAGAGATCGAAGCACTTCAAAGGTCTGACTGCTTGGCAGTCCGAACGCGAGCGTTCTGCGGGAGACCGCCTCGGCTGCGCCGACGAGATCCTGACTTAAAAGGCGCAACCAGGATTGGAATTCTCCCAGAACGTCCGTTACGAATACGAGAATCATATTGTTCGAAGGTCTGACATCCGATCCGGAATCGAGAGTCTTGCCGAAGCCCGTCTCAGCGGCACCCATGCGGTCCTGAAAAAGCGCAATCAGGCTTGCTGTGTTTTGGAAGTTCGGTTTAGGACCCTGACTAGTCGTACAAAGGTCTGACTGATCGGCAGCCATAACACTACCATCTTGCCGGAGCTTGTCTCAGCCGCTCCCACAAGGTCCGAAGAGAGCGAGGGGAAAGGTCCATGACTTCCAAATCGAAGAGCGGAACTGCCACACCGTCAGACATTCTGTAGCATCCCGGACGTCCAAAAATTCAGGTGATTCGACGTTCTCCCGAGAAATCTGGTTGTACGGGCCAGCATCTTGCTCCAGCTGGCGTCAGTGAAGATTGAAACTTGCCAGATATCCACTTTTCAAAAGAAAGCCGGACTAACTTGTCGAATAGCACCTCCGCACCCTCGGAGGAAGGGAGGTGCCTCAAAGTCACAAGTTGGTAATAGCTTCCAGGTTCCGAAACGCCCCGAAGCAAGCATCTTGCCAGACCCCGTGTTGGTCACACACAAACAGCTCTGGAGGAAATCAACAGTGGCGAATCAAGGTCGGTTGCTTCCTCCTGCTAGATTCACAAATTTCAGGAAGCGCGACCTTTCATAATAGCATCCACCAGAATACTTCAAAACACGCAAAAGATCCTAGCATCAGGCACCAAAACCCTTGTGACACCTCGCGCAAATCCCCTCGAATCTTCCGTCACGTCAGGATCTCAAGAAAACGAGGCCGAATCGACATGGGACCCCAAACGCTCTACTTTCAAAAGGCAGCCTGCAAAACCCGACCCCCAAAACCTTCCAGCCTGGAACCCAAAACCCCGCCTCTCACCTTCCCCTGTGTCAGTGCTGCCGGTATGCACTGCTTCTGGATCTCCGTCGGCTGCGAAAAGCCCAGCTTTGCCAGCCCCTTGAGCAACAGCGGATGCAGCCCAAACTCTTCCCATGCCGAGACATCGCACTCCGGAGTCCCCGCTGCCCCCCCGCTGCCTCTCCGCTCCTCTCCAATCTCCTCTTCCTCTTCTTCCCCTTCGTTTCCTGGACCGTCATCAGCCCCCGTTTCGAGTATCTTCCGCTTCTTCTTCTGAACCTTTTCGTCAGTTTCCAACCCCCCATTCTTGCTCTGCTGGTTTGCAGTGCCTTCCCCTCGCTGAGAAACCGTCCCCTCCGGCTTTTTTGCCGACCCTTTCTTGCCCGACGGTCCCACGAGTCGGGGGCCACTAGCTGTCTGCCCCTCCGTATCCTCTTCAGGTTTCGTACCCGTTGGTGCCGCTACAGGGCCCCCATTTTCCCCTGCTTCTTTTCCCTTCGCCTTTTTCGCCTTTTCTCTTTTGCTGAGCTTCGCCTCACGCGGAGCGCTCTTCTCTTCTTCAACCTTCGCCTCACCACCCGTCATTGCACCGTCCAATCCTGACGCGCCACCTGGCGCCTCACCAGCATCCGCCTCCATTCCTGCGCTCTCAAGATCTTCCGCCCCCCCTTCTTCCACCATCTCTACCGTCTCTGTTTTTACCCCCCTGAAAAGTCCAGGGTCCAGCTTCGATCCCGCCCTCTGCTGCTCCAACCGCTGCCGTCTCTTCTCTTTCTTCCGCTTCTTGATCTCCGAACTCGTCATCTTCTTTGCCTTTGGCTTCTGAGCCTTCTCAGACTTGACAGAGGCCGCAACACTCCCCAATCCGTTTTCTTTCGCCGCAGCCCCTGACACAGGCTTGCTCGCCTTCTCCATTGCGTCCCCCTTTTTGTCTTTCCCCTTCCCCTTCCCATCCGTTGCTTCTTTGGTCCCGTCCATGCCTGCCTTCCCCGTCTTTCCCCCCAGCTTTGCCGCTGCTTTGGCTGGAGCGAAGTTCTTTCCGGGAGCGCTTTCAGTATCCTCCGGAGCATTTTCTACGCTGGCTGCAGCCACATCAAGCTTGGCTCCCTTCTTCTTCTTGGCAGCTTTCTCAGTCACCACCCCCTTTGCCCCCACAGCGCTCTCGAGAGCCTCCTCCGCTTTCCTTTTCTTTCCATCCTTTGGTGTGCCCTTCTTTGCACCCCCCACATAATTGTCAAAAATCTCCCCGTCGATTTCTTCCAGGCCCATGAAGCCTGCAGTACAAAAAGGGGGTTCAGAGAAATATCAGAAAGAGTCGCTTCCTCTGATGCAAAAAGCAACCTTCCGTACACGAATTGGTCTGGGCAATATCCCGACAAGCATTCTAACCGACTCTCACTCAATCTATTGAGTTGAACCGAGAATATCCAACTTGTGTTAGGCAGACTGTCGCGGAAGCAGCGCTAGCTACTCAATGACCATTGATCGAGTGGGTGCGATTGAACCATTTCAAGACTTTTTACCACCATTTTGCAATTGCTGCAGACGCGTACCACCTGTACTCATTGACTGTTCAAAAGACCCATCGGCATGCACGTCTTGCACCACTGAGGATCCATGGGTTTCTTGCGTGATTTTTTGATGGATGGATCGAAACCCTCTCAGTAAATCTTTTGTGGCAGCAACAACTTGATTCCCTAAAAGAATTTTGGAAACGGCACTTTCCTTGACCACCAATTCACAAGGATATATTTTGAATCAACTTTTAGGTATTGGAAATATCAACAAGTCAAAAGCGCTGCTTCTCCAAGTCACAAACGATGTACTTCTACACATATTCTGGTAATGGTCCCACTACATCGCCAACCCAGAAAGTCGCCCCACCTCCTTCCTCCGCGCCCGTGAGGAACTCATCGAAGCTGGCGGGAGACGCATCATGCCAGTCTAGTTGTTCCACCCATCCCGCAGTCTTGGGCTTCTTCACCTGCTGTCCCCAGATGACACCTTTGGTGCCCTCCTGCGGCGGCTCGGCCGCATCGGCTTCAGGCGCCTCCGTCGGCTTAGTTTTCTTACGCGCCATCTTGAAAAGCGAGCTCCTAATGAATGAGAAAAGAGCAAAGAATGCCAACAAGTTCTCCTTGCAACAATGCCCTCCTTGCAACAATGCAAGTCTGCTTTGTTGCAAATCCAGGCTGCAAATCCAGGCTCTAGCTGTAGTAGGGGGAATTAGGGTTTTGCAGCCCTCTCGAGGGGCGAAAAAGAGCACCCCTAAACACGAACACGGGTTGACCAAACCGTATGTAGACCATCGAAACATAGCTTTCAAATTCAGGTGTGAAAAGAAATGGCCGCTTTCGATTCGACAATCGCGGGTTTCGCTAGTCGCAAGGAACAAACCTTGCTCCAGCACAACTTCCGTTGAACAAGTTCAAGCGCAGGAAGAAGCTTCCCAGAATCCCACCTTCAAAATTCCAGAGAGGAACAGCTCACATTTGCCAATCGCAGACGTGCTTGAATTGCTTGTTTATGTCTTGATTTCAGTGAATTGAAGCAGATTAGCTTGGCAGTTCTTCCACTAATGCCCCAGCATTCATGGCGTGCATTGCATGCAACAGGTCTTTGAGCTCAGCCCTTGCGAGGATCTCACAGACGTCCCCCCCGCACCATAAAAACCCTCAGGTTGTCGCCGCTGCTCGCCTCCCTACCCATGCCCACTCCAAAGGCAAGGCCTTCCAAAGAAGAGGTAAGCAATGTGCGCAATCACTAAGCAGAATGAACGGCTTAATTGCCAGTAGCTCGTTTGCAGACATCACTGAGTTGACAAGTGCGGGGCTGTGCGATGTCGGCACATCGGCGCCGCTCTTGGGCCGGAGGCGCGGGCGTACTTTTGCCAGTGCGAGCGAGGGGGGGCGGGCGGAGGAGGATGCGAGCGGCAAGACGGCTAAGATTGTGGTGGCTGCTGCGATGACGACGGCACTGGCAGTGGCGAATAGAGTACTTTACAAAGTGGCCTTGGTGAGTACTTTGATTGCGAAATTGCCCTCAATCTGATGTGGAGGTCCCCGTTTTTCCAGCTCTGGGAAGTCATTGGTAGTTTGATGGAGATGAGGACTTTGGAATTTGATTTGAATGCCGCCAACGTGGCTGATAGTTGAGCTTGCCTTGTGCTGGGGACTAGTGAGCGCCGAGGTCATCAGAAACGGCGTTTAGAAGGGGCAACTGCGACGGGCGCCCATCGTGCGAGAGATGGCCACAAGACGTCCAATTATGCTTGGTTGTTGTTACTACCCCAACCAGATTAGAGCGAAGTATTAGCTTTGACAAGCAAGGGTGGTTCAAGAGGTAAATGAATGTCTGCAAATGGTGCCTGTGCGGGGAGGGTCCAATCAAGAATGCAATCACTGAAACCGAATGTCCCTCTTCTTTCAGGTTCCCCTGAATGAGTATCCATTCTTTCTGGCGCAGCTAACAACGTTTGGGTGAGGTACACTGGACTATTTGGCTCTTGCAACTTGGAAAGAACTAATTCCTTGCTGTAAAAAGCACTCAGTCAATAAGCCAATGGCAAGCTGTTGAACCACTTATCAAGTCAACCCCCGTCTTTGTCCCGACTTGAATATCCGGTATATGACGATTGTCAGCCATGTGATAGGGGAGATTGGATCCGCATCTATAGGTCCCCCAGCTAGCTGAAAATTCTAAAATTCCTCACTGCTTCCCACTTCGTGACTTGTGACTAAACAACAGGATTATTGTTAGTCAATCAATATGTCGCTCTGACGCTTTACGGAAGTAACATGGTTGAAGTTGCGCATCGCAATTGAGACTCTTATGTACACCTTCAGGCATAACACTCCCCCCAAACCCTTGAGGTTGGCCCCGTCAACTTCTATAATTTGACAAAGCACAAGCGCAATGGCACCATCGGGATTCTCGCAGTCTCTTGTGTCCCAATTTGATAAGCTTAAAAACTCTGTTATCCTTAAAATTCAAGGCAAAGTCGTCTCTTTCCAGCATTCACCAGATCCTTAACCAGTTTCTCTTAACCCACAGTTACGTCCTGGTTTACTTCTCGGTCCTGGCAGCGCGCAAGCGCATGGGCATCGTGACGGACGAAATGCTCGCCATTCCAAAGAAGCGCTTTGTGGCGATGGGCGCCCTCGAAGCGGTGTCACTTGCGATGGGCATGGTAGCAGCCACGAAATTGCCCGGCGCAATCATTCCGATCCTGTCACAGGTGGGGCTTTCTTCATTGTGGGGTTTTCCTTTCTGCAGAGTTTTGGAAGATAAATGCTTCTCCTTAAGCTCCTCCGTAATATCGAGATCGAACTCGTCGAATGTAAAATCGATCATCCAAGTTGTGGCGAACTCAGTCTACTGTTCACATCAAAAGTCGACTTGGTTGTTCGCTTGATATCAAGTGTTTCGATGTGCTCGCTCACATTGTCTGAACAACTCAATCATTGCTCGATTGATAAGGTCAACTTGGTCGATCAACTCGACTTTGATCCATTGATCCCGAGTAACGATGTCGAATGACAGCAGTCTTGAGGCCCTTTCCAAAGTGTCTCCACCTCTTTCGAACTATAATACCCCTTTTTTACCCTCCTTGGCAGACTTTCATCATCTGGCAACTATCGCTGTCCTCCCTCATCCTTGGAACCCGGTACCAACCGGGACAGCTTTTTGGCGCGCTTCTCGTGTTGGCTGGTGTGGTCATCGTCGTTGCGAGCGGGAACGACGCGGGGTCTGCTTTCCAGGAGGCCGGGAAGCTATACCCCGCTCTGTATACGCTATCCACCGTGTTTCCAGCGGCCTCAACTATTCTGAAGGTGAAGCTGCCAACAAATCGACAGACATTTGTGATTTCGAAAAGAAGAGTGGACATCTTGCACCCGATCTGCCAGCTTTGACGACGAGAAGGGCGTCGCTGCAAAGGCCAGAGTTTTAAGCTCTGACACTCAGAACAATCTCAAAGAGCCCGTTGAAAAAGGTAGAACTTTATCTGCTTGTCCAAGGGGCCACAGAAAGACACGATTTGGGTCCTGGTCACCGGAAAGCGCAAGAACGCGGTGAAGGCAACTCAAACAATTAGGTCTTGCCTCTTGAGGAGCCCCGCGAATGGCTTGAATTCAAACCTGTGTTACCTTCTCCAAGAATTTAGCTTCTTACTGATTTGTTCTACTTTTCTCCTTCGCAGGAGGGTGTGTTTAAAGAGGCCAAGGAAAAACTGAAGGTAGGTTTGTGGTCACCGCATTCCTTTTGTTCAGGGTCTGCCCCGCAATGATAGAACTGACGATTGGGCCCACGAGTCTCTCAACAGTGGAAAACGAATCTTAGACAGTTCTGAAAGCGAATGTCCATACTACAGTTTGCCTAATATTAAAAACAAATCTTCAGCAAGGCCCTAGACGGCGGGTGCTTAGACAGCAAGCTCTGTTACCGGGGATTTGCAAACCGCTTCTTGGGACACTTTCATAAGTCAGCGGGGGATTGTGAGGCTGCGCTTTTGAGTGCGAGCTTGCGTTCGAGTTGAAATCTGGCTTTCCATCAATCCTTTCGGGCGGAACCTTGTGTAGAGTGACGAGTTTGGCTATAAACGGACGCAGCCCAAGCGTGCAATACTCAGCGCAAGCTTCCTGCTTTGGTGTCTGTTCTCAATCTAGTTCTTTTCTGCAGGGCAGTGACCTGGACCTGTTCGTCGTCAACTCGTTTGGGTCCGGCTTCCAGGTACGTACCGCTTCTGAACGCGCGAACAACGCCGAAAAACAATTGCCAGACTGGCTAATGCTGTAACGTTCTTCTGAGATGTCATGTCATTTGGAAACGGAAACCCCGCCTTGTCGTATTTTGACATGCTTTGCTGGCATGCGCAGTCGTCCTAAGATTTGCGACTTGCTCGAGATCGTTGAGCTTCTCTTGCGGATCAAAAAACCTTCATTCCTTTATCCTCAACAACCTCACTGTCGGAGTCGAGAATTCCTAATAAAAGAGTACTTGGTCAGATGGAGACGTTGGGCTTACAAGCGACTGCCTCTGGTCTGACGGCGCAACGTCCATAACTATGATAGCATCGTGTTCCAATCCGTCGTTATGACGTCTCGGTTGGGTCTCACACAGCATGCTGCTGCAATAGGTCCCTCGTCACAGTATTAAACACCTTTTCAAATGTCATAACAATCCCCCATTGGAGATCTTCCCGTGCAGGCCATATTTGTCCTTTTGCTCCTCCCTTTCTTGTCCGGCATCAAGGGGATCCCCTTCTCCCAGCTCCCGTCATACCTGAAAGCGGGCACTGCCTGCTTCTTCAACACAGGCGACGCGGTCGGTGAGTGATCAGAGTGGTGTTTGAGATCTTACGCTAAGCGCAATTCAAAAATACGAAGGGCATCGAGCGAAGCGTCGAAACCAAGCTCTTACAGCATGGCATAGTGGTCACCCTGGTAACTGCCATTTCACTTAAGAAGCATCTGTTTGAAGATAAGCGCCCGGGAGACGGGTGGGGTTTGTTGGGTGGTTAGGGTGGGTTCGGGTGCGGAGCGCGTAAATGTTTGCATCAGGGTCTCTAGAATGCACGGTTGACCGTATCCCGGTGAAACGGGTCTTAAGCGAATTAGGAGTTAGCGGTATGTAGTGGTCGTGATCGCCATCCGCACTCGATCACCGCAGCTGGCTGTGATGGCATTGAAATAATTCCAAGCATTACATGTACTCATACGAGTCTCAAGATTGCAATGAAAATTCGGGACCGTTTGTTGATGCAGCACTAGCCGGTTCTGGGACTTTCCTGTCGCGCCAAGAAAGGAGCGGGTGATTGGTTTGCTCGAGCAGCTTCGGGTTTAGCGTTTGACTTCTTGTCGTTAGGGCTTTGGATTGCATATGACTCTTCGGCGTGCTGGTTGGCAGCTTTGAGAAAGAGAGAGGTTTAGATGACATTCATGCGTGTTGACGTCGTTGAAAAAAATCTGCTGACAGCGCTTTGTCGTTTTGGATGTGCAGGCTGCGACGGGGCGCCTTGGCTGCCCTTCTTGTACGTGGCAAGCAACCTGGCGTTTAATGTGTCGGCGCTCAACCTGCTCAAGATGTCGTCAGCAATTGTGTCATCATTGACCATGACGTTAGCAGGTGGGTTTCTCTTAAGTTTTTGAAACTATTTAACTGTTGTGCATAGAAGATCAAGTCTATTCTTTTTTCATAGTAGGAGTTTCTCGCAGTCGATGCTAGATTGCAAACCCCGGAAGCTTCAAGTCCTGAGTCTCATGCAAGAGTCTTGTGAATAGATTCTGCGTCATTGAGTGGCAGCTTGCACAAAAGAAACAGACTGAAGCAGTTTCCGCTGTTCAGCATGTAGATACATACGCTTTTGCTGACGAGCGACTTTCTTCCTTTCCCTGCAGTGCCGTTGACCATCTTTGCGTTTACGTTCCCAATCCCGTACTTAGGATCGCCCGCACCTCTTCCCCCGGGCTTCGCAATCGGATCCGCCGTGCTGATTCTAGGTTTGCTCGCATACAACGTTTCCAAGCGGAAATAGCATTGGGTGGGCGAAGCTCGACTATCATTCTTTTAGCATGTTTGATACTTGTCCATCTGACCTGAGACACAGGTCAGATGGGCGATTCAAATTTGAACAGATGTACTTGGTGTTACAGAGCTTCCTTACTCAGTAGTGGCTTAGTGGTAGGCTCCTGGTAGACAAATGTGCACGCTGAGGTTTTTTTAACACTTTTTCTTGCAATGATACTTGCAGGGACCTAAGTTAATGTGTAGACAAGTACTATCTTCAATCGTGCATTTATACCTTCTCCCTCATACGGTATCTCAAGGAGCTAGCTGCTAGTGGTCTCAGTTGCACCCAGTGCCCCACCTTTTCTGCCTTCAGGCAACGCACGCAGGGTGGTTATTCACAGCCGCCGTCTTTTGTACGTACCAGAGCCTTCTGTCCGAGTCATACTATTTTCGTTGCGTGCGGCGCATCAAGGGCCGGCCATGACCCTTACCGCGCCGATCAGGCGGCCGCGCTTCATCGGATGGTTTACCGGATGTGTTCAAGTTCCGGTCCGGTTGGATTGAGCCGTCGATGTACACGGTCTCCCCATCGATGGTTTGAGCGAACGAAAATCGGAAACTGTCTCAGCTTCTGTGGCCGTCGATGTCTTTGTTTCAGATGCCGGCAAGTTGTAGGAAGCAGTTGGGCGTACAGTTCTATCACCTTGTACGCCGTATTAAAGCAGCTGTGCCGTATACAGTAGATAGGTAGGTACCTATGCCTGGGTGGATACATTGTATCATACAAGTACCGGTATCGGCTAATATAAACAAGTACTGTCGGGGGTGCTGCGCACAGTGGACACCTTTCGAAGCCCTGCATCTGCTGCGGGCCTGCGAGAAGTCGAACGCCAACTCAAGAGCCTGCCAGACTCCTGTGCTTGTCTCGGTATAGGTAATAGGCACCCAAAAGAGCAATAGCTCTTGCAAGGCTGGAACATGACAAGGTGACCACCAACGTGAAGCCACAGATGGCCTGGGCAGCTTTGAATGTTGGACAACGTCAGCTTCCGACTTCAAGCCTTGAACTTAGCCCACAGCTCATCATCACCACCCGGCCTGAGTCTCAGTGAAAGGCCGTATCTGAATCAGGTATGCAGAGATTGATCGATGAGCTACTACTAAGAGTGGAGAAGGTAGCTTTCGGCTTCTGCATTCTGTGTCAAATTGACGACTCTTAGAAATAACAGCGGGGGCTTCTGATCTTTAGAGGTGCTTTCCACTTGCAAGGTTGATAAGAAAGCTCAACCATGAAGGTAAAGTGAGGTCAGAGCTAGAGCAATAAAAAGGAGTCACCAATGGCTCCTACAGCTGAGGCTGTTGCTGTGCGACCAATATCCGCCACCAATCAAAAAGGTGAGAAGACGGCCAGCTTCTATGAATTTCAAAGTAATGAGCTCCAGCATGTGTTGCACCACAGAAGTTAGCGTCGCCCAAGCGTAATTGGGGGAAGGTAACAAGGGGTTGAAAATTGGGCATACATAGTGGCACTAAGAAGCTTCCATGGTTGTGCCAGGTGTAGCCCGTTATGGACAACGCACTGCTGAAGCAGAAACTTTGAGATGAAGCGACAGAGGGGGCATAATCCGAAAAAATTACCCGCTGGATCTCAAGATTTGTCTGCTGGAAAGGAAACTGTCAATCAGCCAGAACCTGGCTAATCTTGAGTCTGAAGAGTCAACCTGCCGATGTTTTGCAGGGCAAGCGGGTTTGCTCAACCGCGAGCCAATTATTTCAGACGGTACGCACGGTGTGGTGGGCACCAATGGTGCTACCAAGGTGAGCCGCCAGAATTGCCTTCTGGTTCCCGTTAAGCAGCGTTGTCAGTGGCAGTTTTTCCAACCATCACTAACTCAAAAGCGGAAAGCAGAACAACTTTCAAAGCTGGTACTTCTGTTGAGTACTTTTCATCCTCTGGAAAAGAAGAGGAGTCTCACATTTCTCTGCACCCGGTTTGGACAGGTGGACGCGTCTGCGGAACTACAGCCAGCCAAAGAGAGCCCCCAGGGAATGCAGGGCGAGCGGTGAGGGCTTTGTCTGTTGGTGGCATTCTAATAATCCTTGCTGTAAGTTTAAAGTCCGAGGGTAATTCCGTGGCCCCCATCCCAAGTGCCGGACAGCTGGCAAGCAGCTGCGTGTTCAGGAGAATGCTCAAACGATCTGAACCACGCCGCTGATGTCAGCGTCACCCAAGATTTTTATAGGCATTTCTCACTTCAACCCATCGGAGACTATGACCACTTCTAAGGTTACCTGCTGTTAGGTGTGCAAGGGCAGAGAGCCTGTAGCTTGGGCTCTTCAAGCCGATACCTTCAGAACTAACCCAGTAGAAGGGAGCGAGTCAAGGGAAATTTAGATGGGCCAATGACATGCTTCAAAGGAACCCGCAAGAAGTGGTCCGTCACTTTAAGTGGTTTCACTTACTGGAGACAACGAGACTAGCTACAGAGCAGTCCAAGTGTCAGCACTGTCGGGCACTGATTGCGTGGAGTCCAAAATGGGACTCAAATCCAGGAAGCAAGCATGGGAACATGTCAGTGCAAAAGTTGGGCCATTAAAGGTCCATGGAAGCACGCAAATTGACCCCTCCAACCACTCCCTGAATTGTCGGCTCCTTGCCTTTCGTCCCACAGGAATCGCCGCCTCTTTGAGATGCAAGACATTTTGACCCTGCTCGCGAATGAGGGGGTCAATCCCCAGGACTTGAGCCCCCCCGACCCGCGCTCCTCGGATCCGGGGGCTCCGAAACTCGCCCTTTCACACTTCGACAACACAGACTTCGAGACTAGACTCGGGGGGGGGTGGGTGAATAAGGCCTCGGAGGTCCCGGCCGAAGCGGCCCACGTGGATAGGGAGACGAAAGCGGTGACATGGCGGCCGTGCAAGGTGCTGGATTACCGGGAGGGGGGCAATGCGTACGAGGTGCAATGGGAGGGGGGGGAGGAGCGGGTATGGCTTCCCAGGTGAGGAGTTCAGAAGTCAAGTATTAAAAGGTCGTAAAGCTGATGGCAAGCGAAGCGAAGCTACCTGCTACTTGCGGCTATCTTGAAAAATGGATTATAAAGGGGCAATTTGGTTGCAGGCTAAGCGTCAGCTAGGCTGCTCAAGCGACTGCCAGGAAGGAGCAATTAAAGCACCAGTAAGATTGGGGGGACACCCCATTAAAAGGCCCGAGAGTTTAGGCTTCGAAGTATGAGAGTTGCGGAATCAGAGACCTGAACTGGGTTTTCAGGCCCTGGTACTAGTAGTGAATTCTATTTGTACAGTCCTCGCTTTGAGGAGTGGGGTTCTATAGGATTTGAAAGCTTCGTGAGCGACTTGGTTTTAGAGCGCAGGCTTACAGTGATAGGCGCCTACAATAGCAGCTCAGTAGGGCGACGTACGGGTGTCAAAACCCCTTGAATTGACAGGTCGTAAACGAAAGCTGTGCTAGGAAGCGCAACAAACATTGCGGTCTCTCGCATTGTGCGGTGTTAAAGAGTCGTGCTCGGCAAAGCAGAGACATGAGGGAGAGTCGGGCGGGCGCACATTGAGTACCAGTCTCGCAATCAAACGGTCCCTTTCTAGCAGACAACTTGGAAAACACTTGGGTCAAAGACAATTGCCCCGTAGGCAGAATCGCCCAGCATCACATCGAGGACGAAAAACAGAGATCCCTTTGCGTTGCTACAAGTGACATCCAGAAGTAAAGATCTCTGGTCGAATATCCAGGGCCCGTCAAGCGAGTGTGCTAGTCATAAAACCGTCCTCAATTGGCTCCTCTTCGTCCGTGGTTAACCACGCCCTTCCAGACCGAAGACCCGTTTCTCTTAAAGAGCGTGGCGGAGGCGCTTCAGACTGCACAATCACTCCAGGATTTGCCTGGGAGAACATTTTTGTTTCAGCTTGATTGAAAAGCAGATCAGAATCGGTTCCTCCTACCCCACGTGCACTTCCACGCCGAAGACTTGTTTCTCTTCGCGAAGCGCGTGGCGGAGGCGCAGCAGCCGCCCCCTTCACACCATTTTACCTCTAGGCAATCGGGGATGCTGTTAGAATTAAGGTCATAATCAGTCCCTCCCATTGTGCAGGATCCACGTGCACTTCCAGGCCGAGGACCCGTTTCTCTTCGCAAAGCGCGTGGCGGAGGCGCAGCAGCCGCACAATCACACCACATTGATCTGAGAAAAGCTCCTTCTTTTTATGAGAACCAGATTAGAATGGGTCCTTCCCACCGCGCAGGATCCACGTACATTTCCAGGCCGAGGACCCGTTTCTCTTCGCGAAGCGCGTGGCGGAGGCGCATCAGCTGCGCAAGCGGGCGGAGTCGCTGCTGCGCTACAATTTGTACGTGGACAGCATGCCCACCGACGACATCCCGGGGCTTTCCCCCGAGCAGATCAGCCGGATGCTGGCGTGCTCGACCAACTCGAAACGGCTGCGCGAATGGGCGTTCGACAGCTCGCAACTGGTCGCAGAGGTGAGCGGGCGAGGGCTTTGCTGACGTAACCGATTGTGGAGATGGGTTGCAACCTCAAAAGTCCTTGCTCCCTGCAAGCATTAGTGTCTCATAGCTTCAAGGCCGACTAGGAAGAGTGGTATGCAATTGGAAATCGGCAGCTTTAATCGGAGAAGGGTCATCGGGGCTCTTGTCGACGAGACGCTTTGATTGCTGACGTCAGGGTTCGACTTGCTACTGACGAAGAGGTTGGATAGATATAGTCGACCGGTGAGCTTTCTTGATGTCAAACCAACTTGAGCGAGCCACGTTTGCAACGGAAGGCCCTTAGGCAATGCCGAGAAGCTCCGATGATGCTTGTCATTTGGGATGGGTCGCCGTTTTGGGGTCGCGTCTACTCTGCACGAAGGCGACCACGTTGCACGAACAGTCGCCCATAGCTTCCTTGTTCGTTCGTTCAGGTGAACCTGGACTACGCGCGCGCCATGAACAAGATCATCTTCGACGAGAGCGTGCGCAAGCGGCCGCGCTCTCGTGACGTCATGTTCATGCCCGTGGACGAGGAGTTCCCGATAGACCCGCGGCCGCCGGTCCCTCAGTGAGTCCAAAACATCTAGGATCTAAAATTCGACGTTTTTGGAGAAGCTTTTCCATGTACAGCAGCTTGAAGCCATCTAGGTTTTTTGTGGGGCTACTGAGCTTGATGAGCAAGCCTTTTAGAACGCGACCTCCGCTTCCTCGGTAGGTCGAGAAACTTGAGGCGACTGGTTGAATTTCCCACATTGAGGGCGATTACTTGGATAAGCAGGCAGTTTGGCACGTAGACAGTCTGTTGTTTTCAAGGTCTTTTGACTGTGACTTGAGTCTGTCAGATAACAGACGGAAACAGGAAACGTGGGTGCTACGTATGCTATGAAAGCGCTTGGTTGGTGGTGCTTAAGAGGATACACACGAAGAAAGGTTGGAAGATCGAGACGGGGAAAGGGGCTCCAGTCAACATGGAATATCGGAGATGATGGAGTCTTTATGGACTCGAAGATTTTATGGCTTGAAGAAGCATCATTATTGTTTGGATAAAAGCCGGCCACGAGTAACGCATAGACGTCGCAATCAGTCGTCGCGATTAGTTGCGGAGCCCACCAGCCGACTCGTGTTTTCAAGTCTCGGTTACTCATCCCCGGTCGCTTTCCACTCAGGTTCGGCTGCGTCCAGATCCCCCGGTACGCCTTCCCCGAGCAGCTCAGCGAGTTCGTGTTCCACACGTGCCTCTCTCGGCCGGAGGTCATCTCGGCAACCGTCAAGATAAGGGCGGAGTGCAACAAGGTCGCCAAAATGAGCCTGTTTTCGACCACCCACACGAAGAGCAGCAGAATGGACGAGTTTGAGCAGGTCCAGGTGCAGGCGTGCGACGCGGTGGCGACCTATCTCAAGGACAGGTGAGGGAAACCGTCGCCGGAAGAGGGGGTGTAATCGCTGGAGAAAGAATGTTGCTGGCGGCTTGTTTGAAGAACTGATGCAGTCGAGCTTGTGTTACGTTTCTGGTTTGAGGGAAACCACTCGATGCTTTTCAAAAATAACAAGGGAGACCTTTTATTTTGGGCAACCCCTCCTTTTGATTCCAACTTTCTAAGATACATCCTTTAAACGGACAACCTTATGCGATTGTCTCCGTACGTAGCTCGCGAAGGGCATGCAGACTCTTTGCCACGTCTTCAATTATCAAAGGTCATTGCCATCATCTTCAAAGCGCTTCTTATTGGTTCTTACTTTTGTGGACTTAGCAGCCCGTGAATTGCTAAGGCATCTCACAACACGAATGCTTTTTATATTGTCGACCGCTCTTCGGTTTGCGAGCCGACGTGTCGCGCCGCGCGCTAAACCCCCAAACCCTTCCCCCGCAGTTGGGTCAGCACGATCAAAGGCATCATACGGTCCAGCTTCAAGGACGTCGGCAAAGGCTGGTTCTCGCTCCAGGGCCAGTCGCAAGACACTTATTTCGGAAGCAAGTTGCACCGATTCCTGCTTATGGTCCGATTCCTTATGGAGGATAATCTGAAGTGTATGGTGGATGAATCGCTGGCCAAGTACGTGGATCACATGGACCGGAACTGCAATCCGCTGGTGGACGTGCGCGGGGTGGATGACGTGGCGGTGACGTGGCAGAGCGACGACGCCGCGGTGAGGGCCCTGCTTCTGCAGCGAATGTTGCTGCCTGGATTGTGAGAACAGTGTGTGGAAAGAGCGTAAGAAAGGAACAGGGTTGCTAAAATTGCTCGGCAGGGAGCACTGAAACAATCAAAAATTGATGCAGATTCTGTTGTGTTCTAGAAGTATGGTTGATGCTGTTGTGACGGACGTCAAGTGCAAGTCCGCTTGTGCATCTCGTAACTGAGAAGAATCTACTCCAATTTGTTACAACGGACGCACAAGCCGCCCCTTCTTCCGCTGAGGCGCATCAATGCCCACGGCGGCGCGCTCGAATACAGGTCGCTTATAAACATGTTCGAGCAGCTAACTTGATTACTAGCTTCCATCAAGCCTTTTTCGAATCAGCAAATTGATTTCCTGCAGCGGTCGCGCAAGCCGCCCCTCTTCGCGCTCGAGCTCCTCTCGACCGACGCGGGCGCGTTCGACTACAACACGCCCGTGAGCCTGTTTGAGCAGATGATTGGGAAGACGTTCGACCACGGTGTGACGGCCTGCCAGAGCGTGCCGCAAATTGAGCCGCAAATCATGGACAACCTCTTCTGGAGCCACAAACCGATGGTCAGCTTCTGTCAGCTGCTTCCGCCTATTCTTTGCTTCTTCCCCTTATTCTTCTGTTTCTTCTTTGAAGAATTGTTCAGTAGAATTGTTCAGTAGAACTTTGCAAGGTTGCTTGCCCTGTCTGGAAGCGTTTCAAGATGTCGAATGCTTTCCGCCATCGCTTCCACTCTCGATCTTCGAAGTTTAACGTATCTTACTCGCTTTTTCGCAACTGAAGTTTCCAACCTCCAATCGTCCATTGCCACTTCACCTCCACATTGCTGGAAACATTTATCTCCAATGTCCTCTGTCCCAGAAGTTGGAGCTTGCTCTGCTCACCAACATTTCATCGCGATCTCTTTACGTAGTATACTTCGGACATTGAGAATTCTCTGGCAATATTTCAGTCCAAATTTCGTCTTTATCACAGGTCAACTCGCCCCAACTTCTGGAACCACACGTCATCACTCTCAAGGGCCGATTAGCCTCCGGCGTCAAGCGCGCGCTCACCGCCGTGCGCGTGTACCTGGACAAGTGGGTGGAGTTCGAGCCGCTGCTGCGCCTCGATCCGGCCGAATACCGGACTGGGCTCGAGCAGCGGAACGCCCCGCTGAAGGAGCTGCAGGCGGAGATTGACCGGCACCAGGCGGACCTGCTCGACCTGGACAGGCGGTACGTACCGGCTGGTTCTGGGGCGTGGCTTTCCCCTTCGCCTTCACCTTAGCGAGCACTACTACGTTTCGGTTTTCAATTAGTGCTTTCGTCTTTGATATCACTTCTACCGCTTTCGGACTTTCGTGATTCTTTCCAATGCGCGAGGCTTTCGACAGGGGGCGCAAACCGTCTGATCAACTGAAATTCGCTTGGCTCCCGTGCTCGCTGTGTTCTATCGCGTTTAAATACAATAGTCAGGCTCTTCGTTCGTCTTCATCTCTTCCAAATATTTTGTCCCCTCCTTGCGGCCGCTTCCTCGCAGTTCTTTGTCGTGAGTGCTCTGAACAATTCGATTCAGCGGATTCAAAATGAATACTCTTTTAGGGTATCCCAAGCGTAAGCGGACCAAGTTTGTATGGACTAGAATAACGAGAAATCCGAGGATGCCCCTCCGAACTTTTCCGAAGCTCAAACTCCCTCAACCCCGCCGCTCGCGCGCAGGCTGCCGTCCCAGATCAACGTGGGCGCATTCCAGGTCACGACCAAGAAGATGCGCGCGCAGCTGCTCCAAAAGAAAGAACAGCTGTCGGCGCTCGTCACGGAGCTCATCTGCAAGGTCCCGCGCGCCACGTGTCAGGATCTGGACCGTCGGTTCCTCGAGATCGAGAAGCAGCTTAAGATGAAAACGACGACCCCTGAGGACGTGGCGGCGCAGAAGGAATATATCGCGAGCCTGCCGCAGAAGCTGGGGGAGCTGCAGGGCGAGATCAACGGCTCGCAGGTAAAAGCCGCGCCGGATCAACGGTTGGCATTGAGTTTATCCGAAAACGTTTTTCTCGCTGCATTGAAGAAGCATATTATAAAACTGGGCGGTCTGCCAATACTGGAGTGACGATGTTCTTGGCGGAGCACTCTAGACGCACCTGTTGGAAAGTAGCGAACGAGACCCGCTGGCATTGGTATCTATCCTTACAGCCTGAGGTCAAAAGGCCAATGCGAAGCAGATGTGCGTGACATTGAATGGCTACTTTCTCCGTGCGTCACCTCTCCTCCACCTTCTCACGGCTGAAATCGTTGCAGGTAGTTTTAAGCATAGCTCTTCGTGGCTACGTTTCGAATAAAAAGGGGCTTTCGTGGTAATTACGGCCTTCCTTCTTCCAGGTGTATTACGACGCCCTCGACTCGCTGTGCTACACCCTTTCCGAGTCCGACTACAACCAGAAGTGGGCATGCGCGGCTTGGCCCGCGCGCATCGCCAAACAGATCGAAAAAACCGAGGGCACTCTGGAGGGCGACCAAACTTCGTACGAGAAGGACATGCGCGGGGAGCAGGAAGCTTTCGCGGTCGCCCTCGGCGATCTGGAGACACGCGTCCAGGGCTTCGAGCGCCACGTGGACCTCGCGCAGGTCGACCACGTGGCCGCGGAGCTGCGTCAGCTGACGGAGGCGCTCGACAAGGCCGACAAAGACGCGAGATTGTTCAATTCGCGCGAGGCGCTCTTCGGCGCGCAGCCGACGGACTACTCGCGCTTAAAGCGCGCGCAGGAGGCGTTCGATCCGTTCTCGCAGCTGTGGACGATCGCGGCCGACTGGAAGCGCGGCCGCGCCGCGTGGGCCGACGACCCGCTCGAAACCCTAAACCCCGAGGAGATTGAGAAGAGCACGCTGGCGTGGTGGAAGGCCCTGTTCAAGGTCGGGAAGGTGTTCCAGAACAAGGGGCTGGCGGAGTGCGCCGCCAACTGCGACGACATCAGGGCCCAGTTGGACGCGTTCAAGCCGCAGGTGCCGCTGATCGCGGCGCTGCGGCAGGCCGGAATGAGGTGCGGAACGGAACGCGTTGCAGCTTTCGACTCTAACAACATCTTCCCAATCCTCACGCAACTCTCCCTCTCTTCTATTCTATTTTGCTCCTTCTTTGTTGATTCGTTATAGTGCGCTCTTCCGCCTTCACCTCCCTCCACCTAGGCAGCTTAAAATTTTGCGCTTGGAAGACACGTCAATTTACACAACTATAATAAAGACGTTACGCCTTCGCAACTCTCTATTTGAAGCTACCCCTAGCTCCGGAAAGCAGAGCTTCGTCGCAGCACTTTCCGTACGCAGACCTGGCGACAATTTTTCCGAGAAGCTTTCAGCTTTTTGTACGAAGAAAAAATCTCTCATTTCATTCCTTCATTCTCCGGCAGATCTGATGATGCAAACTTCACCCTCTTCTTAACAGGGACCGGCACTGGCAGCAGATCTCGGAGGAACTAGGCGTGCCGATCGTGATCGACAACACCTTTACCGTTACCAAGGCGATCGGCATGGGCCTGCCGCAGCACCTGGGCGTCATCTCCAAGGTTGCTGACGTGGCGGGCAAGGAGTACGCGATCGAGACCGCGCTGGACAAGATGCAGAACGAGTGGAAGACCATCGAGCTCCAGGTGAGCGACACGTGGCGGCGATAAGTTTCTGATGACGTCAGGCCGCCTGACTGGGGCATCTCAGGAACTGCTGCTGGCTAAGCCGCGTTCTTGGAAGAGATTTCGTAGATCTTCTATAGTCTCAAACAAGCGCTTAAAATAGACTCAAAGTTGACACTTACGGAGGCGAGGGTTTGTTTGTGAAGAGAAGCCCTCGAAGCAAAGGTTGATCGCGTTGGAGACTGAAAGACGCACTGGCAGGCAGCGAGTGAGTCATTTTGTGCAGAACGCGAAGTGCAGGGGATGGCGGACAATCAGTGTGGATGCGTTTCCAAGTACTGAAGTCCGAACTTTTATTCTGATTGCACTTCCAACTTCTTTATAGCGCGCAGCCTTACCACGGAGCGTCGTCGCAAATGGGCATCGGCCTGACGAAGCGTGGAACCGTTGCTAAACCCTGCCTGAATTCTCTGTAAACGCACGCTATAATCTAGCTAAACCCTTGCTTTAACCCTTCTTAAACCCGCAGGTCCTCGAGTACCGCGAGACCGGCACCTACGTCATCAAGGTCGAGGAGGCCGTCACGCAGCAACTAGATGACCACATCGTGATGACGCAATCCATGTCGTTCTCGCCGTTCAAGAAGCCGTTCCAGGAGCGGCTGGCCCAGTGGGAATCGCAGCTCAGTCTAGTTTCCGAAGTGCTCGACGAGTGGTTAGCGCTTCAGCGTCAGTGGATGTATTTGGAGCCGATCTTTAGCAGTGAGGATATTCAGCATCAGTTGCCGCTGGAGGGAAAGCGATTCACGACCGTCGATCGCATCTGGCGCAAGGCGCTCGGCCAGGCGAAGGCGACGCCGCACATTTTGACCTGTTGTGGCAGCCAGAAGCTGCTCGAGGTGAGCGTCCCGTTCCGCCCCTTTTCCGGTTACGTTCCCTTTTCCGGTTCCGTTCTCAAATCTATGCTTCTGAAGACTTCCGTCCCTTTTCCGGTTTTGGTTCTCAATCCTATGCGTTTGAAGATCACTGTTTTGCCCCGCTTACCCCGCGCATTCGCTTCGCTCCGATCTCCGCTTCTGATGATGCTCTGCTCTGCGTCCACTTCTGCACTCTGCTTTCCGTTGACGTGAAAAATACCGGTTCGCCTCGCTCATGTCCATCTTTATCCCGCCCATATGTTGGCAGCCCCCTCGTTTGACCTAACCAACTTTCGAGCAAAGGTCGGCTTTCTGCGTCCGCCTGTTTGAAGGCAGAACCGTTCCTATCTATCAGTGGCTGGCAGGCCGCTCTCTTCTCCTCCATTCCTGTTCCGACTCCCCCAAACTTGTTCGCGCAACAGTCCCAACCCCGCAACGAGTTGCTAGACGTGGGCAGACTCCAATTAGGAAGAGCGACCCTGAAACCTGAGAGACCAATTGCATCAGTTTGTATACCCTGCTGATTAGGACTTCTGATTCTTCTCGCAGAACTTCCGCGAGAGCAACAAGATGCTGGATATGGTGCAAAAGGGGCTGGCGGACTATTTGGAAACCAAGCGCCTCGCATTCAGCCGCTTCTTCTTCCTGTCCAACGACGAACTGCTCCAGATTCTGAGCCAGAGCAAGAACCCGCTTGCGGTGCAACCGCATCTGCGCAAGTGTTTCGAGGCCATCTCTGATCTGGACTTCAAGGAGGATTTGGAGATTACGGCCATGAACTCTGGGGAGAGAGAGAAGGTGAGGCGTCAGCGGGTGCCGTTACCATACTACGTCGTTTTGATTCAAATTGCCATCTTTACGTGCATACATTAACAGAGTTGAGAAACTGAAAGTTTTCTTATTGATATTGGAATCTTCCTTTTAAATCAGACATTTTGACAGGAGCTGACCCTTTTTCGGTTTTCCGCTACCAGTCAAGAAGCCCAGCTGCTTTTCTTCTACCATCGTACGAGATTGAGGCACGTCAAATGTACCGATGACAGACCCACAAACACATTATTAGGGACAAGAAGGTTCTATGAGAACGCAAATCTCGTTCCTTGCCCTCTCACCAACTCTCCAAACTCAAGGGTCTTTCAACCAAAGGGATCCCCCTCTGCTCCCAGGTCCCCTTCGCCAAGACCATGTACCCGACGGGCAGCGTCGAGAACTGGCTGTCGGAGGTGGAGCGGCGCATGAAGGAGAGTGTGCGCGAGCAGGCCAAGCTCGCGCTGGAGGACTACCAGACGAAAGCGCGCGCGCAATGGGTGCAGTGCTGGCCGGCCATGGTGGTGCTCGCGGGCAGTTCGATCTACTGGACGCGCCAGGTGGAGGAGGCGATCGGGAAGGGGACGCTCAAAGACTACTTCGAGAACGTCCAGGTACGTTCTGAATCTGGTTTGAGTGTTCTGTGGAATCTTGGGTTTCAGGGGTAAAGGCATGGACTTTTTCGGTGAAGAAGGTGAAGATGATGGTTCAGTGGGCGCTTTAGGTGGAAGAGGCGGTCGTTGGGGGACGCTCGAGGCCCATTACAGAGTTCCCTGTGAGGATACAGTGGGCTTAGTGGGTCGGGGTGCTTGAGTTTGGGAGTGAGTCATATACACGTTCTCCAGGCTCTCAGAAGGGAGATTGTGATGTGGACGTGTCAGATGAAAAGGAGATGAGTAAAGGTACGCTGTAAATCTGTTTTTAGAACGTTCCAGGCAGAGTTTCTGAGATCCAAAGATTTGAATCAGTGGTACTTAGAACCTTACGCGTTGGGGGCTCTCAAAGACTGAAGTTCTAAAATCCCTTCAAAACCTCCTCTTCTCGGACGGCCGCAGGTGCTGGACCTGAAGGACAACATAGTTTGATTCACTCACTACCCACCCCTTGATAATCGGATCAGTTATGAATGAATTTTATAGCACTTTTGTTTTGACGTCCGCAAATTAAGTAGCTGCTGGACCTGACGGACGATATAATACATTCGTTCACTACGCACACCATTTTTATTTGACCACTTTTAACTTAGTTCTATAACACATTCTTTCGGGCGTCCGAAGGTGGAGCAGCTGCTGGACCTGACGTGAATATACGGACCCAATTTCAAAAATCTGGTGGATTGAATTCACGGTTTCCTTTTCGGACGTTCGCAGGTGAAGCAGCTGCTGGACCTGACGGACCTGGTCCGCGGCGAGCTGCCGAAGCTGGCGCGGCTGACGCTGGGCGCGCTCATCGTCATCGACGTGCACGCGCGCGACGTCGTGCAGCGGCTGGTCGACGAGAACATAGGCGCCATCACCGAGTTTGAGTGGGTGAGTAAACGAGGTTAGGTTAACCCAGTTTCGACCAGAGTGCCGATCTGCTTTACAGTCACAATGATCTAATTTAGGCCAGGTGCTTCTTTCTTTATTCTGACTTGGTTTGGAGCAAGCGACGTCGTGGGCAAAAACTTCGGTGTCATCAGCGTTTGAGTGGGTGAGTATGAGGGTTAACTCAACCCAGAGCAAGAGCTGGCTTATTCCGCGGCCGGAGCTGATCTGATGGATTGGTTTTTGAATACTGTTAAGGGCATGAGAGTAGAATTGCGTCCTATACATCTTGGTTGGATGCAACACTGTGAAACAGCAATGGACAGGACTCGTTAACATATTAATCTGGAGTAGGGCGCTGCATAAGCAGGAGACAGTGTCTTTGTGTTCAGCACACTGTGCGCGAAGACCAATAGTTTTAGTTGAGGAGTTTCGGAATCCCTTGTCTCTGACCAAGTTGCTGACTGTTTTGCCACGTGTCGCTTTGCAGGTGAGCCAGCTGCGGTACTACTGGGAGAACGACGACGTGTACGTCAAGATGGTGCAGGCGTCGTTACCGTACGGCTACGAGTACCTCGGCAACTCGGCGCGGCTCGTCATCACGCCGCTCACCGACAGGTGCGCTCCGGTCTACCGCTTCCATCTATCCGCTTGGAGTTCCGTTTTTCGCTCATGGTTGAATTGCTTAGTCTCCATTTTTCGTTGATCGGAAGTTGGAAGTTCCGTCTTTGCACAAACCAGCCTTGCTCGACCAAGAAGCCACTTTGACAGCCCTCGCGATGGAAATTTGTGCACACAGTAGATTTTGTCCTGTTTAAGAACGGGCAAGTGAAAGCCGCGCATTGAGCCTCCAAATCGCGCCAAGGCAAGAGCTCTCAGGCACAATCGAGTGCGGGGGTCTTTGAAGTTTCGCCGTGTTGTTGGAAAAGCTTTCTTTGAGGCTTGTTCTACTGAAAATCATCCTGAACCATTGCATACGCCATGCTTTGGCCCCGTTATTGAAAGGTGTATGTCTGACTTTGTAACGTCCGTCATTCAATACAGGTGCTACATGACGCTTATGGGCGCGCTACATCTCAACCTGGGCGGAGCTCCGGCCGGGCCGGCCGGAACTGGAAAGACGGAAACGACCAAGGACCTTGCCAAGGTCAGAACATCCATAGCGCCATTAGCAGAACTTCCAAAAGAGAGGAGCAGGGACCCAAAACGGGAGGATTGTGCGTCTTCGGCATTGCTGTCGTTCTGCGACGAATTCAGTGGGCTCACTGTGCTTTGTGCACGATGCGGCTCGAAGGATTAGAATGATCTTTGCCTTGCTGTGCTCCTTATAACCCCATACCTCGCGTAAGAAGCATCTTATCCTGGAAAATGAAGCGCTATGAGTGGTACTGAAGGTTCGAACCACCACAATCGATCATTGAAAGTCAACCGGCAAAAGCAAAGATTGTTTGAGCTGCTCAAACCGCCGACTCGAGATTGACTCTATTCCTTGCTCTCAATTCTGCAGGCGCTTGCGAAGCAGTGCGTGGTGTTCAACTGCAGCGACGGGCTGGACTACCTGGCCATGGGCAAGTTCTTCAAGGGGCTCGCCAGCAGCGGCGCCTGGGCGTGCTTCGACGAGTTCAACCGGATCGACCTCGAGGTGAGCGGAACGGCGGAGGAGCGGAGCTGGAAACGGAACAGCTTTTTGCAACTAAGCAGGCAGTTACATTGTGACCTTTCTACATACAAGTCGATAGGCATCGGACGATTTCTCAGGCAAGCAGGTCAACTCGGCGTCTCGGTTGGTCACTGCTTCTTGTCGCAAATTATGGTCCGCTTTTTAATGGTCTTGATGCTTTTGTGACCCCAGCCTGCTTCAATATGAACGGCTTAGCGGGCTCACCTCAAGCAGCAACCTTGCTCTCGCCTCTCCTTGTGCTTTCCGTGGGTCCCTTTCAGGTTTTGCAGTAGTCGCCTCTTTACCTCATGTTAGATTGGAAAGAAAGTAACTCCTAGTAAGCATCACGGCCTGCTTCCAGTTTTAGGTGCCATATTGGGTTGTCCAGCAGTGTTCTACGGCTGAATAACCAGATACAAAAGAAACAGGCGACCAGAAAGCAACTCTTTGGCCCTTAACCCGCCCGCAGGTGCTGTCGGTGGTCGCCCAGCAGATCCTGACCATCCAGCTGGCGATCCAACAGAAGCTGAAGCGCTTCGTCTTCGAAGACTCCGAGATCTCGCTCGACCCGTCGTGTTCCGTCTTCATCACGATGAACCCCGGTTATGCGGGACGGTCCGAGCTGCCCGACAATCTGAAGGCGCTGTTCCGACCGTGTGCCATGATGGTTCCGAACTACGACCTGATCGGGGAGATCAGCCTGTTCAGTTTTGGGTTCCGGCAGGCCAAGAATTTGGCGCGCAAGATGGTGGCGACGTTCAAGCTGTGCAGCGAACAGCTGTCGTCGCAGGTGGGCGGTTCATTCGAAACCCATCAAAGTAGAAGAAAATTTTCAGCTTGGATGCTGAAAACGTTCGCGTTGTTTTTGATGTATTCCCTTACGAGCTCTATCTTCTGCAGTTTGTCGAGCACGTACTGCAAGTCATCGGTGCAGTCGACTCATTGTCCATTGGGATTGATTAATCATGCTCCTTGACTTCATTATCCATCTGAAAAGCCAAGGCTGTTGCTCAATCTTGCATTCAGATTTGGGCAGTGTTTCAGATCAGTACCTCACGCTGAGACTCCAAAAAATTCCGCCTAGAACTGATTCATTGCTCAAAAGCTTTGCTTCTCTCCATGCCTACGCGCGTGGGAAGTGGAATCCCGCGGCCGGCCTAAAATCCAGAGTTCCGAAACCCTGTAACGCTCTGAGGACGAGACCTTGTACTTGCAGGACCACTACGACTACGGGATGCGCGCCGTTAAGTCCGTCATCACCGCGGCCAGCAACCTTAGCTCGAACTCAATACCCTGGGAATCATCGCCTAAAACCTCAAAACCTAGATTCCTAAACTCCCCTACCCTAAAACCCTGAAAACCTAAACCCGCAGGATCACTACGACTATGGCATGCGCGCCGTCAAGTCCGTCATCACTGCGGCCGGCAATCTCAAGCGCGACTACCCGGACGAGGACGAGGAGGTGTTACTCCTCCGCGGGCTGCGCGATGTGAACGTGCCCAAATTCCTGAGCCACGACCTCCCGCTTTTCGCGGGCATCATCAGCGATCTGTTCCCGGGGGTCCAGCCGCCCAAGATCCAGTACGACGATCTGCTAGGCGCGCTTACGCGCGCGTGCGCGCAGCTCGGGATCCAGCCCGTGGACTCATTCATGACCAAGGTAGGGTTTGGAGGGTTTTGGTGGGGTTTTGGGGGCCGCGAGTAATACAAAGAGTATATATCGGGGAGGGGTGTAACGGGGACTTTTTGCGGAGGGCCAGATGTTTCAGAGGTCTTCGGCAGGGTCATGTACCTCCGAGAATCTGGTCTATGGGGAAGGACGCCTGTGATAGTGAAATTCAGGACGGAATTTTCTACTGTTGCCAATCGAAACTTACCCCCAACCCGCAGGTAATCCAGCTGTACATATAAAATGATGTGGCCGGACTTTCCCGCTGCTTCCTGGCCGGAAATTTTCTCGCCGCCCCTGTGCGATCCATTTGTATGCGGAAACACCTGTCATCCTCTTCGATCCGGAGCTTTCCGCTGCTTTGCTGACCAGAAACGGATTCCGGCGTGCGCAGGTGATCCAGCTGTACGAGACGACGCTGGTGCGGCACGGGCTGATGCTGGTGGGCCCCACTGGCGGCGGCAAGACCATGTGCTACCGCGCGCTCGCCATGGCCATGACAGAACTCAACAAGGACGGGTCCGCCAAGTACGAAAAGGTGCGAACAACGACCCACGATTCCTTTTCCCCCTTGGAGCGGGAATGAAGAAAAGGAATGTCCCGATTCCTTCAACCGCGCGCTCGCCATGGCCATGACAGAACTTAAAAAGGACGGGTCCGCCAAGTACGAGAAGGTTTGATTACCAGACTCTCTGAGTCTGAGTCTGTGGGACCGTCCGGGTTAAGTTCTGTTTATCTGACCGGGAATTTTGTTCTGCTTAGGACATTGATAAGCAGAACCGTAAGAAACAGGGACTGCACGCCTTCTGGTACTGGCCATGACCGAGATCGACAAGGAGTATTCTGTGAAGTACGAAAAGGTGCGACAACGACCCAGAATGCTTCTCTGCCTTAGCCGCTTGTTCCGACCGTCGCTCTTGCAATCGCTCTCCGCGCAGGTGCCAAGACCGTGCTCAACCCAAAGAGCATCAAGATGGGCCAATCAAACGACAACGCTAAACTCAACTCTGTCTTTTCCATCCAAAGAGTAAAAATTTGAATGGTCTGGGACCTTTTAAGACGCTAAGTGATGTTCCGGACGCCCTATGACGCTTTCGGACGCCATTTGCGCAGGTGCGGACGGTGGTCCTCAACCCGAAGAGCATCACGATGGGCCAGCTGTACGGCGAGTTCGACGACAACACGCACGAGTGGACGGACGGCGTGCTCGCGTGCTACATGCGCGAGCTGTCGGAGGACACTTCGACGGCGAAAAAGTGGCTCATGTTCGACGGGCCCGTCGACGCCGTGTGGATCGAAAACATGGTGAGAACAAATGGCGATCTGTTTTACAGAAATTGCTGCGCGCGCGGCTAAGGAGAAACTTTTGCCTCTGATTTCAAATGCCTAATATTTCGCGCCGCTTGCCAGAGCTTGAATAGTCGTTTTCTATGGATCTTATAGGGTTTCTATTTCCGTGCTGCGTCAATAAAAAGGCTTCACTGAATTTCAGCTCCTTGTTTCAAGAAGGGTTGCCTCTACCCAGACTTACCTCCTGAACGAAACGCAAAGCTCTGTACGTGCTCTTGAGCTCAGTCTGCGGCCTCTACTTCTCGTCAGCCCCAAGCCTTCTGAAGATCGAAACCCAGCTTTTTCAAACCTTTCCCCTCCACACTTCCCGAACCTTCTCCACCCATTTGCAGAACACGGTGCTGGATGACAACAAGAAGCTGTGCCTGGTCAGCGGCGAGATCATCCAGCTGTCGTCAACCATGACCATGATGTTCGAAGTCGAAGACCTCGCAGTGGCGTCCCCCGCTACCGTCTCTCGATGCGGCATGGTTTACATGGAACCCACGGCCATGGGTTTGGACCCCCTCCTGGATTCCTGGCTGCAAGCGCTCCCCGAACCCTGCAAACCTTTTGGCGCGCGCCTGCGCGCGCTGTTTGAGAAGCTGGTCGCCCCCACGCTGCGGCTGGTGCGCAAGAGTTTGCGGGAAACCGTGGCGACCACGAACAACAACCTGGTGCTGTCGCTGTTCAAGCTGATGGACAGCTTGCTGCTGACGTGGAGGCGTCAGGAGAACGAGCCGAAACTGACGGAGGAAGAGATTGGGAAACTGCCCAATGTGATCGAACAGCTGTTTATTTTCTCGTTAGTGTGGTCAGTCGGTGCCAGCTGCGATAACGACGGTCGGGTTAAGTTTGACCGAGCGCTGCGAGACGCGTGTTCCGAGGCCGGGGTGGACAAATTACCGCCCGGGGATCGGGACGTCTACGCGTACTGCTTCAATCAGGACACGTGTCAGTGGGTCGACTGGATGGCCACGATCCCGGAGTTCAAGTGCGATCCCGACCGTCCGTTCTCCGAGATCATCGTCCCGACGTCCGACACCGTCCGATACACGTACGTCATCGACCAGCTGCTGCGCAACAACTGCCACGTGTTGTGCGTGGGCGAGACGGGGACGGGCAAGACGCTGAACGTGGCGGATAAGCTATTGAACAAGATGGGCGCGGACACCGTGCCCTTATTCCTCACGTTCAGCGCGCGCACGAGCGCGAACCAGACGCAGGATCTAATCGATTCGAAGATGGAGAAGCGGAGGAAGGGCGTGTTTGGCCCGCCGAGCGGAAAGAAGTTCGTCGTGTTTGTCGACGATATGAATATGCCGCAGCGGGAGAAGTATTTCGCGCAGCCGCCGATTGAGATTCTGCGACAGTGGATGGACCATAAGGGTTGGTGAGTGCACGGGTATACTCCGACTAAAACATGGAAATTATCTTAGGTTTTGCGTCGAAGATATTCCGGGAGGGGTAGACGAATCCCCAGAGCCATCGCACTTTGTCTTCGCAACGGTCGCGTTCGCGGCCTCCTTTCAATTTCTCGTGCTGAAGGATTCAGGATTCCAGGCATCGTCATTAATGAAATGGTGATATGAATCCTCGAATTTGTTCAGGAAACACTGAATAAGCTGTCGGTCGGCCCTTGTCAAGAATCGTATCATTCCTTTTCTCCTTTTCCATCACTTCGTGTTGGCACATGAGTCAACAAGCTGGGTCAATAAAACCTGATGCAATCTGTCTGATTTCATCTCTTTTCCAGTCCGCTTTACTCTTATTTACACCTAGCTTTCCCCCCAGGTACGAGCGCAAGCCCCCGTGCACCTTCCGCCAGTTGATTGACATCCAGTTCGTCGGCTGTATGGGTCCCCCGGGGGGCGGCCGTAACCCGGTCACTAACCGCTTCCTCCGCCACTTTAACTTCATCTCCTTCACCGAGATGAGCAACGAGTCGGTGGATCGCATTTTTTCCACGATTCTGGGGGCTACTTTGGAGCGGCGATTCGACCCCACGGTGCAAGGAGTGAAGGGCCCCGTAGTGGCGGGGACGATCGAGATCTACAACCGGATCAGGAAGGAGCTGCTGCCGACGCCTTCGAAGAGTCACTATACGTTCAACCTGAGAGACCTGAGCAAGGTGGGCTGGCTTCGCTTTTGCATACTCCGACCCGTTTGTGTCGACTTTTACTGTCAACCAAGCCGACCTTTGAATTCAGGGCTTTTTCATTGAGGGTAAGGGACTTCTACATGGCCTTACTTGTCAATTCGGAGTCGCTTCCGAGTCGCTTCGCTGAAACGGTGCTTCTTGTTGTTCTTCTTGTTGTCCTTCTTTTTGTGAGTGACAAATACCCAGGAGGCGTCAACCTTGCCCCCCGTAAGGTTTCAATCGACCCCTTCACCGAGATTTTACAACGTCCATAAGTGTTAGAAGGATAAGATTCAAACTAGAACGCGTTAGTGGTATTGACCCGGTAACAATCCAACACCCTGCAAATTGAAACAAAGCCTTCGACACCTGTCTCTAAACCCGTGCATCTCAAAACCCCGCAGGTCATCCAGGGCGTATTGCGCGCAGACCCGAAGCAGGTGACCGACCCCAAGTCGCTCCTCAGCCTGTGGCTGCACGAAGCGCAGCGCGTGTTCCAGGATCGTCTCATCAACGACGAGGACCGCGCGTGGTTCCGGCGCGCGCTCGAGGAGCAGCTCGCGCAGCAGTGCGCGCTGACGTGGGCTGACGTCGTCACGGCGGACCGGCTGATCTACGGGGACTATCTGGTGCCCGGGGCGGAGCCCAAAGTGTACCAGCAGGTGGGTTACATATTTACTTCTCTTTCTATATGTATTTTCCTGAATATCTTTGTAAACGGTTTTTCCTTTTTCTTTGTTTTCGTTTTTGTTTTTTTGTTTTCCCGACCCTTTTCCCCGGTCGGTGATGCTCAAGCTATCGACATTTTTGACCCTGGACAATTCGTTTGGCACAGACAGAAGAAATTGCCCGTGTCGTTCTGCAGTCTTTGGAGTATGCTCAAGAGCTCGAAGAAGCAGACCGGTCACTTGGACGAAGCTTTGCGAAGCCTGGGAGTATCTTGAGAAGTTCTGGTCAAATGAAAAGACTTTCCGACATCTCTGAGGAAAGAAATGATCGTCTTTCAGTTCTGCTGGTTCAAAAACGATAGGCGTGTCAATCCCCTACTGTAGAAAGCTGCGCAACATTCGTTCGGGACCCTCTCAATCTTACCACTTGCACCAAAACAAAAGTGTCGATCTTCAGCACTTGCGTTCCCACCCAGGTGACTGACACCAAGAAACTGGTTTCGACGATGGAGGAATACCTGGACGACTACAACAGCGTGAGCCAGGCGCCCATGAAGCTGGTCATGTTCCTTGACGCCATCGAACACGTCAGCAGAATCTGCCGCGTCATCCGGCTGCCGCTCGGGAACGCGCTGCTGCTGGGCGTCGGCGGGAGCGGGCGGCAGAGCTTGACGCGGCTGGCAACTTATATGGAGGACTTCCACTTATTCCAGGTAAAACTATTCGGATTCCTTGGAGAATTAAGTATTTTAATAACTCGATGGACGAGATGCGGAATCATTGACGCGGCTGGCGACGCATATGGAGGATTTCCACCTATTCCAGGTGAATATACTGAAATTTCCAATCTTCTGAACATAGTGCGTAATTGACAGTGATGCACGAGTCTGAGGACTTATGGACGCGGCTGGTCACATATGTTGAGGACTTCCATTTTTCCTGGTCGGCAGAGAATAGACAAATGCCTTCTTCTACAAAGGTCAAAGCGGGACTGTAAGGGTAGACTACAAGAGAACTACGAGTGCTTTCAGATAGGAGCGCAAACATAGGCCGCCCGAGTCGGAGTCAGGAGCGTGAGGAGGAGGCACAAACAGTCAAGTGAGGGAGAAAAACACAAAGCGGACACTCTTCAACGGGCGCAATCAGCACTAATTCAAAGCAAGTCGTGGCAGCTTATATACTCCTCGCTCGACAATCTTTTATTGATTTGAAGTTCAAGGATGCGACAATATGCTCATAGTGGGGCCCTTCTGCTGACGTCAACTCCGCTGACGTCACGCAGATCGAGATCGCGAAGGGGTACGGCCCGAACGAGTGGCGCGAGGACCTGAAGCGCGTGCTCATGAAGGCGGGGCTGGAGGGCAAGGAGACGACGTTCCTGTTTACGGACACGCAGATCGTCGTCGAGTCGTTCCTGGAGGACATCAATAACATCCTCAACAGCGGCGAGGTGGGCTTCAAAGTTCTAGGGAATCAAGGATTCAGAAGTTTTGGTTCTTGAATTTTCGGGTACGTACGCGGGGCAGGGAGACGACGTTTTGTGCATCTGCACACAGAGTGTCGTCGAGTCGTTCCTGGAGGACATCAACAACATCCTCAACAGCGGCGAGGTGGGTTTTCAGAAGGCATAGGTTCTGAGGGTTAGATTTTACAAGTTTTGATACTTCAGCTTTATCGGTGTGTGGGCTGGAGGGTAAGGAAATGACGTCTTGTAACCGTTACGCATCCCTTCGTCGAGTTTCGTCTTGGACTCACGATCAACAGCATCGTTAAGCGGCGGCGAGATAGGGGCCTACCCTTGAAGCATTTTGAAAAATTGCGGTGGTAAAAAAGTGGACCCCGGCTCGCGGTTGCAGCTCAAAACCCCTTGCTAAGAGTCAGTCGTGATTCCCCGCCGCAGTCCGTTTTCCTGCTTCCCAATTTAGAGAAACAGGGCTTCGATGCGGGTTAAACAAGCTCTTTGCCAACCACCTCCTTGTGCACTTATGGACGCTTGAGCGCAAGTTGCGATACCCCCGCTGAAGTCCCTCTCTCTCCTTGATCAGGTGCTCAAGCTGCGGAAGAATAAACTTACTACTCGAGATGCGAACCGAGCGAACAATCTGCAAGCAATGAATTTTAAAATTCAAGGCTCGCTAACCCTGGGTTTTCTTTGACGTTAGGTGCCTAACCTGTGGAAAACCGAGGACACGGAGGCGATCGCGAACGGCATGCGGCCGATCATGCAGCAGCTGGGGCTGCCCATCACCAAGATGGCCCTGCAAACCCAGTTTATCCGGCGGGTTAGGAGTAACCTGCACCTGGTTATCTGCATGAGCCCCATCGGCGACGCGTTCCGCACGCGGCTGCGCATGTTCCCGTCGCTCGTCAACTGCTGCACCATCGACTGGTTCTCCGAGTGGCCCAACGAGGCGCTCAAAAGGTGCGCAGAATTTAGGATCTGAGTTTTGGGTGTTGGATTCTGGTTTTCGTTACTCCAAATGTAAGGTTCTGACGACTTCGGGGTTTTCAGCGTAGAATAATATGGAGTCAAATTGCGCAGGTTGCCAGTTTTCTCGATTGCTGCGCAAGTGAATAAAAGCGTATCCTAATCGAGCCCTTTGTCTTTGCAGTGTGGCGCACTCGTTCTTCTCGGACGCTGTCCAAATGGCGTCGCCCGAGCAGACGTCCGCGATCGTAGACACGTGCGTGTTCATTCACCAGTCCGTCGAACGCACATCCAAGGACTTCTTCGAGGAGCTGCGCCGGTGAGCAGAATAGTGCCTCAATTTGGCAGCACTTGTCCATACTTATCGCGGGAGACGGAAGTACAGGCACGCTTAGATCGTCATTCATACTCGGACATTGTTCTTGAGTTGCTGGTCGAGGCCGACCCAATTCCTGCTGAGTCTGCTTGTAAAAAGCAAAGCAACAGAGAGATAGATCCAAACACTGAAATGTAAGTTGTCAAATGGACGGTTTACATCCTTGCTGACAACCTTGAAGTAATCTATTCTATGCCCACCAGCTGATTACGTTATCCAACTAAACCTCTCTCTAACCGTCCTTAACTCTCCCCCTAAACCAGGTGTAAAAAGCACAACGTGCCCACCAGCTACCTAGGCTTTGCAGCAAAACTTCACAAGTTGTAATGTGACAAACCCCAGTTTTCCGGTCTAATCTCACAACAACTTCTCAACCCGTCATACAAATCCAGGTACAACCACGTCACGCCCACGAGCTACCTCGAACTCCTAACCACCTTCATCGAGCTAGCTTCCGAGAATTACTGATCTCTGGTCCGACCATGTCAATCCTCTCGAAACCACGTTCTAACCCAGGTACAACTACGTCACGCCCACGAGCTACCTCGAGCTCCTGACCACCTTCATCAAGCTCGTATCCGAGAAGCGCGCCGAGATCGAGCAGCTGCGCTCGCGCTTATCCATCGGGCTCGATAAGCTATTGAGCACGGCCGCCCAGGTCGAGGTCATGCAGAAGGAGCTGACGGAACTGCAGCCGGTTCTGGTCGTTACCGCCAAGGAGGTGGAAGATATGATGGTAACCATTACCGCGGACAAGGCATCAGCGGACGCAACCAAGCAGCAGGTGGCGGTGCAGGAGGCGGAGGCGACCGCGCAGGTGAGGGCACCGCTCTTGGTCAACGAACTTCCGTCGTCGAGTATTTGGCAAAGCGACCATTTTGAAGAAAACACAGTTACTCAGGAAGGGGGGAATGGAAATCAAAGATCTTTGAGCGGGTGATGCTAATCTGCATGCGGAATTGCAACCAGGCGCCTTTTTGTGCGAGTGATGTTCTGGCCAATTCGGTTAAGTCGTGGCGGGGGTTTGCGCATTCGGGTTTTGAGATTTCCCGATCAGCGGCGTTCGCTGCCTTTCAAGGGAGAGCGGAACGGGGTTCTTAGCCCCATCAAATCCGCGCAATATTTCTGACGTCGAGAACACCGAAGGCCGAAGCGAAGGGCGACTCCACGCGATTTGCACGCCAAGCGGGCTGAAAAACTGAACGTCTTTTCACGTCTTTTCCGCTCCGCAGGCAACGGAAGCCAAGGGCATCGCGGATTCCGCCCAGCGCGACCTGGACCAGGCGCTCCCCGCTCTAGATGCCGCGGTGGCCAGCCTCAAGAACCTGACGCGGAATGATATCGTGGAGGTGAAGAGTCTGCGGAATCCGCCGGAAGGCGTGAAGCTGGTCATGGAGGCGTGCTGCATCATGTTTCAACAACAGCCCAAGATGGTGGCGGATCCTAACAAGGTGAGGGGTTGGTTTCGGCGACCGTAGAGCATGTCTTCGAGCTTCAAGGTCGCCGTTTTAGGCGTGCCACGAGCTGATTATGAGAGCGGACTACATCGTAAAGAACTCCTCAACCTTGTGGTTTTTGGAATGTTGGTCTTAAAGCTTGCAGGACTTCCCAACTTTCAAGGCACAGAAAGCTCAATGGACTTCCCACCCTTTGATAACATGCCCTTGTGCGGTCCTGGAGGTTTTGGATTAGAAGCTTGCCCGATTTGTCTGGATTCCGCGCAATGGAAATAAAGACGAATGTGGGACGAAGCGCTTCGAAGTGGACTGGCAGTGACAGAAATGTGATTGGAACGCGGCTGCCAAATCGGCCGGCTGCTGAGCGCCGGTCTCACTTCCCGTTCCCAGGCCTTCCGTTCCAGTCTCTCCCATTTGTTTTCGGTTTCGCTGCCGGAAGTACCGTCATTTTGTAAGTGGCCGACGCTTCCTGTTTCCTTCTTTCCTGGTCACCTCGCTCCGCTAGATCCACCCGCGTTCCATTCTCTTCCGCTGAGTCTTCCGTTCCGCTGCCGCAGGTCGGGAAGAAGATGGCGGACTACTGGGAGCCCAGCACGAAGATGCTGAACGACCCGACCAAGTTTCTGGACAGCCTGCTGACGTTCGACAAGGACAACATCCCGGAGGCGGTCATCCAGAAGATCGAGCCGTACATCGGCATGGAGAACTTCACCCCGGAACAGGTGCGAAAGATCCGGCGTCGAAAATAAATGGCATTACTGAGCTCAGGCGTGCTTCGGAAGGGACTCATTTACTAGTGCAGAAGGGCAAAGCAAACCCTCCGAAGGAGGGGTCATTATTCTCTCTCTCCTTTTCTCTCCCTTTTTCTCTTTATAGTTCCTATTTCAGAACCGAAGTCTTTTACCCTTAGGAGCATATTGCCTGGCAAAACGGCCGGTTTATAGGAGCAGTGGCGGGGTGTTTCTCAGTCCATGATTGTGCATCTTCGGATTGTGTTTCTGCCCTCTCTAGTTCCTTCAAGTTGCACCAGCAGGTAGTGGGCGAGTCTCGATTTCGTGCACATTCGGGTGCGCAACGCACGATCGAATCAACGTCGCCAGGTCCTTGGCACGCTGTTCAAACCTCACTTTCAAATTCCCTGAGCCAATATCAAACCTAACCCCGCAGGTCAAGCGCGTGTCGGCCGCGTCCATCTGCACAAGTAGTTGCGCACAACGCATACGTCTTGCAAACGCCGCCAAGACTGTGTCTCTTGACAAATCAGTGGATCGCTCAGTACCATAACTTCGAACCTCTAACCCTTGGAATCCGCGTAACCCCGCAGGTTAAGCGCGTGTCGACCGCGTGCACCTCCATCGGCATATCGGTGCGTGCGAAGCACACGTGGTACACAGCAGTCCCGCGTGAAATGTTCAACACCTTTTAAACCTTTGCTATAGTCCTAATACCCCTGAACCTCTTAAACCCCTTAACCTCCCTAACCCCGCAGGTCAAGCGCGTCTCGACCGCGTGCACGTCCATCTGCATGTGGGTGCGCGCGATGCACACGTACTACAACGTCGCGAAATCCGTCGCGCCCAAGCGCGCGCAGCTCGCGGAGGCAAACGCGAAATTAGAGGTGACGATGGGCCAGCTGCGAGTCGCGCAGGCGACGTTGAAGGAGGTGGAGGATCGGATCGCGGGATTGGAGGCGCAGCTCGCGGCCGCGGTCGCCAAGAAGGACGAGCTCGCGAAGCAGGTGCGCGGTTCGGAGGGGCGACCAGATAGGGTTTTGGATTCGGCGGAAGGGTTTTACGGGTTTACAGGTTTTTGTAGAACGCGGTTGTGTGCCGAAGACCTGAAATCTGGGGAGCGCTCGAATGGAAGACCTGCTGTGCAACTCTTGTAAAGTGATCACCCTCGTCTAATCAGTGTCGCCGGGTGCAACTCTGCGACTCTGACAGCGTGCTAAGCCCTGACACTATCAAACCCTTCATACCAGACCTGCTGTTAGTCGCCAGCGCTTTTGTCGTTCTCCGGTCTCGTTGCCTTCACTAGATGCTCAGCACTTTTTGAAGCAACTTTTTCTGCTAACCTTCTTTGACTCTGTGACCCATTTCCATCAATGAAACAGCATCCAAATCTCCTAACCCGCCAGCTTCGACCCCTAAAACCCTTCCTATCCTTGGACCCGGATCTAAACACCTCCCAACCCGCTTCCGCAGGCAAGCGACTGCACGGTCAAGCTCGAGCGCGCGGAGAAGCTCATCGGCGGTCTCGGCGGGGAAAAGCTCCGCTGGACCGAGAGTGTGAAAAACCTCACCGCCCAGCTAGACTCCGTAGTGGGCGACGTAGTGGTCGCCTCTGGCGCGATCGCCTATCTGGGCCCATTCACACCGAACTACCGCAGCCGGTTACAGGAGGAGTGGTTAGCGCGGTTAAAGGAGCTCAGTGTGCCGCACACGGCTGGAGCGGACCTGAAGGGCGTTTTGCAGGACCCGGTTTTGGTGCGGATGTGGAACATCGCAGGGCTGCCCAGTGATGACGCCAGCATCGAGAACGGAATCATCGTGTCCAAGGCGCGGCGCTGGCCGCTGTTCATTGACCCGCAGGTGTGTTAGGGAGAACCCGTACTTGGATTTGCGGTTTCTCAGTCACGGTCTTCGTTTGATTTTCGGGTTACAAAAAGATTTGCTTCGAGTAAAACGTGCAAGGCTTCGCTAAAGCATCCCCTTTCCGGGTCGTACACCGGAACAAAGCTAGATCTTTACCAAATGCCAGACTTGCTGTTGGGACTATACTGTTGACAAGCCGACTTTCTTTGTTGTATTGTGCAAGCAGTCACTGTATCGTTGCTTCGGATCAGAGAGATCTGATCCACAGAAAGAGACTCATCAATGATTGAAAATGCTGAAGTAGGCGACAGGAAAACTCCGACTGCCTCAGGCCCAAAAGACAGTCGATTTCGGCCAATCTTCGATCCAGTAGAATACTCGGTGTTCGTATAAATCTCTTACCCTAACCGGTCTCTCTCGTTCTCTCTCTTTCAGGGCCAAGCCAACAAGTGGATCAAGGCCATGTTCAAGGAGACGGGGCTCGACGTCATCAAGCTCTCGGATAAGGACTTTTTGCGGACGCTCGAGAACGGCGTCCGCTTCGGACGGGCGGTCCTGCTCGAGAACATCCTGGAAACCCTGGAACCGGCGCTAGAACCATTGCTTCTGAAGCAGACGTTCAAGCAGGGCGGGAGCGAAGTGATCAAGATCGGGGATAATATCATTCCGTACCATCCGGACTTCCGGTTCTACATGACGACCAAGCTGCGGAACCCGCACTACCCGCCGGAGGTGAGAAATGCACCGGAACATTGTCCTGTGACGTTCGATCTCTGAACCTCAGAAAAGGGCCGCGAAGACTTTTTTGTGCTCGAGATGGGTCTTAGGGAGACCATCTTGAGCTTTTCTATTTTGCTTTCCAGCAACTGACGTTCTGCTTTTCGCTTTTGCCTTTAGTTGACTTCGGAGAAGTCACAGTTTCTCCGCTTAAAAATTCTTCGAAAGGATGATGCACGATTAACGTCAGCCGTTCCAAACCCCGTCTACCCAGCAGGTGCCCGTCAAAAGCCCCCTCCTTACACGATCGGGGAAAGGAGAGACCAATTCAGAAATCAATAGACGCTTCAAATCGATGCCAGAATCACAAGTCGTTCAAACCTCCCAGAAAACCCAGCTGGCTGAACCGCGTACGCTCTGCTCAACTTTTTCGTGACGCCGGAGGGGCTCGAGAATTATTTGCTGGAACTTAGACGCCTTTGCTTATGTCAGTCCCGCAGAACGCTTAGACTTAACAAGATGCTCACCTCCTGGATTGATGATCTCTTAACCCTCTCATCTTATAACCTTTGCAGGTGTCTGTCAAAGTGTCCAAGCTGAACTTCTTCGGGGTACCGGAACCATTGAAGCATCTGCGGAACCAGTCGAAGCTTAACAAATGCTCAACCCGCAGATTGTCCAGATCTGCTCTACACATCTTCAATCTCCAAACCTTGCAGGTGTCCGTCAAAGTGTCGCTGCTCAACTTTTTCGTAACGCCGGAGGGGCTGGAGGACCAGCTGCTGGGGCAGGTGGTGACGCAGGAGCGCCCGGATTTGGCGGAGATGAAGAACCAGCTGGTTCTGTCCAACGCGAGCATGAAGAAGGAGCTGAAAGAGATCGAGGACAAGATCCTGCAGCTGCTCTCCAACTCGCAGGTGAGCGGAGTCGGGCAGAATCATCCAGCGGAACCGGAATGGTTCGAGGGGCGAGAGTGGGGTTCAAAGGGGAATGCTTTTGTCGAATCTAGATATTGCAAAAGGACTTGAGATTTTTTTAGGGTTTTAGGGAAATAGGGATCCTGCAGCTGGCTCAAACTCGCAGGTGACCGGAACCTAGCGGAACCGGAATGGTTCGAGGGTCTAGAGGAAGTTCATAGTGAGTCTTCCCTTCTTCAACGCTACGGGCTTACGAAAGACGGTACTTCGGTTAGCATCTTCAATGACGGTGAACGTACGATACTCTTCGCGCCGCAAGCGATTTAGAAGCGAAATTTCTGGTTTGTCAGATAGGTTTGAAGAAGCCCGTTGCAAATTAATTTGCAGCAGTCCAAGACATTCCGCAGAATGCAATTTTGGCTCCGAAGGGCGATCCGGTGGCTTCGGGCTTTGGATATAGGTCTTATAGGTATGTTGTTTGGCAACCCCCAAGAAAGGTGAACTGGAAAGAATGCCAATTGCCAGGGCCACAAGCTGGTTTGTGGGCGTTTTACAATGCGAGTAGCACGTTCCAATCAAAGTAAAGGTACGCAACTTTGCTTGTACCAACAACCAGAAGCCCTGAGTTTCTGACGCATAGGATTCATTGAGGCCTCGTTGCTTGCGCGCAGGGCAACATTCTGGACGACGAGGTGCTGATCAACACGCTGGCCAAGTCCAAGGTCACGTCCAACGAGATCGCGGTCAAGGTCGCGGAGGCCGAGAAAACCGAGAAGGAGATCGACGTAACGCGCGAGGTGTACCGCCCCGTGGCGTTACGCGCGTCGCTGCTCTTCTTCTGCATAAGCGACCTGGCGACCGTAGATCCTATGTACCAGTATAGCCTGGCGTGGTTCATCAACTTATTCATAAAGTGCATCGACGAAGCGCCAAAAGCGGAGACGGTCGAAGAGCGTATCGGGGTCCTGAACGAGCACTTCATGTATAGCTTATACGTCAACGTGTGCCGGAGCCTGTTCGAGAAGCATAAGCTGATGTTCAGCCTTATGCTCACGGTCAAGATCCTCCAGGTGGGTGACGCGATCCTATCGTCATGTTTAAAGGTTATTTTTGGTGCTTCTGTGAATGGTCGGTGGCTGAGAATGATTGGAAACGTCGACGTGTGAAGAGTCCGCATAGGTTCCTGCAAAGTTCTTCTTGCTCGCCCTAATCCGGGTAGCCATTTCTATGGAAGCGCCGCAGGCTTTCCAAATCTGGTTAAGGAGACAGAAGGCGCGGTACCTAGAAGGTTCCCGTTTTTAAAGGTACCCGCAAAGCTGCTCTCTTGTATGAATTTGTAAGGGCTTATTTAAACTTGCAGATTTTCAGATGAGTTTAGGACCCAGATTCCAGACCGGTCTGCTGGCATTGGACCATATGCATCACAACCTCGCCAACCCATTCACTTTTGCATTTCACAAACTCATCATGAGATTCAACCAGGAAATTTTCTGCTCTCCCAGGAGCGGAACGAGGTCGACCCCGCGGAATGGCGCTTCCTCCTCGCGGGCGCGACGGACTCGACGCTGGACCGCCCCAACCCGGCGCCCGAGTGGCTCACCGAAAAGGCCTGGGTCGAGATCCTAAACCTCTCCAAACTCGAGAGGTTTAAGGGTTTCCAGACCCACGTGGCCGCGCACGTGCGGCATTACAAGGCGTACTTCGATTCGTCGGACGCGCACAGAGAAAAGTTGGCGGGCGAGTGGGAGGAGAAGCTGACGCGGCTGCAGAAGCTGCTGGTCGTGCGGTGCTTCCGCGTGGACAAGGCGATGGTCGCCATCCAGGTGAGGGTTTCAGCGGTGGTTTAGCGGTGGTTAAGCTGGAGTTTTGGCGACATCTTCGCATTCCGGTGCTTCCGCGTGGACAAGGTGATAGTTGCCATCCAGGTGGGGGTTGATCGGGGTTGAGAGTTTAAGAAGCTCGGACGGATTAGAAGCATTTGAGCCAGTTTGAATGGGGTACCATCCCGGGAGTTCCAAAGGCTGAGGGTGTTAAAAAAATCCGCTGAAATACATTTGAGCGGTGATATGCGTCGATTTGAGCAGAGTTCGTATAAGTTTGAGCGCCAAGGAATAGACGGATATGGGGGGTGTCAAACGTACAAAACCTGCTTTGGTTGCTCGTCATTGCATTCACTCCACCGCTTATGGAGGTGCTTAATAGTAGGGCTTGAAATGCTTTACGGGCTTCCTGGGGCTCCCAAAAGATGGTGTTGTCTTCATGAATTTATTGACTTTCCACCCAGTTTTCCTCATTCCACCCCCCCTACTCATTGCCAAAGCAACCCCCTCTCACACCCCCCTCTCTCCACTCGAACGTTCGCTCCTTCGTAGGTTTTGCTCTTCCCGACCTGCGAGATTCTCAATTTCCAACTTATTACGAAAAATCAACACCTCCAACATCCCCTTTAAGCTCACACTGTTCTGTCCCCCGGCTTCTCTTCAGGACTTCGTGGCTGCCACTTTGGGCCAGCGTTTCATCGAGCCCCCCCCCTTCAACCTGCAAGCGTGCTACAAGGACAGCTCCCCTACCGCCCCCCTCATCTTTGTGCTGTCTTCCGGAGCGGACCCCATGGCCGACTTGTTACAGCTGGCAGACGAGATGCGGTTCACCAAAAAGTTCGAGAAGGTGTCGCTCGGGCAGGGCCAGGGGCCCAAAGCGGAGAAGCTGCTACAGGTGGGCGTTCCGTCTGCTCCGCGTGTTGCGATTCCGTTCCGGCGGCTCTCTGGCACCTTTCTCCTGCTGCTATCCGCTTCAGATGGCCTTCTCGCATCTCTCCTGCGTTGCTTTACATTCGGTCTTTTCCACGTTCAGAACTTTAAGATAGGAGTCTGGAGTCTCTTCTTTGCTTCGTCGTATGCAAAGGCGTTTGCTCAAGGGGCCTCCAATCAGCGTAAGGCAGTGATACGTGCATATTGTTCATGCGAAGATTGCCCAATACCTCAATCAACTCTTCTTGGTGTTCAGTGATATTGAACACCCTTATCAATACGGTTTCTACGCGGCCGCGCCGCATAGGTATGCTAAAACCCACGGATTTTCCGTACGCAGATGGGCATGGAGCGCGGCATGTGGGTGTGCCTCCAAAACTGCCACCTGTCGCAATCTGAGACTAATCTCAGCGCGGCCGGCTGCGCCGCATCTCTTAAACCTCAAAACCCTTCTTTCGCAGATGGGCATGGAGCGCGGCATGTGGGTGTGCCTCCAGAACTGCCACCTGTCGCAATCGTGGATGCCGTCGCTGGAGCGCATCGTCGAGAACATCGACCCCGAGAAAGTGCACAAGGACTTCCGGCTGTGGCTCACCAGCATGCCCTCGCCCGCGTTCCCGGTCGCGATCCTGCAGAACGGCGTCAAGATGACGCTCGAGCCGCCGAAGGTAAGCTTTAGTCCACAGCTTCCAGAGGCTTTGAGAAAGCGGATTCGGATCTGTTGAAGTTGCCGGTCTTCGATCCGTTATTGAGTTAGCTACCTGGGATTTGCCGCAGCTCTCGTTTGGATTGGATGCTTCACCTCCTAAAGATTGGAACAAAATGCTTCCGGATACATACAGGGATCAAAATCCACCCCCCGGGCATCATTCCATCCACTCCTTCCTTGGCCATTGAGATGTTCTGTTTCACTAGGCTTTGCTTGACTGAAGATCCTCCCGCAGATTCTGCCGAGGAACCGCGTTCTTCTTGATGCCCGGTACCTGACCCAGTTTCCTTAATACTTTTCCAGGGCATGAAGTCCAACCTGATGCGGTCGTACCTGCGCTTCAACGACAAGTACCTGAACGACTGTGAAAAGCCCGTCGAATGGCGCAAGCTGCTCTTCGGGCTGTGCCTCTTCCACGCCGTAATCCAGGAGCGCCGAAAGTTCGGCCCGCTGGGGTGGAACATTCGGTACGAGTTTACGGAGGGAGACCTGGGCGTGTGCCAAACGCAGATCCGGATGTTCCTCAATGAGTACAAGGACATTCCGTACAAGGTGGGGACTTTGTTTGGCGATATGGGTTTGTTATATAACTGCCTTTTCTAGGTTTCTGAAGTGGGTCCTGGTTGTCTGAGATTTCTTTAGTGATGAGATGTCTTTGAATTTCGGTAGTGTCAAAAGCAGCTTTTGAGATCAAACCTTCCTCGGAAGCTGCATAATCCTCACGGATGAAGTCGATGATTTCTGCCCTAAAAAACTCTGCGTTATGCAAGGGCAGACTCTCTTCTTGCTAATCACTTTGCTTCGCGTTCGCTTCAGTTGGTCAAGTGCTTGAGGAGGTTTCAGTCTTCCTCGTATCTACTTCCGGTCAGAGTCGCTTCTTGTGCAAGGTTTGACAAGCCAACCTCCTTTCCCTCATCCCTATCGACGCCCTTTTCCTTCCAGGTCATCCGCTTCCTGTGCGGCGAGATCAACTACGGCGGCCGGGTTACCGACGACAAGGACCGGCGGTTAATCAATAACCTGCTGCTGACCTTCATTAACCCGGGGGTAGTTGCCGAGCAGCCGTACAGCTTTTCCGAGTCGGGCGTGTTCCGCATCTCGGCGGCGGGGGATCTCACCGGGTTCCTGGACTACATCAAGGAGCTGCCGCTCGCGCCGAAACCGGAGGTGGGTTTATTTGATGCTTTGAAAAGTATACTTCTTTCGCTGCATTTACGTTGCTTTTAGCTTTGTGCTCATAGGCGTTTCTTTTGGCTGCCTTTCACCCGATCATGCCTTACCACAATTTCGAACATTCTGAATTTTGTTCTGCTTCGGGTCCCGTTGTCCCTTTTTCCCATCCATACCTCTCTCAGTCTTTTCCGGCCGGTCTCCGTCCTTAAACTCTTTCACTAAGTAACAATTGTCGCTTTGAATCTTTGACCTTTTCCATTTACCTGCCCGTCCGCAGCTCTGCAACCCGCGCTCTTCCTACCCGCAAATGCTCATAATTCGTAGAAAGCCCAAGATGCATACGCCAAGTTTTTCTCCTCAAACTCCTAACCCAAAAATATAAACCAGACCCTAACGGTTCATAATCTGCGCCACAGATCTTCGGCCTGCACGAGAACGCGGACATCACGTGCGACCAGAACGAGTCGCTGGACCTGTTCGCCACCGTGCTGTCGTTACAGCCGCGGACGACCGGGAAAGCGGGCGGGGGACTTTCTCGGGACGAGCTGGTCGAGAAAGTCTGCACCGACATCCTGACCAAGGTGGGCATTTTGAGGCGGTTTAAAAGATTGGCTCTCTGTTGTCTGATCTCTAGGGACACTGCATACGCTTATATTGGTCGAGGAAGTCTGCACCGACACCTTGGCCAAGTTAAGTACCCGGAGTTTTGGACATACTTCGCTCGGTTGTTTCGTTTTTGGACAGAGTGCAATCGATTCTGCCGGGTCTCTGTATGCTTATTGTCATCCTTCCGTGTCAACGTTTCGACCGTTTTCGAGTCCGTTTTGCGGACGTACCGCTCCACCGCGACGGTAGACAAAAGATTGCGATTCATTTCTTTGTTGAGAAAAGCTTTCGGAACATTGCATTGCACGCATCTGATTTGCCGAAAGAGATTGTTTTTTGTCAGCAGCTTAATTAGACGTGGATGCCTCTAGGCAGCCCGCAAGTGAACCCACCTCTGAAAGTTAGATGAGCAAACATACGGCAGAGGGCATTGCGTTCAAAGCAAAGTTAAATGAGTAAGGGGATCTGAAACACACCATGGAAAATATCCAGTCTTTTCACCGCAGGTCCCGCCCGTTTTCGACGTGGAAGCGGTGCTCCAGGCGTACCAAGAAGCGTCCAAATGTCAGAGTACTTTATATCCATTTAACACTGAAAAAACAAGCGGAAACCTCGAGTGCGCACCAAAAAGACGCCCACTTTTTCCACCGCAGGTCCCGCCCGTTTTCGACGTCGAAGCGGTGCTCCAGGCGTATCCGACCAGCTACAAGGAGAGCATGAACACCGTGCTGACGCAGGAGTGCATCCGCTACAACGGCCTGCTCGCCGTCATGAAGAAGTCGCTCCAGGTGAGGCCGCCTGACGTCAGCATGATCGCCAGAGCCCGCTGGTGGCTTGTTATAAGAGAGGAGCGCAACCGAGGTGCTGTTCATGGCACCGATTGTCGGGCGCTGCGAAGGGTGGTCTTCCGAGAGCACCCGAAAACCGCGCCGCGAACTGTGCGTTGAACCATCGAAGCTGTAGCTGAGCTGATCAAAGAAAGTCTTTGCCTGCAGTACACAGCACTTTGGTTGCGAGACCAGCAAAATTCACTCATCACAAACTAGAGTTCGACGTATTGGATCCTCAGTTACCCGATCGCCCGGTGAACAACTTCTACCCTCCACCGTAATCTCAATCTAACCCGCGCCTTTTCACACCTTACCCGCAGGACGCGCTCAAGGCGCTGAAGGGCCTGGTGGTAATGTCCCCCGACCTGGAGCAGCTCTGCACCAGCATCTTTAACAACCAGGTTCCAGAAATGTGGGCAGCGAAAGCGTACCCGTCACTGAAACCGCTGAGTTCGTGGGTGGCCGATCTGCTGGAGCGGTGCGCTTTCATCAGCAACTGGATCGCCAAGGGATCCCCCGCCGTCTACTGGATCAGCGGCTTCTTCTTTCCCCAGGTGGGCGCGCGCGTTCCGTAGCGTCTAAATGCGTTTTGTGGGCTGTTCGGAGTGCTCGTGTGGATTATTCTTTTGAAGAAAGGGATTGCTGACCTTTTAACCTTTGAGTTTTGAAGAGCTTTCAAGAAAGCATTCTTGCGAACCGCCCGCAGGCTTCTTTCGTGGAACATCTTGGTCGAACCGCACGCGAGACGTCGAGATTTTTGAACGTTTTACCAGAAGAGTGCTTGACCGTCCGCACTAAAAGCTCGACACTCCAGAGCATTATACTAAACAAACCAGCCCTTGCAGTTTCCATTCCGCAGATTCTGATTGCAACCAAAATGGAAGCTTGCCAAAATCATCCTAAAAGCTGAAGGCATATCTCAGGTTCGTAAAACGTTCTTCCAGTTATGAAGACCCGAAAACAAACCCTTTCGTTCCTTCCTGGCAGGCGTTCCTGACTGGCACGCTCCAGAACTACGCGCGCAAGTACGGCTACCCCATCGACACCGTCAGCTTCAACTTCGTCGTCTGCGACGAGAAGACGCTCGAGTCCACGGGGGATCCCCCCGAGGACGGCTGCTACATAAGGGGTCTCTACCTGGAGGGCGCCCGGTGGGATTCACGGAGGCATTTGCTGGGGGAAAGCAACCCCAAAGAACTGTACTCCGAGATGCCGATCGTGTGGCTGTCCCCGGTGCAGAACCGGAAACCGCCCAAGACCGGGGTGTATGAGTGCCCGGTTTACAAGACGCTCTTGCGAGCGGGTGAGGCGTTTTTGCTTTTCGTCGTTATTTGGTGCATGTGTAATCTGGTGTTTCGAAGTTGGCACAAGAGGGGCTTCTCTTGCACGAGACGTGAGGTAAATTCTCATGGTCGCATTGCAATGTTTGAATTGTTATCCTTTGTGGCAAGGGTGACACCTAGTATGTGCTGTTTCATCGACATAAAATGGGAATACTCAGAACCAGATTCTGGAAGGGCGGGAAGAGGTCTTCTCAAGGTCTCGCTGATGTCATCACCGCACCGGCACTGCCGACTCAAGGCGGCTCCGGGGCGGCATCCGATCCCTTCCAGCACGAAACACATGAGGAAAAGTCTGTCCGCATCTCATTCGAGCTTCCCCGTCCGGAAACGCTCAAACCCGAGGATTCATTGTTTACCCTCGTGTTCTGAGCGCGGCTTGACTCTGTATCTCTTTGCTCCATAAAGGTACTCTATCGACCACGGGACACTCCACCAACTTCGTCATGTATATCGAGATACCAACGGACAAGGAGCAAGCACACTGGATAAATAGGGGGGTCGGCCTTTTCACATCACTAACTTAGAATTACCTTGAATATAGATTACTGTCAAACGCTTTCATAGTTGAAGCTTTTGTTCTTGTTGATACGTTATACCGATAGCTGCTCTAGCTTGGCATGCTTCAAAACAAGGACTTGGTTTCTCGGCCGTCTGTGCAACATTTATTGCAATATCTTACCATATATCTGCTCATCAAATTTTCCAGCCCTATGCCAATCACCGTACAAACAAGTTGGACGAAGTGCCTATAATATTGAGGATCTTTTGACTGGATAGATGAAACTCATAGATGCTCGCCAAGGTAAGCCGCCGTTCTGCACGTGTCTTAGTGCTGATTGAAAGTATCAGCGTCGCAGAGTGATATATGGAGCTCTGCACGGGTATATGCTATACAAAGATGCCCTTCGCCTTCGGCCAATGCATATTTTTGAATGACTCCAAATCCTTGTGCGCTCCGTTTGCATCCTCCATTTGGCCGGTGTCATCTTCGTCATGTTCATTTTAACTTCCTGATAGTGCATAGGCCCGCCTGCGCACGTTATGAGCGAGGCTGAAATTTGCCGCCGCGCCGGCAATCATGTCAAGCTAGTCGGGGGACACATAAAAAACACGATTGTTTGCCGTGCACGGACCGCTTGATGTACTGGTCGGCCAAGAGGCAGTGCGGCACCAAGATTGTGGCTCGGCGATGCTTGAATGATACAAGTAACCGCATTTATGTGCGGACTAAGGCGTGCGTCTTGAGGAGAAGCTGTGCTATGTGGACAAGTTCCATATTATGACATAATGCGGGCATAATGCCCACTAAAAAATAAGCGACGATCCCGTAGACAGGTTGGTCCGGTTGACAGCGTATCCGGCGTCACAAAAACAGAAAGCGGTAGTACAGTCCACGAGGATCGAACTCGTGACCTTTCGCGGTTTTGACCCTTCCGTGGGGGGTGTAAAGCGAACGTCATAACCACTAGACTAGGACTGCGCGCGGGACGCATTGAGCGTGCAAATTTCAACACATGTAATAACAATGATTTCTTACACTCATGCGATCGACGGGTCGTGTGCAACTGTAGTTTATGGCTGTGCTCGGTAAGCCGTCGATAAAACGATGCCGCCCCTTGATTGAAACTCCTCACCGGTGATCCACCGGACCAGTTACCAGTCACGCAGTGATAACGCACTGTGTGACTGTGTGAAGCTGTGTGACTAGCTAGTCCTCATTAATGCACTTGCACACTTGTTAACAGCAGCCAAACTCATTCTGTTCAAACCTCAGGCTCTGGCTTTGAGATGGTTTTCCGTCATCAAGCGAGCAGGAAAGGAGTTTTTCTTTCAAGGGCGGCTAGTGGCGCTCATAATTTGGAATGGCCTCAGCTATCATTGTCAACTGCCCCGCGTTCTCAAAGGCGGCGCAGCTCGACTTGCGCCTCGCCCTGGTTTAGCGTTAGCTGGCTGCTGTGCCTGAACATCTTCGCCTTTCACTGCACTCCATTGCACATTCTTTGCTTCCAGTCCAACACTATCTTTACTTTTGTAGGTACTAGTGTATCCAATACTTTTCTTCCTGGCCGTTCCAGAGGGGGTGCAGGCGTTCTTATGATTGTTACTGCTTAGAAGCTCAGGTGAGCACCTCAGTCCTGAACTTCTGCAAAGTTGGGCTGACCTGCTCTTGCCACCGGTTTTATGTGCTTGTTCTACTTAGCTCAGAGGCTCAGGTTGCTGTTTTTGAATGACTCTGGCGGGCAGGGCGTTGAGAGGGGATGCTCTGCGCTTTTTAAGGAAGATCCAAGTCCCTATTCCACTAACTAGTGGGGAAGCTGCTTTTATTTGACCGTTGTATTGAGGTGGGGGTCTAGCATGGTTTGCTGAGGCTGCTGTCTCCGAATGGCTCTGGCAGGCAGGCGTTGAGAGGGAAAGCGCTGCGCCTTCTGAGGAGGATCTAAGTCCCTGTTCTGCTAAGTGGGGATGCTGCTTTGTTCACCTTCTGGTCTGTGTCTTTAGCGAGCGGAGGCTGCTAGTATGATTCAGCAACGGTAGCCCTGGTGGCAAGCAACGGGCTTGATAAACAAGCCTTACTTGACGACGTCAGAGGTCCCCCTTCGTGCCAGTGATATCTTTTGAAAATAGTTGTTGCTTTAGCGTGCTGCATTGAGCTTGGATGCTGAGGGCCAGCTTTGGAAAGACTCTCCGCAATCTTCGAAAAGTCTCCCATGCTACCTATAAGTCCTGCATGTTGTTCAGAAGTCCTCTGCGCCGGGGCAGGGCCGCTTCCAGGCCTAGTGGAACCTGGGACTGAGGGTCTCTTTCTCTCGCTCTTGCAGGCCATGGCCCGTTCCCCGTGCACGAGTGACTTCACGACCGGAGCTACTCCTCCGTAAAGTGGAGAGTGTCGACTCCGTTCGCAGGCAGGCCCATGTTTGCGTCTTCAGTTGCTCGTGGACATTAAGGTGCACTAGTAGGCCCGTCTGCAGGAGCAAAATTCACGATCGCCCTGGGGAGTTCCAGCCGAGTACCTTCTTTGCTTTTGCGGCTTGCAGCTAGCTATGGGCACCCCAGCACGATTCTACAGTCATTGTTTGAACCGCGTGGCATTTCCGACCAGAGGTGGCTACCACGATGCCACGACGCCGGTCCGACCGCAAGTTCATTATTAGTTCAGCTCACCAGATACAAGGCAGATAGGCAGAATGGTCAATCTAGTAGGCTGCAGAGTCCTTTGCCTAATGCAAATACGTCACACAGGCCTAACAGCTCTGCACCAATCCTTCATAATTAGAGACGCGTCACGTTCAGGATCCGGGGTAATTGGCATACGGGTTTGCTTTGGCTCCCAGGCCGTCTTCAAATGCGCTGCATTTACTGTACAATGCTGGCAACCAGAATACATATATGCTCTTGCACATAAATCTGCTCATGCATGAGGTTGATTCCCTGACTGCGCGCATGCGCGGCAAGTTCCACCGGCCAAGCACGACACAATTGAGCTAGCTGGGGGAGGCGGCGGCGAGCTTGTAATATTGCGGCCGCCCACCCAACCGAACTATAAGAATTGGCACCTACATTATATAGTGTAGGTGGGCCCGGCCGCGCGCGCATGTCAAGCTATAGCGCATACTTATATATATAGCTTGACATGCACGCGCGGCCGGGCCCATGGTATCATCGGTATTGCATGTAATTAGCACGAGTTCGTATACCATAATACATGTGCAAGCGCCCCGGCCCACTAACATGGTCGAGTTTTGCGCTCATCTACATGTCTTCGCCATGTACGTTGCAGCTTCCCTTATGTTCCTGCATTTTCGCATTTGACCGCTTGCATCAAAGGTCTTATTCAATAGATGAGGCAATTGGCAGCCAAGCAATACTTTCTTCCATCAAAACGCGTCACAATCACACATTAAGCGAAACCAGTCTGCTGAGAACTTCCATTTAAAGCATGATCACAAGGGCCAGCAGTCGAATCAAACAGTGTCTTTGACGACTCGCACGAGAGTCCCAAAGCACTAGCAGATCAGAATAAGTCTAGGAGCAGTAAATTCAAAGCACACCGTTTAGGTCTCAACCTACGAGCTGACAATTTGGACCGACCAGTCTTCCGCGACCGACAGCCACGGCCGCTTGATAACCAACGCCGTTGCGTCGCCCCCACTGCCCATCACCGGCGGCTCGACCGCACTCTCCAGCTGGATCTTTCCGTCCGTGTCCCCAAGAACTGCTCGGAAAGTGCTGCTCTTCTCCGCAATCTTTGGCAAGCCCATCACAACAATCTTCTCAATCTTGTTGGGAAGCGCGAACCCTTTGGCGCTTTCCCCGGTGGGGGCTGCGTCGGAACACTCTAACCGCCCGTTCTGGAACGTGAAGCGCCGCAGGACGTACGCTTCCTTTTCGTAGTCAAAGCTTCGCCCGTCGTCGACATAGAGGAGGCCCTCCGCGGCCCCAGTTGAGTTCAGAGCGATGTACTGCGAGAAGGGTGCGGCTGAGTGAATAGCGGAAAAATCTGGCAGAAGCGTGAAGTTGCTGAAGAATCCTCATGCGGTATGCGTCAGCACAGTACAGACTGGCTCCGAAATAACCACAACAAGAGACTTGGAAAGTGGTTGTCAGATGAAAACGCTCAAAGATTGCGCAAATCTTGCAATTCTTGCCTTAACAATCATAGTTCGAATCTCGTGCACCAGTTCATAGACGGAGGAAGACGTCTTGCATTTTCATCGTAACCCTATCGACTTGCGACTCCAAGCTTGTGTGTTGGGCAGAGAATATACCCACTGAGAATACACAGCCCGAGCTGCGGATTCTAACGCCCATCTCAACCAAGTCGTCGAACAACTCATCCAATCTTCACACCGTCTTAGCTGCGCTGACCGGCCATATGATTTGGAAACGAACCCGATTCATGATTTTAGTGATCTACTGCTCAGCACTCACCAGAGTGTATGGATCGTTGGCCATCTGCGTGGTGCTCCGCCGTGGCCGGTCTTTCCGGGCGATGATGCTCCCGCCCCTCTGGAAGGCGGGGAAGCTCTCCAACCCGGTGACGGGCAACTGGACATAGGACAGCACGTGAGGGATGGGTTAGAGTTCCAGGAGATAAGAATGGGATGCAGTACTCGATATTCAGAGCCTTTTCCTGCTCCTAATGGACGAGGAAACCACAAAATCCTTTTGAACACACTCTTCAACAAAGAAGCATGCTCTCTAATCGAGGACCACAGGCTAAACTGTCACAGATCATAACAATGATGCAACACACAACGCGAGGTCACTTATAAGTATTCTCACTGGCGTCGTCAAAATCTACATAACCGGAACATTGGGCGACTTTACGGTTGCGGGCCGCCTACCGTATCTGCGAGAAAATCACCACCACCGTAATCTGCGGTGTCTACTGGCTGACTCACCGTAATTGCTTTCCCGGCCGCCCCGGTGTGTGCGGCCCCCGTACGGACTTCATACCAGGGCTCCTTGCCAGGGAAGAATGCGGACACCTGAAAGGCGTCCTTGGTTACAACCGGGTGTACGAGAATGTCCGAACCGAGCAGGAACGATTCGTCCAGCGCCCACGTGGAGGCCTCGTCGGGGTACTCCAACCAGAGTGGCCGCATCACCGGCAGGCCCGTCCTGAAGGGTTGAGATCCGGGTTAGAGGGCTGAAGGGTTGGGTTATGAGAGGTCAGGGTTACAGTGATTCGAGTGTACAATTCAGGGTTCGCGTTTGAGGTCAACGGACAGCCAGAGCGGCGGCATGACCGGAAGGCCCGTCCGGGGGGTTGAAGAGTTTGCGGTTCAGAATTCGAAGATTTAAGGGCTCAAGACTCAACACAATGCGGTCAGTTACGCCCCGTCAAAAACGACAAATCAGTGAACCTTTTACCAACGAGGGACCATGACACAGAAGAACGCCCAGTCAAAATCCACGCTCTGCACATTGTTCGGACGCAAGGCAGATATCTGAGAGCGTCAAATTGCTCGGAAAGAAGACCAATGAATTGACAGGAAAGAATGACCAACATAGATGAGTCCGTTTCCCGTCCTCTTTGCAAAGCATGTCACGATTATGTGAGGTACATGTAGGAGCGTTTGTCTCGTCCGAATCAGGCCAGGAATAAAACGTCGGCCACAGATTCTTAACGAGAAACACAAGTCTCCAGAGCCCTCAGGAACCCTCCGCGCTCACTTGTGGGCCTCGTAAAAGACGGTGTAGACATAAGGCAGGAGGGCGTATCTCGTCCGGATCGCGTCGCGGATGAGCGTCGTGTACGGCTCGCCGAAGAGCCACGGCTCGCGGCGCTTGGTGTCGAGGTGCGCGTGGCCGCGGAAGAACGGGTAGTACGCACCGACCTGGTACCAGCGGGTGAGGAGGTCGGGCTCCGGGTTGCCAAAGAATCCGCCCACGTCAGCGCCTGAAAGCGACGCGTTGATGACGTCAGCTTGAGGTCAGCCAAAACCGGTCAAAATGTGGTGTCAAAATAAGGCTTCTCGTGCACCTCCATGAAACCTTGAAGTGCGAGCTTTTGAAGAACCCGCCCACGTCCGCCTTAGAAAAGGATACGGTGCTGACGTCAGCATAGGGTCAGAGGTTGAGGAGGTTTGAATGCTGGTGTCAGAAGTCTGCTGTGTGCGTCACTACAAGTACTGATGGAGGTCGGAAGCGCAGGAGACCCGAAAAGGCCACCGACTGCCTGCGCTGACAAGACACCTAGCTGACGTCAGTCTGAGGTCAGTGGCCACGGAGGGTCAGCACTGGTGTCAGCTTATGGATCCAAGATTTCCAAGATTCTGCTGGAGCCTTAACTTCAGCAGCTCCAAGAAAAGCCATGCACATCCGCGCTTGAGACTGGCGTGCTGACATGTTCTTAAAAGATTCGCTTATGCTGCTGTCAGCGGTCGGGTTGGCACGTGCATTCACTGCAAGGGGCTAAAGAAATCCCTCTTGTAGACAGGTCGTATGCAATCCCTCGGGCTCAACCGCTGACGGCTTTGGACAAGGAGCACTTGCTATTGAGGTGTCCTCCGTGCATGGATTAGACAAGTGACCCGAAACTCCACCAGAAAAGCAAAGCTTGCGGCACAACTGCCATCAAATACCGACTTCTATCGACACCCAAACCGAGAATGCCGTTCAAGTGCAGATTCTTACCCGCGAACGAGATGCCGGCGACTCCGAGGCTGAGCAGCATCGGCACCGACACCTGGAGGTGCGTCCACTCGGCGGTGTTGTCGCCCGTCCAAATTGCGCCGATGCGCTGCGTGCCTGCGAAGAACGCGCGCGAAAGGACGAACGGGCGGTCGTTGTTCTTGCCCCGCTTGAGAAGCCCTTCGACAGAGGCCTTGTGGAAGAGGAGGCCGTTCAGGTTGTGCAGGTCGCGGTGCTCGACGCCGTCGTAGTGCAGGTTGTCGCGGGGCATGGTTAACTGCGGGTTTAAAAAGTAGGTTTGAATCGGGTCTAATGCATATGAGCGGAAGGTCAAAAGACGTTGTCGAGGTTGCTTATGGAGGCCATATTGTTTGCCGCCGCCGTAATGTAGGTTACCTACGGAGCATGGTTAGCTGCAGAGTTAGGAAGCCGGGTTCAGATTGAGATCAGCATGTTTAGCCGCAGGTTAAAGAAGCGCTTGAACAAACATACCAATCAAGGTGAGGATGGTCAGAGCCTGCTTTACGCTCAATCTCTGTGGTGATTCTGGTGCTTGACGCCCCCACTCACGGTGCAGGTTAAACGGAACGAACTTAGCGGGTTCTAGATTTGGATTCCACTACGGACGAGCTCGTGTTGTTTATTCAACTGAAAAGAACCGGAATTAGCACTAGCAACAGAGTTTGATGGCGTGAACCAATCGGCCAGAAGTTCGCCTTGACCTGCGAAGATGCTGGACACTCAAGTCATAGGTCAAAGGGAACAGGACACCAAGTTACAAGCTCCCATTGAGAGAGTCACCACTGAACGAGTGACACATGCAAATCCGTAGGTTCAAAGGGAAAAACGGCGTCTTTACAACTGCCATAACCAAGATCAATAATCCATACCTCGGGCCCGTTGAAGACGCTGGGCTCGTTCATGTCGTTCCAGGAGTAGAGCGTGAGCGTCGACTCCTTGTATTTGTCCAGCAAGTACTGCTCGGCCCACCAGTCGCGCACCTCCGGGCTCAGCATGTCCAAATAAGAACTGGAGCCTGGCCAGCACCAACCCTCAAAGTCGTTGCCGTCCTTGTTCTTGACATAGTACCTGTGGGGGATTGGAATGGATTAGTCAACAAGATGACACACATTCAGGTTACCATGGCTTAAAATTGAGGTCAAATATAGCAACAAGCGATTCTTGTTGACATTGCTGCCAGCTGACCCTACCAATCTGCAGATACTCAACAAGAATGATGGGGTTGAACAATCCTCAAAAAGAAGCAGAGATGGACAGGGGTGCAGCCAAGGAACCCCGATTAGGCAGCTGCCAGAGGAGGGCTGAAATGGAGTGAAACCCCAAATCAAATATACGGTGGTCACTGCTACACGAACATGAGCACGTCTCTAAAACAAACGTTGACCCAGTCTTACCCTTTGGCTGTTGCCTCCTCATGGATGTAGTAGCCGGAATCTCGCTTGATGTGGGGGTCTACGATCGTAACCTGCAAGCGGTCAAGAAACGGATTGCAATTCTGACCACATTGGACACGCATCCTGAACACGGATGACTAGCAACATCTTGCACTGTGCACTGCCAGCCCCAATTTCAAAAATATTGGTACCCAAAATCGTTCTAAAGCAGGCTGCTCAAAATGAGGTAGGGGGTAAAGGGGCCGTGCAGGGAAATTTCCAAAGTCCAGAACCCTGGGCATAAGGTCAGTGCACTTGGGGCTTCCGCAAGCACAAAACATGCGTCATCAGCGAAGAGAACTTCTCAGAGTATGGCTACATGTTCAACTCACCATCTTCCTGCCCTTGGCAGCGATGCGGTTCTGCATCTCCTTGGGGTGCGGAAACAGCGAATGGTCCCAAGTAAAGTACTTCTTGTGATCCGTGTGCTCAATGTCCAGCCACAGCACATCGTAGGGGATGTCGTGCTCGTCAAACCCGGCATCAACCGCGTTGACATCAGCCTCATCTTTGTAATTCCACCTACACTGGTGGTATGCGATCGAAAACAGCTGTGGCATCACCGGCTTTCCTGTGACTGTCGTATACTGCTGGACGACGTTCTTGGGGGTGGGGCCTAGGAGGAGGAACACGTCAAAGATGCCACTCTCGGCGATCCAGTGCGTGTCGATCCTGCTCTTGTCTTCCAACCCTGGGATCATATGCTCGGCCTTTGCCAGCACGTCGATGAACATCTCCGCGGCGTTGAGGAAGAACAGCCCTGCGGTGCCCTGCGCGCCATGAGCCATCATCATTGGGACTGCGCCATAGAGTCCAAAGGGCGACTCGTGCACGTACTCAAACACGTCCAGATTGAACAAGCGGTACGGTTCGGATTCTGCTCCCTCCAGGCCCTTGGTCGGCTTCAGAGGCAAGCGAGTGGCTCGCTCAGGAATCCCATAGAGCTGCTCTGCGTTGATGAAAGCAGCATCAAATGCAACGCTTGCCGGCCCCTTTGGTTTTGAGTCTGTGTGCGACTTGAAGATCTCCTCCCACGTTCCGGACTCCTCCTCGCTGATGTTTGCTGGTTTCTCCCGATAGTGCTCAAAATTGAACAGCCCCCGGCCGTTGATGGAAAGGATCGGTCTTCCATCAACAAACGCATCAATGCGGAAAGGATCATGCAAGATGCGGAGCTTGTTCCCCCCCAGAGTCAGCCAGGTGTCCTTGCTCGAGCGCGCAGACACAATTGGACTCTTCTTAGAATCCAAACCTTCATCCAAAACATCTGGCACCTCAAAGCGCTTCTTCTCAGGAACCTCCGTCACTTTAACCCTCACAATTCCATCCCCATACGCGGAGATCTCCAGGGGCAATTCTACCCCCGGGAAGTCTTTGTTGATCACAGTCCCTGAGAGCCCCCCCCCAGCTGCCTGCTGCAATTTGCCCCCCAGAGCAAATGTGCTCGCACCCGGCTCCTTGGCCCTATTGCGCCGGCAGAAGGACGCCTCATGGCACTTGCGGAACTCCTCTGATTTGACAGCGAAGGCGCATTGGCAGCTCAGAAGGAGGCAAAGAGCGAAGCCAATCAGCGCGGGAGACATCAGCACCTTCTCTCCACCCCCCATCGCAGCGCACCGAGTCTGGTCGCCTCCTCAGAATGCAACTGATCCACCCGTTGTTCAGAGGTGTTCAAATGTGGGGATGGTGTCCTCCAGGCTCCGCCCTGACCAGACGGTTGCTGCGTTGCATGCAGTTCGTGGCGTGGACGTGTGTTCCTGCAAGAGGGACAGCTCATGCAAGTTCTGGGGCACAGACACTCTTCCTCTAACAGGGCCTCTGGAATCACAGGCAGAGTGAGTGGTGCTCAGCTCAAAAGTGGAGGCCTTGTCAGAGGTCCTATTGACAACATCTTGAGACTGGAACTTGTGGAAGTCGTGAACCTCTCTCGGAGGAAGAGACAGTTCTTGCTGCACAGGACAAAGTAAAACGTCAGAAAATGGTTATGACGCATGAAAGCGAAAGTATTTGTCAGAGGGAAGGCGCTCTGCTTGTAAAAGCATGCTCTTTGATGGCCATCGTTTATTTGTAGTGTAATGCCGCAGGGTTTCCTACACCGTTGCTTTTGTGAAAGCACCCCCGCCGCTTCCTTTTGAGACGCCGATGGCGGTGAAAGGTAAGGGTGCTGCTAAAAAGTTCCACCACCGCCGCCCGAAGCAACTTGACCGAGACTTAGAGGAGATTGCATTTTTGGAAGCAACCATCAAGGCGGGAGCGCCCCCATCAGGCTCAAACCCACTCGCTTCTAACCCCTTGAAAGATGGACAGAAGGCTTCTCAAGCATCAGAAGGCGCGTCAGAACTCCAGCCTTATGCAGGGGTCCGAGCGTTCGACGAGCTGCCGATATCAGAGAGGACGAAGAAGGGGCTGAAAGAAGCGAAGTATGTAAGCATGACAGCGATCCAGAGGGCCGCCATTCCGCACGCCCTGGCAGGGAGGGATGTGCTGGGGGCTGCTAAAACGGGGAGCGGGAAGACGCTCGCTTTTCTGGTGCCTACGCTGGAGAAGCTGTATAGGCTGAGGTGGGGTCCAATGGATGGGGTGGGGGCGCTTGTGATCTCCCCCACACGAGAGCTGGCGCTGCAGGTTAGTAAGTTTTAGGGTTTTGTTAGGAGCCGAATGAGGAAGCATCGGGACTATTTGCAATGCACACTAAAATGATCTTGAAGACTAATGCTGTGAATTATTGGATTCTTTCTGGATGGTGGTGTGGATACTTGCAGTGGTCAATAATATTGCAGCTGGTTGATAATACTTTCAGGGTTTGGATGACAATGGTGGTAACGATGGTTCAGACTTCCTGATTGGTGGTGCAAACTTCTTTGTGCCTTGTCATCTCCGGATTTAATACTTATTACCACCTCTCAGAAAGAATTGGCAAATGTCCTCCAAATAATCTTTGAACTTTATACCAAAGAAAGACTTTTTACCACCACCATTCTGCACAACGCTCCAGAATTTTTTTGGTCATCTATTGTATCCTCATTTGTTTCCTACTTCACGTCTATCACCCATGTACTTACATCATCAGCAGCCTAAATGATTTCACCAGGACAAAGTGTCGGAAGCTAGAAATTTTCTATGCTGAAATGCTAGGCCTTTGAACAGTGAATCCATTTTGTCCAGATCTTCAGCACGCTCAAGACGGCTGGCAAGCACCACAACCTGAGTGCGGGGCTGCTGATTGGAGGCCACTCAGTGGAGCAGGAGAAGGAGCGCATAAATTCCCTCAACATCCTAGTTTGTACCCCGGGGCGCTTGCTGCAACACATGGACGAGACGCCCAACTTTGACTGCTCCCAGTTACAGGTAAGAGCTTGCTTTGATTGGAAGGGGTAGCTATGAGGTCTGCAATCACAATGTGTGAGAAATGTCAGGATTATATATGGTGGTCATATGGTCTAGTCGCTGAATATTGTGCCAGGTTTGATTTGGGACAGGAAGTGGGTGGCTACAAGGTCTGCAATCACAATTCCTGAGATTCTCAGGATGCATCCGGTGGTCAGAAATGTATCTGCTGTGATATCCTGCCAGGTTTGATCCGTGACAAAGAGCATAGTTGTAGTAAGCCATAAGATTTCACGATTTATTTCAAAAAGACAGATGAGAGCATGTTCGAAGCATACCTAGAGACAGACCGAGATGGTTGAGCTGAGAGGTTCTTAGGAAAGGTTCTTCGAGACTCCCAAGGTTACCAGTAGGGCTGTTCAGACGCTATCTGGATTCCTCCTAACATCCTCCTTTACAGAGTCCGCTCCAGTGAGGCAGACCGCATCTTTGGTCAGCCTGTTCTCTGCGCCCTGAACGCACCCAGACAGTTGCCCATTTGATATCTAAACGGCTCTCTCAAGAGTCCACATCCGTCCAAACTCCTCTACAGGTCCTGGTTCTCGACGAGGCTGACCGCATCCTCGACATGGGTTTCTCCGCCTGCGTCAACGCAATCCTCCGCTTCCTCCCCAAGACCGGCCGTCAGACTTTCCTCTACAGCGCGACACAGACGAAATCCGTGCGTGATCTCGCACGGCTGAGCCTGAAGCACCCTGAGTATCTGAGTGTTCACGCGGAGGCGTCGGCAGCAACCCCCCTGAAACTGCACCAGACGGCGATCATGTGCCCGCTGGAGGAGAAGCTGGATATGCTGTGGTCGTTCATCAAGACGCACCTCAACACCAAGACGATAGTGTTCTTGTCGACGTGCAAGCAGGTGGGTGCTGGCGAGACCACTTTACGAGCCGGTTTCAGGTTGGAGCGCTTTAGGCGCTGGGGCGTTGGCAGTCATGAGACATGGATCTGAGGCCAATAGGCAGGTCGTTGTTGAAGGGAACCAACAAGGGGAATCGTCTTTTTACGTACAGAAGAGGGATTTCTACGAATCTCGACAGGAACTTTTTCGAGGTATGGTTCAGTTCTGGTGGCAGGTCCGTGGCCTGTGGGTCAAACAGATTGGCAGTCGGGCAGAGATTGGCTCCGTAAAACGATGGCTGGGCTGCTCACCGCCAGCAATACACTCGGGTCCACAATGCCTTTCTTCTAATGTTCTTCGGCCGCAAGCTTATGTGAAGGGTTTGGATTCTTGCTCACACGTGCCGGGCTCAAGTGCTTAAGGACCGCTCTGGCCGTTACGAAATGATTTCTACGTTGACAAGCTGACAGCTTGAGGGAATGCTTACGGAGGAGTAACAGTACCTTATCCTGATCATTGCCATTTTGGATCAAGGTCTAGTTTGTGTACAAAGGTTTTAAGCATCTACGCCCTGGAACCGCTTCTGTTACGGCGAATCTGGACAGCTGAAGGGAAGGAAACCATCTCGTTATTTATCTGAACTCCCTGTGTCGTAAAATGCAGGTCAAGTTTGTGTACGAGGCGTTCAAGCACCTGCGCCCCGGCGTGCCGCTCAAGGCGCTGCACGGCAAGATGAAGCAGGCGAAGCGGATGCTCGTCTTCCAGGAGTTCTGCGACTCAAAAGCCGCGGTGCTCTTTGCCACCGACATCGCCGCCCGCGGGCTCGACTTCCCGTCCGTCGACTGGGTCGTGCAGGTTAGTGTCAACTTTGTTGAGATTCAGACCCCTTGAGCTTGGGCATTCTTGAGGTTGTCAGGTTGTGAGGTAGAAGGGTAGGAAGAAGGTGTGCTTTGCCACGTAAGAGTTGGAAACTTTGGCGCTGGTAACAGCGTACGGACTCGATGTCCAGTGCTTATTTGGTCGTCCAGGTGCGTCGTCACAACGATGATGTCTTCAGCAGTTCGGCAATGGGATTTTGTTTGGCACTGAACTGGCAGGGTCTGCAAAGGGAAAGGGAACCTCAGTCTGCAGTTGTGCACTTCAGAATTTTCGAGGTTCCGTGCGTGAGCAAACAATACCGTCTCATTGCCTGCTTTGTAGTTGGCTAGGAGTTCTTGGTTGCTACCGCCCACTCGCACAGTCGGTAACAAGGGGTGTGGGGATCGAGGAAGCAGGCACCTTCTACCTATGTATACTGGTCGACACAGCGTTCTTAAACACGTGTTTGTCCTTATGCGGATCAGCAATGTGCTCTCAATGAGCTGCTTTTGCCTGAGCTGCTTTTGCCAGACGACTTTTTCCCAAAGAAGCAGAATGCACCAGTGTGCTCGATCACTTCACTAAAGCTTCATCAAGCAGCAATGTACAATCTGATGGATAGCTTGATCATGTAATCGATATTTTTTTTTTCGTTGTAGGTGGACTGTCCCCCGGACGCTGCCGAGTACATCCACCGGGTCGGGAGGACCGCCCGGTACACGAGCGCCGGGCGCAGCCTGCTGTTCCTGCTGCCATCGGAGCAGGCTATGGTGCAGCAGCTCCGGGATGCTAAGGTACACAGCACGCCCACCAACTCAAAATAGTGCTCAGAGGACTAACTTTTGCTGCAATGATCTTCCAAGCTCTTTCCATTGCGGCTTACTTCGTTTCCGAAGCAACAAAGGAAAACACAGAAAGATGGTGCACGTGGTTGCGCGAAACGCGTGGATATGCCGTAAGAGTGGCTGCGTGCTGTTTGTAATGGGACAGCAACGCTGACAAATGTTTGTCTCTCCAGGAACACCCAGGAGTTGGTGACGTTTCCACTGCATGCAGGAGCCTCTGTGTTGACCTTTCGCGCACCTTCCATATTTCCCCTTTGAAGATTTTGAAACACATTGGCGTAATCCTCGCAGGTGCCTGTGAAGGTGATAAAAGCGAACCCGACCAAGATCCAGTCCACCTCTTCCAACCTGGCTGGGGTCCTGTCTCAAGACCCGGAACTCAAATACACCGCCCAGCGCGCCTTCGTCTCCTACCTCCGTTCGGTTAACCTCCAGCCTAACAAGGAGGTATTCGACGTAACCCGCCTTCCGATCACGGAGTTTGCGGCTTCGCTAGGGCTGCCAAACGCGCCAAGGATCCGGTTTAGGAAGAAGGGCGCGGCAAAAGAGGAGGGTTTAGGGCTCAGCCCGAAAGTTAACCCGGAGGAGAATGGGGGAGGGGAGGAGAATGGGAGCGAAGAGAACGAGGACGATGGGAAAGCCGGTGGTGTGAATAAGCCGGGGATGAGCGGGAGAAGAATCGCGGAGAACGGGCGAGGTGACGTGGATGATGACGTCACGAAACTTAGAACAAACGAAAAGGGAGGGAAAGAAACAGCTTCGGAGGGAGCGACTGAAAGCGGAGGATTGGTTGGGGAAGCGAACGGAGACACGGCGAAAGAAGCGAAGAAGCGATCGAAAATGGAGCGCCTCTTCGGGCGCAAGAACGCCGACGTGCTCTCGGACGCGTACCAGAAGCTGCGCGCGTCGGACGATGACGAGGCTGCTGACATCAGCGGTGACGAGGCGGGGGATCTGCTGCGCGTGAAGCGGAAGAACCACGGGCTCGACGGAGAGGACGGGGAGAGCAGCAAGGGGGCGCTCGTGAAAACCGCGAGGTCAGTTCTGCGGTGCTTAGAGTTTTCGCATTCATCCCTTGCCCTTCGTTTCTTTCTCTGTGCACACTCTGCATTACAATGCAACTTTCTTCTGTTTAGCTGGTGCTTCGATCTTTCACGGATTGGTGAGGACCAAGAGACCCTGACGGCCGCTTGCGGCTTTGCGGACTGTTCTTCTTCTTTTTCCCAGCATTGAATCGGTGATATCCCCTCTAATTCTTTCCAAGCCTCCACGAAAGGTGGACCAGTGACGGCTGACAATAGGCGGAACATTGTGCTGGCAACGCGTCCTGCCATGTACCCACTCAAGGCGGTCAGAGGGTCTTCCTTCTTGGCGACGATGACTGCTTCAGAAAGCAGCCACCTCTCGTGCAGGAACTCAGAACCTGACGCAGAAATTCCCCTTCTTCCTTTTGCAGCAAGAAGAAGCGGATGAAGATCGATCCGGGTGCGGCGGGCAACAATCGGCTATTGTACGACGAGGAGGGGAACACTCTGGACCCTCTGGCAGCGCTGTCGAGAGACCGGGACGAATCGGGAGTCGACAACCGGCAGAGGACAATGAATCTGACGGCGGCTGAGAGGTGGGACTGATGCAGAAGGATCGGAAAGGGAGACGGTAATTGCTTGCATCGATTCGTTGCTTGGTCAGTCCTCGTGAAAACATTTCCTAGCAGACCTTTGGGGATTGCCGTCTATCTGGACGGAAATCCTCCTTTTGAATCAGTTGAGGTTGTTGCTCGGTGTCAAACCAGGCGTCCTCCCATTTGCCGGTTCTTCTGACAAAGACGGAAAGAGGCAAACGTAATGTGTACCGTCCTATCAGCCCTGCACATTACCCAGCACGAAGCAAGGTCTCAGGTTCTGCAGTGCCCGCACGATGCATTCCGCTTGTTCTTTTCTGCCAAAATTCATCGAAAAGCTCACATCCTGTTCTCCCCACAGGTTCAAGAAGCCGCTAGACGCAAGGAGCATCTGTACCTTTTCTCTTCAAAACTGTTGCAGGGGCAATTCGCTTGAATTTTCGACTCAGTTGAGTCCACTCCATTGATGCTTAAAGGAAGCTCACATCCTGTTTTCCACAGGTTCAAGAAGCTGAGAGAGGAGATGAAAGTGAAGGACGCGGAAGATAAGCGGCTAGAAAAGGAGCGGTTGCGTGCGCTACGGCTGCAGAAGAAACGGAAGGAGAAGGTCCGCTCGGGGGATGCCGAACGGGAGGAAAATGCTGCGGGAGCGCAGCTCGGGGGGGCGGAAAACGGGGGCGAAGAAGGGGGGTACGGCAGTGAATCTGACGGGGCTGCAGGTAGTGAGAGCGACGGCGACCAAAGGAGTGATGGTAGCGAGGGAGGGGTCGCTGGGATTGGGGAAGGGGAAGTGGGTCTGTCCGAAAGTGATGGAGAGGGTGATTACGGGGATGAGGAAGCAGGAGGTACTAGCGATGCGGACGAGGATGTAAAAGAAGATTGTGGAACGGGCAAGGGAAAGAGGAAACTGGGCTTGCATATGAATCCAGCGGGGACACCGAGCAAGAAGGTGCGGAGGAGAGAAGCTGAGGATTTATCGCTGGCCGACCAGGAGGCTTTGGCTCTTAAGCTGCTAAGTAGTCGCCGTTGAGGACGTCCTCTTGAGTGCGACACCTCGCAAATGCAGTGCAGTTTTATCGGTTTAAGGCTGCTTGTATCTTGTCAATTCCATGTGCTCTGTCTTTTACGTTTGTCTCATCATCGGCACCCACTAGGCATCCGACCCGCAAATGTGAGTATGTCAACCTACTGTAGTTACGCAATGCGCGGGCCACCGCGGCGGAGGTCGCCCAGCCGGACGTAGACGCGGTTTCCGTTTTTCAATCATTAAGCAGCGGCGAATTCAAGGTAAATTGAGCTGTTTAACTAACCGCATGTAGCCGGCCTAACTTTTTTTCACGCCCGGCAGGCCAGGCACTATCTATGTTCTATAAAACGGGAGCTTTTATCACGACAATCAACCAGCATGCTCAATATGATGAAAATTATTTTGCTGAAATAGAAGCAATTAAACTTGGGCCACTGAGCATGAAGCATGATTCGTTCACAATGGGAAGTGCGAGCACCCTCATTATAAATGGAGATAGAGGTGTGAAAAAGGAAAAAGAACTGCCAGAGTGCTGCAGACTGATTGAGCGACTGCAACCAGCTAGGGCAGATATTTGTGTGCAAATTATGATCTTGTGGCGCTCTGGCATGATCATTACCATTCCAAGACATGCTATGGGATTGCATGCACGAGGAGCGCGATCCTCGCATGATTTCTCGAGACATTGCATATAAGCAGAGGGTGGTTCAAAGGCTATGGAAAGGTGGAAGCTTCGCGATAGAAGGCCGCTTCAGACCATTCATGCAGAATTCAGACTCGTGGCATAACAGGAACGTTACGGGGTGTTGTGACCTACTTCGACGGGAAGAAAGCCGAAGATCCGGCGAAGACGAAGATCTAGAATAATAATTAGTTACAGAGGTAGATAAATAGTGTGCTGCGGATAGGCATAGCAATAAATAATGTTTGCTTGGAAAAAATGGATAATCGATGACTGCATTCGACAAAGTCTCAGGCATGAGATATTATCGAACTTATCGAGTAATTCGAACTATAAATTGGGCGGAATCCGAACATCGAGCATCTGAGAATAACTTAAATAAGAAGTTGTCGAGAGGCTAATTCCGACGCGTACTGAGCCCAAATCGGAGCGCCTCTTCAGCTCGAAGCGAGAATTGTTTTATGGATGTTAGCCCGGTGGGGATAATGGGGAGAGGCGGCCACTTCCCCAGATGGTGGAATATAGCCGCGTCTGCTTCATCGAATCAAGGACCCTATTCTAAAACCCCTTCTAGTCACTTTTGACCCCTATTCGTAAAAATCAAAACTCTTTTTCCCCACCCTAGTTTCCCTCACATGCATGCCAGGCTTCTACTATTCAACAAATTGTTGAATACGGTTATATCAACGTCTTGGCGAAGGTCTGAACAATCATTGGCAAGCTTGTTGCTGGGCTTTGATGCCTTATACACCGTAGACAACCAGCCAGCAAGAGGCTTGCTTAGCTGCTTATTACAGAATCTGCAGAGCCCGGGACAATTGTGGGGCCCCTTTCTGCCCTTTCGTAAAACCGGCTGGCATTTCAATGCCCCTATATCTGAAACGGGCCTTTTATCTTGGCTGTGATTTTCGAATCGTCAAATCGACGCGGCTCTCTTCCAAATTTGCCAACCCTTTCCAGGGAGTGACCGCCTTTCCCCTGGTGGGTGTATTATTGAGCGGTGCGCATCCACATCTACTGCAATCTCGAGTCTAACCGGGACAAGTCCGAGGGTCTCTGAATCATGGGATCTCGAATCCTACTCTACCACGAGGTATCTATGGGGTATCTATGTTAATTGTTAATTGTTAATTCTTATAATTTTTTATTGACGTCGGTTCGGAGCCATGACAGGCTTAGTCGACGATTGTCCTATTTAAGACCTCTGCGCGTCTTAACGTGCACAAATGGACAAACTTAGCTACCGCAAATTGGTCCTCTTGATTGAGAAAGCTCTTTAGGTTTCTCCAATCATTATGCTCGAAAAGTAATTGGAAGGGTAGTCTAAGGTCACTGAACGCTGTGCTTTCGAAGATGAAATGCGCTTCGTCCTCCAGTACCCCTGACCTGCAGAGCTTGCTTCTATGTCCCTGATGTCACTGCTGCTCTATACACAAAGCCCCACGGACCACTGAGCGGACGAGGAGGATCACTCTGCAAACATCATGCCATGATACTCAAAAGATGTGCAGAAAAGAAACATGCAGGCATGTTTCATTTCAGCACATATGACAAAAGGGAAAGACGAACAGATAGTGTGTACTGTGACGTCCCATCGCGGAGTGACAAAAATGCCGCTCCATCCAAAGCGCGGGCAGCGAACAACGAAACGACATGGAAGTGGAGTAGGTGCCAATGGAACAGCAAGGTAGAAGTCAGAAAAAGTACCTATAGCACCCAGACGTTCAGTGGAGTTAGGTAATCACAAGTAGGTAGGTATCGTAGCCCAATGCTTGCAGAGCTCCTCTTTGCCTGTAAGGGGGGATAGCTTATGACGCCTGCATTATGCACTGATCAGTGGCTCCGACGGTCCCGACTTGCAGTTACTACAGTGTAGAAAATGTTCCCGGTTCGATACTCTGTAGATGTCCCGGCGTGTCACCGCAGCTCGATTCAGGCCTCCCGATCGTGGAGGGGCTAGCTAGCCAATTGAGCATTGTCAACTTAACCGTCGGCCCGACTAGCTGAATCTGGTCAAAGGATGTCAAAGGGGTGCGCTGCTGTGATTGGCTCGGTTCCCGTGCCCCGGTTCGCATCCGTCGAAAAGCACGCGTAAGGCTGCATGTGGTGGGTGCTTGGTGAGAAGCGATATGCCGGCACGTAGGAATACTAAGCTCAAACCAAACACTAAAAATCTAACCTATAAAAACTACCCGCTCCGCACCCGTACCCACCCTAACCCCCAAACTAACCCTACCCGTCCCAGGCTGGTGATGTGTCGCTCCCTAGCTCCGACCCAATTTTCTGCCGAACAGCATGTTGACATCAGGCAGAAGTGCCAGCTGGCCTCCGCCGCCGGGGCCCGGGGGCCGCCGGGGCTGGGGCCCACTGGGTGGATAAGTTCAACATTCGTACGTCAAAGCCAATCACTTGCAAGGAAGAAATGACTACGACTGATGCAGTTTACAAGACGCCACATTCAACCATTCATTGCGCCAGCAAAGGGGATGATACTTGGAAGCAATTTGCAAGCAGACGTAGAAAGAGAAGAACGAAAGGCAGCTTGCTGATCCATACAACGGGACAGAATGGCGTGCAGCAGCGCTCTCCCCCTCAGTGTTTGCACCTCAGGCTTGGTGCCGAGCTGGTTGCCTGGCGCGTTTCACTACAGTGTCTCCTCAAGGTGGACCCTCCACGTCTCCCAACGAACAACTAGAGTCGGCGCGGGTGCGAGGTCCCAGCAGGAACGGCATCACAGTACTGAGGCTGAACATGACGGAAAGCGGCCTGCGTGGGTTCCCCACCCCGACACGCTCAAGTACGGCCACAAGCGCGTCTTGGCCCTCGATGGAGGGGGCATCCGGGGCATCATCCTGGGTACGTGAGGTGCTGCACCGATTGGATGTAGCTGGATATGCAAGCTTATTATGTCCTTCAATTCTCTGGTTTTGCAAGAGTACAATGTGAGGGTGCAAGCTGGGGATGCAGAGGCTGGAGATGGTTCCAACACACAGTGCTCAATTATGCAGCAAGGAGCTGGCTTTCTCAGCGATCTGCACCAGCTCTCACGTTGCCTCAAAGCTGTCGACTTTTTGGTTCCATTCTATGCCAGCCACATGATCGTGACGCAGCCTTTCAATCACCAACATCTTTGGTCCTGCTGTTGTGCTCTGGTCTTGCTCAGACTTGTTTTGAATTGCTCTATTCAGAGGGACGTTGTATGCCGCCCAAAGTGAAACAAGTTATAGCTGGCTTGTATTGCCTTTACTCTAGAGAGAATCAGGGCCAGTCCATAGCCAAAAGCTGACAGCTTTCTGCCTTTTCATTACAGGAGTGGTTTTAGAGTACCTGGAGGACACCATCCTTGAGGTTCTGAGGGAGCGGCATAAGAACGAAAATATTGAGCGAAAAGACATCTACCTGGCAGGTAGGGCAGCAGCCCCACCAAGAGCTGATCAGAGAGGCTCAGAACCAACTCGATGCCCTTCTTCTTGTTAAGCCACGTTCATTCCTGCGCACTGGCCTCCTTCATCTGATCGAAGGCGTGGAGGTTGCCAATCCTGCCATCCCTTGTAGGCATGAGTTTGTTGTCCTCTAAGTCAGTCTCAGGGTCTAGTTTGCGCCATGTGCAGAATTCTTTGACATCATCGCTGGGACCTCCACGGGGGGCCTGCTCGCGCTCTACCTGGCGTCTAGGGGCCGGACTTATGACACCCTGGGCAAAAGCAGGCTGGGCCTCACAGAAAAGGAGAGGATGATGATGGAAGAACCAAACAACAAAACCTACCACCGCAAGGTGAGGCCGAGAGTTCTAGTGACGGAGGGCACTTGCTATCACGGTGCATTATGGAGAGGGGGAATCTGGACATCTAACTTCCAAGTGTTGGTTCAGTACATGCAGGAGGGAGAGTGGCAACAATTCATTGTGGAGCTACTCTCGAGCTGGGCTGATTGCTTTGAACTGCATGCCCTTAATGTGGGGTAAAATGAGCTTCTTCAAACATAGGAAGGTCTACGGCTGGAGGAACAAGCAAGCTAGGCAGGCATTGTGTCTCTTGATGCTCCATTGCGGGCAGTGTTTATTCTGCAGGGTGGCGCAACAGCAGCTCTTCAAATGTATCGGGCCAACGCGTCGAACATCTTCAAGCACACGGTGCCAGGCTATCTTCGCTGGGGTGAGTCCAGGGCCCAGTCTGTCAAGCACTATCTTTTGCAAGGACCCATCTTATGCTCTGAGGTCCCTTGCATCGATCTTTGAGAGATCTTTGCTGGCAACCTATCAGCAACTGTGTAGAAGGGATCACACAATGGTGAGGGGCTCTCTCAAAAGCAGAAGAAAAATGACCTAGGCGCGCTATCTGACATACACGTTCCACCTTGTGCAGCTCCCGTGGAGTGGATCAGTGAAACCTTCTTGAGGGCTAAGTATGGCTCTAACGGCATTGAGAGTGTGCTGCAAGACGTTTTTGGTGCTGACACCCAGTCTAAGAAGAGCCCGATGCTGACTCTCAAGGACCTCTCGGTGAGATAGCGAAGCATTTCTGCCCACAGCCCTGCGTAGCTTGCTGCTACGACAGCACGCCCCTGTTTAGGAGCGGTTGCACCTATACACTGCCAGAAGGAAAGAATCCTTTGGCTCGGAGCCTTCTTCAATAAGCAGCACGTGCCGATGCGATGCGGGCGTAACTTTTGCAGTGCATTGCTGAGGCCAGATCATATGTCCCCATCAGAACATTAAATCGAGACCCGCTTTTAAGTACGCTTTTCAGTATGGCCAGGGCGAAATGAGTCCAGCACCGAACTGAAAAAGGAGACTTTTCAGTCGATACTGATCTTACAATTGGGAGCAGAATTTCACACCGCGTATGGTCTTAGAAAGGGGACTTCTCAGACGGAAGCGTCCTTAAAGTCGTTTCAACATCGAACTCAATCCTAGTCCTGATTCATAGTGAAAGCTGGCGGCTCCTACTCATCTGGCTTCACGAGGTGCAGGCCTCCGTGGTGATCCCCAGCTTCAATACCAAGGAGATCTCGCCCTTCACGTTCTTTTACAACTCGTGCGCCAACTGCCAGCGGCCCGGCTTCACGTTTGTGGGCAACAACCCAAAAGACAAGTACGCGTCCGACGAACTGTGCACGTTCACCGCCAACTTCCCGCTCTGGCAGGTGGCACGTGCCACCTCAGCAGCGCCGACGTTCTTCCCAGGTTCGTTCTCAGGAGCGGGCCCTGTTCAAGTCAGGTCTAGGGGATCCAGGTTCGTACAAGAATTTCAACAACGAGGAGGTATCGTGCCAATTCGGTAGTGAAGCTGGTGCACCCTCGTGCTTCGATAGGAGTGCGCATGGCAGACGGCCCGTTTGGATGGGTGTTGTGACTTGGCTCCGTGCTCTGCTCCCGCCTCAGATACCAAGCTCTCATGCAAGTATTTCCCCAAACTCCGTCTTTCTGTTAGGTCCCGACTTTCGGCATTTGCTTATGCAGTTGCGTTTGTTGAGCACGTGGGCCCTGATCCGAAGAATGACGAAGGCGTGAAGCCACCCATTGAGCCCCTGGAGCTTATCGATGGAGGCGTTGCTGCCAACGACCCCGCATTCCAGGTATGCTGAACGTCCTGAGACGCGGCCAGAGCAGGATTCAGCACGGTGCAGGTGCAACGGAGGGATGAAGCAGCTAGGGTTCACGTAGCAGCGCTTGTTGGCTCCCACTAGTGCTTGGTCATTTGAGACGCCAAAGAGTTTTTGGTATGCTACAAGACCTTTTGTCGGGACTGCTTAGAGTGGCTCCGATCGGAATGGATCGGGCCTCCTTTTGATACAGCTTTCTAAATCTGCAAGCAGCTTGTTACCTTCATTCAAACCAAGTCCGGAACGGCTCATAGGACTCGGGGTTTGTTTCACGAGCATTCACATCTTTCTTCGAAGTGCAGTAATATTCCACTTTGTCCCCTATCGCCCGTTTCACACATTCGGGCTCACTACCCTCCAATGCCCTCCGCAGGCCGTCCTGCTCCAGGGCAAGATGTATGGTGCGTCTCTGAAAGCCGAGAATAAGAAACCCAATTGGTTGCTGCCCACGGATTTCGCGATCCTGTCCCTCGGCACGGGGACGATCAAGACGGCCGCGCCTCAGAAAGGCGGCGCTAAGCTGTCGGTGGTGAGCGATCTGGTGGGCAAAGTGCTGATGGGCAGTGCCTCCGACCTGGTGCACAGCTACTTCAAGGCCATGATGGTGAGCCCAAAAACTTCCCTTCTCCTAAGCTGCTTTTTGCGGTAACGCTTGGCTCGACGCGCGACACTGATGAGGCCACTTGCGTCTCGTGCTGCAACTTGCAGCGGGTTGGGCGCGAACTTAGAAAGCGTCGCCAATTTTCCTTCCGTTTGATGCTCAACATGCGAAGTGAATCTTGCCGGTGCTTGTTTGTGGAGACGGAAGAAGGTAATCAAGTCCTTCCATGGCATCGACCGTCCGGTCCTTTGCACGTTTCCGTCCATCGCCCTTTGAATGATCCTCTTTACCTTGCTAGCTAGGGAGCTGCCAACCGGCTTTTCCCGTCCACTAAAGGTTGTCGGTAGGCAGACTCCTTGACAGAATAAAAAAGAAGGGGACGAGACAGCACCGCCAAAGAGGATCCGAAGAGGCCAAAGAAAGAGCTCTCGGTTTCTTGATACGGCTTCCCTTGCTGACGTAACTCCGTCTGTGCAGGCCAACCTGCCCGAGGGGGAGGGGCACAAGCCTGAGATGGACCGGGAGCCGCCGTGTCCGTACCTGCGCATCCAGAAGACGGACACCAGCTCGGACGATAAGAAGGAGATGATCAAGCTGGCACAAGACGTGCTCCAGAGGGCGGCGACGGATGACGAGAAGCAGCGCTACAAGAACTGCCTCAACATCATGGATGACGTCAGCGAGGCGAACATGAACATGCTGGAGCACATCGGGGAGTTTCTGGGGCGCCACATCACGGGGCGGGTGGCGCATGATGAGGACGGCCGGAAGCACCGGAACCTGTTGAGGGACTACGTGGTGGAGTACGTGCTGAAGCCTGCTGAAGTAGCAGGTAGCAACTAGAGCGGGCCTTCTTTTCAAGGGTGGGAGTTTTGGAGCAGCGGTGAAGAGAGTGTTGATGAGTTGCACGAGAGCCGCGTGGGACTACAATCGACCGCCAATGCCGCCTTGCTTGCGAGCACTGCTGAGTAGCGGGTACGCTTGATTGTCATCGCGCCCATCATTGGGGAGCGAAAGGTTACAATAGTGTTGTGTGTTGTTCTGCTACGTACTGTTATCTGGGAGCAGAAATTAGTTATTTAGGTGGTTGCAGAAACCAGCAAACCTTGACTTGTATTGGTATCGCCTTTGAGGACCATAGGCGCTGTAAAGTAAAATGAACGATAGTCAGCCTACAATTTGCTTGAACCTACTGTAGCCTAGGTTACGAACGAAAAATGTGGGTGTACTTTACCAGCTGCTATGTTTTGGTATCTGGGATGAGCAGAAATTAGTTATTTAGGTGGTTGCAAAGATCAGCAACCCTTGACTTGTATTGATATTGCCTTTGAGGACCATAGGCGCTGTAAAGTCAGAAGAACGATAGTTGCAGCCTACAATTTGAGCTTGAACATACTGTAGCCTAGGTCACCAACGAAAACTTGTGTGTGCTTTACCAGCTTTGGTGTTGCTTGAAGTGTTGCCTCTGTATAAGTGTGGAAGATTTGTCCTCTACGTGCACGTCGGAAAGTGCTGATTATAAATGGACTATGCATGTAACGATGCGGTCAGCAACCGGACGCAGCAGCTATGGTCATACATGAAGCTGAGTAGTCGGCTATCAAAGCACACTAGTAAGTTCAGCACGGCAAGCTTTCCATTGTCCAAAGCCCTCGATCGATCAACTATGAAGCTGCCGCCGTTGACATAAGGTGATTTTGTAGACTAGCTATTCCAGGCCATCTCGACTCGAGGCTCCACCTGCAATCACATCGAGTATTTGTGACTGTGGAGAAGCGCTCAATTTCAAAGTACTATAGCTCTGCTTTAGAGCTAATCACGGTTTGAAGTATTGAAAGCAATCCGCACCGTCAAGCTCGACACTTTGACGGATCCAAGTTCATGTATCTTGTCTGTCTCGTTCGACCGCACACTGCTGAACGATTCGATCGACTGCACGAACGGGAACCTGCTTCGATGTACTTCAAGGGCCCCGGTCTGTCCGTGCGGTATCACCGAGAAGTGTCTGTCCGGTTGTGTTCAAACCGGACTCTTGACTTGCTTATAAGTGTCCTTTGGCCATAGAATTCAATCACGTGCAGCACTGAGACGGCGGCACGATTTCTTGAATACCATCTCAACTTACGACCTTGATAGATAGTTCCTCTAATTGCTTTGGATCCACGCTCGAAGGAGCCCGAGTAAGAAGGTCTACTGCTTGTGTGGTTTTCGGAAAGGCGATTACGTCTCGTATACTGGACTCCTGTGCCAGCAGCATAACTAGTCGGTCGAGACCATAAGCGATGCCACCTGCAAAGTAGTAACAAAGGAAGGTGACGATCGTGCCGTATTTCTGATTGGCAAGCGTTGCCCCGTGAATTCAACAAGATTTTTTTGGAGGGTTTTCCAAGCACAAGAGACGCTGATTGACTTTCGCTCACATAGAAGCCCCTGATTGAGAGCATTACGTCGACGTGCTCTGTGAATCTTCTTCGGTGTCACGAGAAAGGTTAAAAGTTCTTTATCGGAGTTGGACATCGAGCGGCACATAACGCATCCCGAAGGAACCAACTAAGGCAACCTTTTGCAGAAAAGAGATCGGTGGATATACCGTGAGGTGGGGCGCCGCAGTCAAAAGCTTCTAAAAGGTACCCGAACTTTTCCTCCGCCTGCACAGCAGAATAGAGTAACGTTCAATTTCCGCACTGACTCATTCAGAAAGCGCGCTCGATTATGCGGAGGCAATACGGAAAGGTTGCAGCTGTAAATACCGCTTCCCTAGTTCGACAAAGACTCTGTCCAGCCCTTTTCAGACACTGTCGTCCGGTGTCTTCTACTTTCATTGCCACAAGCAGCGGAACAACCCTAAGCACTTTTCTAGAGGTTTTTTCCAGAGAAGGACTAGGTCCGAGGACTGTCCAAGAAGTCGTCAAATTTGACTTTACCTGCTCTGGAGAAAGGCCAATGAGCTCAAACATCTTCTCTTGGAACTCCCGCCGGTAGATGCGCAGACTGCCGCCGCCGATCTGCATGATACAAGACGAAGTTCACCCTCCGCTCCCTCGATACGCAAAGCAGTCCCCCAGCGCAGCCAGGAGATCACCCCGTGCCGCCACAGAGAAACGAACAATCTTAGGACGACAAATCGCAAAGGCTGTGATTCTTGGAAGTTTCCAAGCGTGCAAGCAGAATCTGCTGTAAAAGAACCCACGCAATCTATTCACGATGCCGTCACCCTGTCCTACGCCTCAAGGCAGAGGCGAGAAGGCCATTCAACGTACTCGACTCAATTGTTCTCTTTGAACGCCACTCAAACCTCTGGGAAAAACCGACAGGCTATCTGAATAAATCCAGATTGTGGCGCAATCGCAGTCGCATCCTGGCGTAGACCGATTCCCCGATTGCCAAGACGAGAGGGTTGAAAGGTCAAAGGGGTTAAGGAGTTAAGGGAGGGGTTAAGCCCCACCTCCGTCCCGTTGTAGACCATATCGTATGCGAGCGCCCGTCCGTTCCGCAGATCGTCCATATCGTCCGGATGCGGCGCCGTGAACGGGTGGTGCAGCGCTTCCAGCCGTTGCTCCTCCTCGTTGAACTCGAACAGCGGGAACTCGGTGATCCAGAGGATTGCATGTGCGTTCTGCTCAACAAGGAATATGTCGGAATCACTCAAATCATCCAAGAAGTCGTCCGGGATCGGCGCAGTGAACGAGCAGTCCAGTGAAGTAAGCCAAACCCCCAAGCTGACTCGCTAATCCCCCGTGCTTCGCGTTGTTATGATACGGTTCCTCGATCACAAACTTTGTGACCATTGAGTTGCGGCGGATGGCGTCGCTCGCTCTTTTCTTTGACCATAAAGAAAAGAAGTTCCTTCGTCCGTTGACCCCCACCTTGACTATGAGGCCCAGCTTGTCTCCCAAGTAATTCCGCAACCGATCCAACACGCGCGCCACCAACGGTTGAGGCCCCGCCGCGAAGAGGATGAGGTCGTTGGGTCCCGCGCCGCACCGCTCGAGAAGCGCGGCTTGGCCCTCTCCCGAGAGACTGGACGCAACAGCCGGAATGGTGTCGAGTTCACCTGCGTAGTGGGACCAGAAAGAAAGTTTGCTTGAGAGATTGGCAGAGTAAAGTCGTCCTCAATGAGACGTTTGGAGGGCATGTCGATGGAAAAATCGATGGCCCTTAAACAGTGAGCCGAGTCTCGCGAACTGGAAGCGCGGCTTCGCCCTCTTCCGAGAGACCAGACGCGACGGCCGGTATGGTGTCAAGTGTACCTGCGCAGAAGCAAAGCCTGATTCGAAGATTGCCAGAGAGATAACGTCCCTTGTGGGGTATACGAAGGCATGTCGAAGACTTAGTCGAAAAGCATTAGAAATGTATTTTGAATTGGAAGCGCGCTTTGGCTATCTTCCAAGAAACTGGACGCGACAGTCGGTATGGTGTCAAAGTACCTGCACGATGGGACCGGAAGGAAGGCTGGTTAGGAGCTGGTGAAGTACAATCGTCCTTAGTGGGAAGTTAGAAGGGCGTGTCGACGACTTAACCAAAGGTCTTTTGTTCGTGATCCGAATCCTCGCGCACTGGAAGCGCGGCTTGACCCTCTTCCGAGAGACTGGACGCACGCGCCGGGATGGTGTCGAGTCTACCGGCGCGGAAGCAAAGCCTGTTCGGGAGCCTGTCGAAAGAAGGACTTTCAAGTCGGCTCTTTGAAACGCGTTTCAAACATTTGATCAAAGGATCTCTTAGACCGTGACCCAAGTGAGGTAGTACTGCCGGTGTGCCTCAAAGTATTGGTCACCTCGAGCAGCGTCTCCTGGTAGATCCGCCCGAAAGCAACTTTTCGCTCGAATTCTCTTTTCCCGAATGCACCTCTTTCAACCGTCGAAAGTGGCTAGTGCGCTTCTAGGGACGTGGAACTTTGAAGGGGGACGCGACTGGCCGGAAGCTTGACAGCCCACTGACATCGCGCCTTTGATTCACCTTTTAACAATGGGCTGGAAGACACCCTTCACATCCTGGCATACACTCGAGCGATTATTGACCTTCTTGATTGACCATGTTACGGTGTTCGCTCACCTCTACCGTTGATCCCGGATTCTCGCTTGCAAGCTTTGCAAAAACGACTAACTTCAACAGATCGCATATTAGACTCTATGCAACGTCTTTCATGCCTTTCAGAACCTTGGCTTTCAGAATCGGGCCAGGAAGGTCTTAGCGCCAAAGAAAGGCAGGACTATGTACGCACCATCCTTGAGCACCCGGATGTACGCCAGCCCCTGCGCTCCCGCGCTCACGGCTTGCTCCAGAACGTCGCCCTTTTTCAGCCGCTGTTTTGAGATGGACTCCGCGCCCCCAGTCACAACGATCGCCCTGACAGCCCCGCCACTCGCTATTGCTCCAGAGAACACCTGGCAATGAGAAAAGCTTCTCATGGAGCTCCGGTCTTGAAGTTCGTTCTTAAAGATGTTCGTTGATTAGGAGCCTACGCAGGATGCGCCACAGCTCTTCCCTGGTTACAATTCTCCGGAGCCAACTGGAGCTGTCTCCATACAGGCAAATTTATTTCGTAAGCTGTGCTTCACAAGGATTTCCAGATTGCTCCTCGACCGTTCCCTTACGAGAACCTGAGACACGGAAGTTGGCGAGAATCATACACAGAGGCGAATGATTCTTACTCAAGCTCCAACCTATCTGCATCTTAAAGCGGATTTTTGACCTCACTGGCTTCGGTGTTCTCGTGAAAAGGTGATATGGTCTCATTTAGCCAGGGCCAACGACCGATTAGAAACTCCTTCCTGAAGCCGTCACACCTACAACACGATTTCACAAACCAAACATGAACCGGTGTGGGACCCCCTGCCGAGATTACGTATGCCGACATGTAATTTGGGCACCATGATGTAGGATCTAGAATATCGGATTGCGACAACTGGAAGAGCTATGAGATTGAGTTGCCACGTGTTTAATTCAAGGCGCCTACCCGTGACGCGTGTCGTGATCAGGGGGCCCACCTTGAAGCTCGAGTCCGCAACTAGATCCGACATGTCCTTAATCTCCATCCCGAATCGGAGGTCCGGTTTGTCGCTCCCGAAGCGCGCCATGGCGTCAGCATACGTCAGCCGCGGGAACGGCCTCGGCAAGTCCACCCCCCGAATTTCCTTGAACACCTGAGGCCAGCGGTTTGGGGGCCGGGTTTGCAACGAGTTAGCGTTCTGGTTATCGACGGTTAAAAACGACCAGGAGGATTTTTCGGGTTGCTTAGAAGTTGGTTAGTGGTAGACCAGACTCATACTCGCTCCGATTAGTTTTTTGACAGGCGACAGGGATATCGCACAGGCCCAAAAGATGAGAGTTGAGCCGTTCTTAAGGGTCTCACAGTGACGCACAACCGTTTCGTCGAGGAACGGGCTCGGAGGTCTGCAAACGGTCTCAGGTCCGACACAGGGTGCCAAGTAGACACCAAACCGGACCGTTGATTCCAACCTCTGACAAGACCAGCAAAATTAGAAGCGCGAGCGTGTATTAACTGTCGGTAATCTTTTCCATGCAACAAGACACCTTTGTGCAACCACGTACAGCTTTGACAATGCCAGGATCACTAAGCGGTTCGAAACTGACTCACTTTGCGGATCAGGTCCTCGTTGAGCTGTAGAATGTCCTCCTGCGTCATGAACGACATCTCCATATCCACTTGCGTAAACTCGGGTTGCCGGTCGGACCGCAAACTCTCGTCCCGGAAACACCTGCGGTAAATCACGGGGTCAAAGTCGGATTGGCGCGGTTTTCCCTTCTCCTTCTTCTGCAGCCTTACGCACACAGAGAGATAATCTGCACACAATGATCGCAAGCGTCGGACCTGTTCGACTCAAGACCCTGATCCCTCCTGATCACCATCTGATATACTCCAAATGACCCTTTATCCAGATTCAACATGCCTTACGTCATCCCCTTACCTTGCAATCTGGTAGTACCGGTCGAAGCCGGAGACCATGAGCATCTGCTTGAAGAGTTGGGGGCTTTGGGGCAGGGCGTAAAACTCGCCCGGCTGCAAGAGAGAAGGTTTGTCCTCTTTTAGCTTTTCCGGAATTCAAAGAGAGTGTCGACGATTCTCCTCCGGTCGATGAAACAAAGTGGCTTGTGTAGACTCGACGGGGGTGCCCAGGTTTTAGGGTCGACGGTCTAACCCTTTGCTTATGTCATCTGCGGCTCTTTACTGCAGCTCTTCCGCAGCTTTTGCAGAACGCAAGGCTTTACACGTGGCCTTCGTCTTCCAAGTCCCTGGGATCAAACTCGGCTCCCGCCGTCAAATGAGCGTAGCTCCTGCAACCGTTCGCACAAGCCCGTACTATAGATAGCACATCCGATGCAAACCCGGTAGGTCTGGCAAGTCCGAATTTTCCATCCCCAGGTAACCCACGCACTGCGCACCTGTACGCGGCTGGGCACGAGGTAGTCCCGCGCGCCTTCGGGCGTCGATCGCGTCAGAATGGGCGTCTCGATCTCGATAAAGTTGTGGTCGTCCTCCAGGAAACGCCGCATGCACTTGACAACGGCGTGGCGCATGCGCAGGTTCGCGCTCATCTGCGGCCGCCGGAGGTCCAGGTGGCGGTACCTGAGTGGTTAAGAATGGAGAAATCACTTAATCGATTACCGAATGCGGCTTTCCAGGTATAGATCAAGGTAGCCATGTTCGGCGGACCCAACAAAAAGGTGGCGGTACGTGATTGGCCGATGCGAAGTTGCCTTGAGAAGGAGCTTTCAATGACTCGTTTCGTCTACGGACTCTTCGCAACTTCGAAAGGATCTTTCTAGACTTCTGTAGTAGAAGCTATTGAGCCGTGTTTTCTGAAGGAAAGCATACGGAATCAAGGAAGCAGGGAACATACGGTTGACCAGGGCTAAAGGGACGGTTCAACCGCTTGGGCGCTGATGGACACCGATGCAAGCCAAGACATTAGCGCTTCGTTATGAACCAAATACCGGCATCAGTAATGTAAGCATTCCGCTCAGATTACTGATTACGAGGGCAATATGTGCAAAAGCTTGAACTTCATGAATTGTTTTCTGATCTTGCCGATCCTTGATACACAACCTCAAAACAGAGCAATGATCGAGCCCCTGCCCTTCCTATCACCGCAACGAACCTGGTCCAATCCTAACAGCGGAGTTTCGGGCGCTTGCCTGAGCCTCGTCTCCTCTCGCGCTTCCTCCTGTTCCTCAGCGACCATCACTTGCAGCGGCAGCGCTCCCCTCACCGGATTCAGCAGCTGCAGGCTCTCCGCTACGACCTGTACGAAGAGATTCTTGAGCATTCAGTAGCGTTAGAATCTTGTCAAGCTACCAGTCGGATATGCAGGTCGAAAACAGGCTTTCGTGAAGGTATGCCCTAGGTAACCAAAAGAGAACTTAATAGGAACCGCAAAAACTTTGCGAAAGCAAAGAACAGCAAGAGCGATTGTGTAGCCGAAGGTTGAGGCTCGTAGTGACAATCACGAGTAGCCAGGGGACCATTAGCAAGTTACTACAGGCCCGATAAATCAGATCTGCAAGCTTGGCATTGTCGTACAACTGACAGGGAATATTGAGCTTCTTGCTCGACGAAACATTAGAATTCTATCTTTCGATAGTCCTGGACAAGTTCCTGCTGCCCTCAGACATGGTGCAAAAGTCGAAGCACACACCTCGACCTCCCCCGTTGGCATGTTTGGATTGACCATTTCGTCCGGTCGCGGCTGCACTGTGCCCTCCACAACGACCACGTACTCTAGTCGCACCCTCTCGGCGGCCAGGTGAACCGCAGCAAAGCGTGTCGGGTTTGACACTATCTGCACCAGCACAGTTGCCAACTGTCAAACCACTGCAGGTTTACTTTCTGTACAAGCGACGAAAGGAGGAACGACTATTCTAGTCGCACCCTGTCTGCGGCCAAGTATTTATGCCGCAAACAGCCAGATAAGAGACCTAAAGCTTGAGCATGTTCAAAGGTGCTGTGCTTAGTCGTTGGAAATGTTTCAAAGTCGGCGAGTTTGAACCACATGAGGAGGCAAGTAGCCCAAGTAGCGGGGTGTTATGCAGGTTCTGATCACGCTCCGGCAAAAGGCTCAATTTTGAGGACCTTGAAGGGCACTTCTCGAACTCAGAGAACAGGATACACACATCACTCCATAATCAACCCGTGTAGACAACAAACGCAACATTTGATTGTGTTTTTTGACTCCAAAATTGGGCCTCTCAAGGAACATTGCAGATGAGTCGTCTGTGTCAGATCAGAGCAGAGGTTCCTCTTTGTCATCTCTCTTTCAGCTCAAGAACAGCAACAGGTCGCCAAGAATTGAAAGGCACCACTTCTGCCCTCAAGATTCACAGAGTCTGTCATTTCCATCCAGGTTTGGCCCTCCTATCATGACGCTGGTTGTATGAAGAATCAACACGGCAAGCACGATTTGGAGATTCAACGGACAGGTTTGGGCAACCACCACCACATCATCGCTGTCAACTTGTCACCAACGCTTACACACTGTTTTGGGCAATTGATACACACTTTTTCTGAGAAACCAGGTGATCAGGAAGGATAATCAACATATGTGACAAAGCCACAGCACTGCCGACCTGGATGATCCCTGTGTGATCCCTTAGGTTCACAAATGCCACCCCCCCATGACTCCTCTGCTGTGCCACCCACCCACAGAGCCTCACGCTCTTCCCCACGTCCGCTTTTGTGAGCTGTCCGCACGCGTGCGTCCGGTTCGTCCAAACCAGGCCCTCAGCCAATGGCAGCGGGTCTGCATCTCCTGATGCATCAGCGGTCTCCAATTGTTGTGTTTCTGCAACGGCCGCTGCTCTGATTTGTTGTCTCCCTAGTTTCTGGGGGGCTTCATTGTGACGAATCGAACGCAAAGCCTGAGAACAACCACTTAAAAAGGACCGGTGCATTTGGGGCCCGAGATTGGAAGCTGATGGAAGGTTGCATTTGCTGAGACGTTTGTGCCTGGAGCCAACTAAGTTTGGAAGGGCTTGGACGATGCCACGGCATTGTAGACTTACTTCACATTGTGTGGCCCAGCTAGCACTTTGATGGCACTTCCTCAAGACTGATTGCAGGGCCGGCCGCTGAGCAGAGAGAGAAGCCATGCTGCCCATGGCGGCCTCGTCTGCTATCCAAGCGGCAGAAAGTATTGCCTGCACCACTTTGGTGATCACCCAGACAAATCTTCCAAGTTCCAGAACAAGAGATTTTAATGAAGGGCATTTGAAATTGAAGGGAATGACATTTGAAGAGAATTGTGAATGGCAATTGGCCGAATGGGTCTTCGACGACGAAACCGTTAACGAGGGCGGTAATGGTTTTGCTTGGGGGGTAAACTCCAGAAGCATATGTTCTGAGGTACATGACAAATCCAGCAGCCTTCAATGTTTCCAAATCCGGTTTGGAGCAGCGTCGAAGCAGGGACTCAACCATGGAAGTTCCGAAGCTCTGTGATCGGTCCCACTCAGATAGGGACATGGACATAAAATCCGCCATTTTGATTGGCCCGCGTGTCAAAAAGACCACCGGGGTTCAAGTCATTGGAAATAGAATATGTTGCAACGTCATCTGTTCGTCATTTGAATGAATTTAGTGAGATCGGACGGTCAGAGTGAATCAATCACTGTATCGAACGGCCTCGTGGGGACCATTTGGTATTCCTGATTTTGTCGTATATCCGCTATAAGGGCGGGCATACACACCCTCATATCTCCTTTTTTCCCCTCATCTTCTTCTTTTTTCTCGTTTCTCTCTGCCTATACTACCTAAGGCCGCCCGAATTATATTTCCGGTTTCCTGTCCACCCCCTCCGGGGGTGGGTCGGTCGGTCGGAAGATTATGATAAATATTCCTCAGAGAATGGTAAGGGTTATTCCGCCCAATAGCAGCGTTACCAGGCTCGTTTGACTGTCATACGGGTTATCCCGGTCCGTACCAACCATCTGTGCTTAGCTTGGTATCAACTTGGACTGGATACAGAGGTACAGACCTTTCAGAGCATCAGCGTTGACCAAGTGCGTCTTATTGTCAGATGCAGAACCACGTTTTTGTTCGACAATCGTCGTTTTTGACCTCCAGAATCCAGGAATATTATATCAGCCGACTCGGTTATTTCTCAAAATTCGGGTCGGTCGGGGACGGCAATCAAATTCGGACGGCCTAATAGTAAAAAATTTCCCGGGCTGTATCTCTTGGCTGTGAGTGGGACCCCACCTGTGATTCTGAAAAGGAAAATGACAAAGACCTTACAATCTTCCTGATAGGAAGTTCAAAATTTCCAATCCTTTGAAGGGGCCTTGGAGCAGGTTTGCCTGCGTCGTTCTCGAGTGAACTGCTTCACTCAAGCTATTGCTCTCTCACAACCACCTTGAGTGGTCGCCTCTGTGATTGTGCACCTCTCTTCAATAAGAGCTTTGACAAACTGAGCTGAAGAAACAGTTTCTCGGGAAGTGCAATCTGTTTAGCGAACCAAATGAGCCGTGCTAGGAAGCACGTATCGGCCCGGGCACTGGGTGAATGTCCGGAGCTGGGGCCAAACGAGCGAATCATGCGGGTGGTAGCACCACGAGGGAGCAACCTGATTGAAGTAAGCGCTGCACTCGGCCAACTTGCAGAAATGCACTGTGATAGGCCAGCAGATTGCAATGTGCTAATTATAGATAGTGTGGTCAGAGTGTGTTGGTATGCAGTGTGCTGATTGGAGGTGGTTGAGAAGGACGGTGGGGTGGTAGAGTCAACCATCGGTTCATGATTCATGAGGCGACAGCCAACTTCACGTCGCCCACGCTGCCTTCTACAAGCAGTTCCGTGAGTGATCGTCTCAGATGTTTGACGTCAGCAATGTGGAACACCAGGTTTGTAGTAGGGTGTTAGGACGGGCAAGTTGCAACAGTTGCTGTCTGGCATCATCCTGACCGGAAAGTTTCTGGGTTGCAGGTGGAAGATCCAGCTGGAAAAAGCACGCTCGCTCTCTTGCCTGCAAAGTTCCAAAAGATGCTCTGGGTTCGTCGAGGTAAGGCCTGTGACATGCTGTGCTCATAATGTGGTGGTGGTGCAGCTCAGAACTGCAAAGCCCCTCTAACCAGGGTCATCTACTGGGTTAGCAAGATGTGACGGCGGCTTGTTGATTACTTGGCAGGACGCAATCTTGCGTTTGCTGGATAAACCTAGAAGGAATTGTGCATCTCAAACTGTCCCTTGACATCCATTCTTTTTCCTATGATCAAAAACTTAGATCTTGTGCTCTAGGTGACGCGGATGTGATCGATCTTGAGGACTCGAATTGGACATTGAGCAGAGTTGCCTGTATTTTCTGATCCTATATGTGGAACTTTTTATGCGCAGGGAGTTTTGTGATGGTGGACGAAGCTGACCGGGAACGAGCGGAAGAAAGTGGGGGGAAGGTCACAGGCACCATATCGTGTGTCCTCTTTCCAGACCATGTTCGCGAGCTGAGGAAACGGGGCAGCTGGTGAGTAGCATACAATTGACTGCTGTGACAAAGTCGTGGAAGCGTTACATGATTCTTTAACATGGAGGCTTATGGCCGTAGTGTCTACTGGTGAGGGCTTTAGAAAGAGGAAACCTTCCTTGAGCACTTCGATTTCATCGCTGTCACGATCAGAAGTGCATCAGCGCTTGTGGCACTACTCAATAGTCCAGGGACTCTCAATCGCTCTCAGTCCTCATGTGCGCTTTTGTTAGTGGTGCACAAAGCATGGTTCGTGTAGTGACTTAACCAAACAACGCAACTCGTTTGTGTTTCATCTGCAGGCCGGCAGCTTTTGACACGCTGGGGGCGGAGGAAATGTGTGATGCTTCGGAGCAGACGGTTTTAGAAAGGGCGACACATGCATTGGGACAAACAAGTCTAGAGAGGACAGCTGAGGCAACCAGCCTCGAAGAAAAGGATGCACTAAACAGCGAGAATGTTAGAGGAACCAGGGCAGAGTCAGAGCCTGATTCTGAGGGGAGTGACGATGAGGGGCGAGCGCCATTAGAACGAAACCCCAACCATGGCAATAGACCAGGAGACGACTGGCAGAGTTCGTCTGAAGAGTCGGATGATGAGAAGGAAGACGAATTGCGAAAGCTGCCTAGCACAGCACTAAGGACGTCGAGATAATGCTCCGTTATATTGAGTCCTTTGGCCATCGGATCAATCAGAGAAATGTGTCTCTTTTGCTGGTACACATGCATTGAAGTCATTCAATCTCAGTGCCTATCCAACAGGGCACTCATCAACAAGACAACGCTCAACTGACTATTGGAAGCATTGACAATCTAATCTGCTTTGATCATCAGAACATACATTGCGCGAGCGAGAGGAGTGCATTACATGAAGACAATCATGGGACCGTCAGATGCATGGGCAACGTATTTATGGCCATCACATACTCTGCATGGGCCAAATCTATTTACTTGACTTGATCATGCTCGTATGCCTTTCTGGCCGACCTGCAGGCAGTCACTCTCCGCACACACAATGGCTGATGCTTGCATGACTGTGCACTTAGTCAGTCAAGCGATGAAAAGATGTCATGCAGCGTCATTGCCAAACTCTGAGTCCGCGCCTGTCAAGACATCCGAGTGCCAACCATCAATCGCTGTGGAAAGCTTCAAACGGCAATCACAAAGAAAAGGTTTGATTCCCCCATGATTTGCTGTTCATGATCAGTCAAAAGCTGGTCAAACATTGTTGATTGCCGTTTGTCCAAATTCTGGTCAAGAAACACAACGGCTGGAAGCAGGTGCTTTTGCTTTTGAGAACGAGTGCGGTGCTTCGACTGTCGGCGAGCCTTTGCATGTTTTGCGAAGGCCTTTTGGCAACGACTTCGCTGGAGAGGAATCGTAGGTTCGATTAGACTACTGAAACCACCTGCAAGGGGAGAAGAAAACGATTGACATGCTGCGAGCTTCTTACATAAGGACGCTGTCTTGTCTTTCCAAATGCCAGCTCCTCAGGGAGGTATAAGATGGAACGTCTGAAACTAGTCAGTTGTCTAAGTCAAAAACTCTTTTACACCTTCACCATGGGGGGATGCACTTCAAACAAGATTCTTGTCCAGCAGACACACGTACAGTCGCAAATGAAAGAAAGTCTACAAAAGCAGCTGGTATGTTGCCCGAGCAGTAAGTTATGAGATGTTACAATCGTCACATAAGGCCAAATAAACATGGAAGAGGACCCTCTGAGAATAATCAAACCTTGTTTACTGCGGCAACGAGGCAATCCTTGAGAAAGTATAGTGCGTACACTAGATTTTGGGCCTTGGCAACGAGATGTAGCTTCAAAGAATGCTCAAGTCCGTTTCCCATATACGCACCATCAGAACTTCCACAAGCTAGCTCGCAGCAAGCATACAAGCTGTAGGAGAGCAGTGATGGCAACTAGGGAGTAAAAGGAGACTCTCCGGAAATATTTGCCCAGGTTGATCAAGAGAATGCACTTTGCCCGGCATGTCTGTACTTGGAGCAGGCTTCCATAATTTGGTCAGGTGCAACCACCGATTAGACCGCGAGTAGAATCCAATGCAGAAGCTGGCGCTGAATGCACTTGCTGAACTTACACTGACAATCAAAGAGATGCAAGTCATCTCAAACAGGAACCTTCCAATCGGATAGGCACCCTAATAGAACCTAAGAAATTCCTTCTCATGCGAGGAGAGGGCACTCACCAACTAATGCTGCGGAGCTGCTGTGCCTGCTCTTATTGCATCCATCTTTTTCACCCGTTCCAAAAACAGCTCGTACTCACACGCCTCGTAGCCATGCCTTTCATCAACACACTTCCAGGGCAGGTACATTGTCTTTCGTCGGCACTGGTTTAGGGGGATCAGCAGATGTGCGCAGTGATCTCTGGACTCCAGCTTAATTTTCGCTTTTTGCATCTCTTCCTGCGTCGCGATCATCTCCCGTTCCGCCATTGGGCCGTCTCTCCAATCAAAGTGCCCCAACGTCCTGGGACGATTCGATCAGGAGGTTTGGGAGATACTTGTGCTCCGGCTCCTCTATATCAGAGTTGACGGACCACTTGATCGATTTAGGAGCGTGTGACCCTGAAGAGCGCCCTGTTTGTCAAACACCTTTCTTTTTCAGTGCTCAGGATTCCCCTAGCTTTCCCTCTGCCACTGCTCTGGACACCTTAGGCTTCCGACTTCAGCTTCCAAGTTCCAGGCTTTCTTCACATTGGTTCTGCTGCCGGTTCTGGTCAATCATGCTGATTGCCGAAATCTGTCGGGTTCGATTGCAAACCCTGTCAACAACCCACAACGCATGAAACAGAATTGGGCTCGAGCCATTCCAAACCAACCAAGGACCTCGACCTTATTCTTGCCCACAGCAAAAATGGTAAACTTAACCCTATGAGTGCTCAGCTCGCATACGTAAATCCTTACTTCAATGTCTTTGGAATGTGGAATGTGGGGATGAGCTCAAAGCAGAGGTGGGATGCGCTCAAATCGGTCACCGCGTCAGAGCAATGGCCAGCTCAAGGAGCCTCTCTCAGAGGCCTTCTTGTGCTTCTCAGGCTGCTGTGTACAGAGAGATTAGCTCGCCGGAAATTAGGCCATCGACAAAGGGTCTGCCTCGATGTTGGGGTGCAGACAGGCGAACATGCTTACAATCTTTTTGCGCAACTAAGCACAGCGCTTCCTTGCATGCTCTACACGTACAATCTGCAAAGGTTCCATTGAGAAGCCACCGCTTAGAACTATCAGGGCGCAAGGGTCGACACTGGAGGTCACATGCTACCACGTCGAACCATGTCGATAGCCTTGCATTGAGTCCTGAGAATCATGCAAAGAGAGAGGACTCTGAGGAGAAGACCTTTGAGACAGAAGCAGACCTTGAGAAAGACGACGATGTCATCGCTTTTGGTGTCGAGCTCAGCGACGAGGAAAGCACCGACGATGACGAGGGTGCGGAGAGCACTCTGGAAGACGGTCCTACCGTACTCGCACGGCAAGCGCACCAAAAGGCGCTTAGGGCCGCCAGGGATCAGAGGTGGAGACTGGCGAGGCGGCTGTTTGAAAAAGGGGTGACAGACTTCCCGGACAATGCGCGCATTCTGACGAGCGCTGCAGTCTTTGAGCAGAAGCAGGGGAGGTATGCTGTCTCAAGGGAGTTGTTTCAGCGGGCGGTGGCAGTGGATTCGAAGAATGTGGTCGCCTTGCAGGTGAGGGTGTCAGTGTCCTCAGGTTTCTAGAAAAGTTGGTGAGCGTCTGCTGGGTGCATCAGTTATGGGTCCTTTGCTCAGTCCTCTACCCCAACAGGGAGTTTGCCTGACTTTGAAGCTTCTTTTCGATCATTTAGTGGTGTAACAATGGAGGCGGCAATCGTGCCATACGGGGTATCTCTGCTACAAACACTGGGGTGTCTTCCCATCTGTCGTACCAATGACCAGTGATCTTCTGACTGAAATAGCATGCCTTCAATGCAGAACCCCCTTAGCACCTCTCCCGAATCTTAAACACCCAACTTTTAACCACGCAACCTTTTACCCCCTGACCGACTTCAACCCTTTTACCCCCATCTAACCGCCCCTATACCCTGCCCAGGCCTGGGCTCTCATGGAGTCTCGCTGCTGCAACCCCAGTTGGCGCCGCCGCGTGCGCTCGCTCTTCGAACAAGCCACGTCAGCAGACCCCTCGCACGCCCCCGCTTGGCAAGCCTGGGCCGTCTTTGAGTGGAAGCAGGGGCGCGCCGCGCTGGCCCGCCAGCTGTTTGAGAAGGCGACGTCGGCGAACCCGAAGCACGCCCCAAGTTGGCAGGCTTGGGCGCTGGTAGAGAGCAAGGCGGGGCAGTGTGAAAAGGCTCGGGCCCTGTTTGGGAAGGCGCTGGAGGCGGACCCTGGGCATTTGCCTGCGATTCTGGCGTGGGCAAGGGTGGAGTGGGGCCTCGGAGAGATGGCCAAGGGGCGGGAGCTGTTTGAGAGGGGGGTGAAGAGGGCGGGGAAAGCGTCGCTGGCGCTGTTGCATGTGAGTTTCTTTAGATCTGAGAGCTCTGCAAAACCACAGAACGAACTCAGAAAACGGGCTCTTAAGCCCTACTGTGACTCTTGGAAGAACCTCTTGATCGGGCAACTCCAAGATTGGTCTCATATTACCAAGATCGTCAGATGTAGACACCGGGACTGCTACATGCGAAGCTGTTTCAGTGGTCCTTCCCCTGCTCACCCATCAATGACACCGCCGCAATGTCAACAAAGAGGAGGGAAACGTCCACATTAGAGACAACAATCAGGAAACGGCCGTCGAACGTGATGGTAATCTGTAAGGCCCTGATGAGGGCTCCAAGGCTAGCTTTAAGTATCTGATTCCTTTTAACAGGACTGGGCCAGACACGAGGCACGCAGCAAGCACTTCGGACGCGCGCGCCAGCTGTACCGCAAGGCCGCGGATCTGTACCCCGGCGCTCCGCAAGCGTGGCTGTTGTGGGGCAAACTAGAGCAGGAACTCCAAAAGTACGACCGCGCCCGGGAGCTCTTCACGAAAGGCCTGCATGCGAGCCATGGCGATAATGAGATCATGTCGCATGCTCTTGCGATGCTCGAGAAGGTAAGCGATCCTATTTTTTAAATTTCGCTCCCTGGTCTGCAGGTCCTTGGTTGTGCTTGCAGGCAGCGCGGCTCAGTCGGCGGTTGCTGAGACCTGTTTCCAATTACATCGATTTGCTTCCCCGTATGTTTCTCAACTGTCTCGTAAAAAATCCGAGAGCACCGTTTGAAATTTTGGAGACCTCCGGTCACTTTGCAGGGCATTGTTCTAGCGCTAGAGGGCAATGGTTCTGCTCTAAGTCGTCAAGACCGCCAGGCATGGCCCCATCAACCGTTGTAACCTCATGAAGCAAGTTGATTCCAACTCGGTTCAATGCTAACGCACGCGAGACGGCAAGGAGCCACGGGAATCATTCTCGAAGCCGACCCTCCTTCCGTGATCACGCTTGAGTGGTCAGACTCCCGCAGTCAGGCAACGAGTGACGACTTCACTTCCTAGATTCTGATCCCCAGTGACGTCCTCCTGTGCCGTCCTCAGTTTTCGGGCTTTAAGTCTCTCAGATACTCGCAATCAGGCAGCGGTTTACGACCCCAGTCAATCTTTCTTTACTCGAGACGTTCTCCTGTTGCCAATCCCCGGAAGCTGGCACTTCAGACCGCACACAGCGCATTCTGGCGGAGATGGTGCACCAACCGGGGCAACATTGATGCGTGGTCAAGTCACGCAACCAGGCAAAACTTGACGACTCGGTTTTTGATTCTCCTCAACCGGTGACGTCCTCCTACTGCCGTCCTCAGGAAGCTGGCAACCCGGACCGCGCGCAGCGCAATCTTGCGGAGCTGGTGCAGCGCGACCGGGGCGCTTGCACGTGGTCAGATTACGCAATCAAGCAAGAGTTGATGACTTATCCCCTCTGGGTTTCTCGCTTGATGACATCTTTCTCCTGGTTCTATCTTCAGGAAGCCGGCAACCCGGACCGTGCGCAGCGCATTCTCGCGGAACTGGTGCAGCGTGACCGGAGCAATGCGCGCGCCTGGCACAGCCTGGCGGACCTGTGCGTGCGCAAAGGCCCGCCCAAGTGGGACCGTGCGCGGGAGTGCTACCAGAACGCCGTCGAATTGGGGCCAAGTCAGGTGAGGGGATTCATTCACACTCGTTGCGAGGATGGGTGGGTGGGGGCAGGTCAGAAAGCGCTCACAGCAAGTACCCGCTCATGTAAAACGTACACGGAACGTCTCGATAAAGAGCTTTCCTCGACTTAGTTACCTGTCCCCCCTCGTCTCACTTTCGTTGTTCGAACCCAGCTACTAGCTGGCTTGAAAGCAACTCTCGATGCTGATATCAGCTCGAAAGTCTTTTCTCGATGGCCTACTCTCGAGTGTTCTTTCCCCATAAGGTAGCTGATAACCCTCGCAGGACAAGGAGGGCCGCGCCGGGACGTTTGTCGCCTGGGCGCAGCTCGAGGCGATGGCCGGACGTAACGACACCGCACGGACGCTGTTTCAGCGGGCGGTAGAACTTGTCCCGGGAGACGCAGAGCATTTGCGCAAGTGGGCGCAGTTCGAGAAGAAGGCGGGACAGGAAGCGGACGTCCGGGCGATCTTCCAAAAGAGCATCGAGGCGGGGCCAACGGTAAGGGGTTCGAGAAGGTTTTGAAGTAAGGTTCTCGCGTCGACCCGAGTTTGCAAAAGGTCCAGCAACGCGTCCTGGTCTGAGTACAGTCTCGCTTCAGCAAAAGCATGTACCATGTGTCCACGCTAAGAACCGGGATCGGATGGAGCGTCCGCTCCTTGATTCAAAGGACCGTAGGGAACCGTCACTCTTCCTTGGTCGACTCGGAGTACAGCCCATCCAGAACATGACCTATTGAGATTGGTCAATCCGGCCAGGTCGCCAGATTTTGCTTCGTTCATGGTTGCCATTGCGTCCCGCTTGGGCTCTGTACTTCAGAGATTTGCACAACTCTTCCGCGTGCCTTCTCGTGAACGAACGTCCAGCTTATCAATATCATTTTTGGTAAGCTTAGCTGTCGCACCATATTCCTTTTCTGTTCGATTTGAAAAGGGTTTCTGGGTGCCACCTGCAGACAAAACGGCTTACATTAGGAACGGGTAGCTAATGCACATCTTATTAGACTTGAGCTGGAAGATCAGGGGCGTGCAAAGTTGCTGGAAAGTCGCCGGAAAGTCGGGTTGGAAAGTGCTATCGAGAAGACTCCGCATTGCAGGCGCGCACGTATTTGCTGTGGGGCCAATGGGAGAAGCGCCTCGGCAACCTAGACGCCGCCACCCAGTGCTTCGAGAAAGGCATCTCCGTCGATCCGGAAAACCCGTTCAACTACGTGGCCCTGGCTGCGATCCACGTGGAAGACGGGCGCGTGTCAGAGGCACGTGACGTGTACAAGGCGGGGACTGCCAGCTGTCCGACGTACACGGCACTGTGGATGGAGTGGGCGCTGCTCGAGGTCCGCCAGGTGAGGGGTCAAGAACTTGGTTTTGCCTATCATCTTGGAAATATTTGTGTCCATCTTTGTGAGATCAATCGTGTTCTCAACCGTTCTGCTTTGTGAAGTTGCTCGAGTCGGGTCCGAACGTTATCCCGTCTGCACTTTCTTTGCGTGACGTTTCCCAACAGTAAGAGGGCACTTTGCTGTGAACATTTGTGTCGCTGTTGATGGTGCTTTAAAAGAGGCGAGAAGTGCCTCTTCAGAAAGAGCGGGGAATGGTTTAGGAGTTCTCCAGAGGGTTTACTATGCTCGTTGCCGGCGCAAATGATTGCGATTGAATGAGTGCGATGGCAGAGCTGGTTTGTTTGAAGCAGCGCCACGACGCTTTTGTCGGCCATCTCAGCACGCTCTCTGTTTTTGCAACTAGGATGGCGGTGAAGGGATCCAGCGTTCCCGGTGGTTGTTTGCTCGGGGCAGCCGGTTAGAACCCCCCCACATTCCCTTGCTTGAGGCCTGGGCGACCGTCGAAGAAAGCGTTGGTGACGGGAGGGTCGCCCTCAAGCTCAGAGCAAGAGTCGAAGAGATTGAGGCCCAGCGGCAAGGTGCGGAGTCCGAGTCTTCACCTGTAGAGATCAAGGGCAACGAGATCAGGATAGACGAGGGAGCTGTAGACGTTGCTAGCGGTGACGAGGTCGACAATATAAAAGTAGGTGGCGCTTTGAAACAGCGACGGTCACCATTAGATATACGAACGCCGAGTATAGGAGCGGAGGTTGGGCGCATCGAGCGGACGCAAAAAGTCGACGACCTTATTGCGTCCTTACTTACATGACCTTCTTTGACAAAGATAGGTTGGTTGCGCTAGATGTCATCGAATGCGTCCTCAAAGCTCAAGCCCATACACCCGTTGACTGATCAATTAAACATGGTTTTGATAGTAGGGTACTTAGGACCGACTTTGCAGTAGCTTGCATGCGTTTGCCTCCAAGACTGCATGAGTCCCCCGCTTCTGAATATGGTTGAACCCCCTCGGCGCCGGCGGGGCGTGGGTTCTCTTTTCGGTCGATCGCCTTCACCGTCATGTCCCAGCTCGTTTCGTTTCCATGATCCTCTATATTTATGCCCTACACGACGATCCCATTCGCCTCAGCAAGAGAGCGGAATTGCACTGGCTCGAAGCGGCAGCATGAATTCATTGTTTTGCATATGTGCAGATTGCTGGTCGGATTCTTATGCAACTCTTGTAAAAAGTGAGCGCGAGCGCCGCGCGCCAGAACATGGTCAGACTTGTGCTATATACGTAGCAACGTCCCAGCTTCACGTGTCACGCCAACGGCTGAGATGCTCCATCTCTCCACCGGTGGACGGCTGCGATGAACAGGCTGCGGTTACCTGGGTGTTTGCAACAGCATTGCTAGAGCCTAGCTGGGGAGCTTTGTAATCTTTCTGGAGGCAGCTCGAAGACTGTGAAGGCCCGCCCTGGCCTCAGGCTTGTTTGATGGGCGCCACAGCTGATGTCAGACTACCTCAATACGTATCAATCTAGCGGGTAAGGGAGGAGAAACAGACGCCCATGGCTGAAGCAGGTTCATTGGAGGACCCCACGATGGAGGCGGGGTTGGCCCAAGAAGAAACAGAGCCCCAACAAGTAGGGGAGGCAGAAGATGCTCCCCCCCCACCTCAGGAGGCAATTGAACAGCCTGAGGAGGCAATTGAGCACTTTGAGGATGCAACTGAGCAGCCAGCAGAGGCAAGGGAGGAGCCAAAATACCGAGAGATGGGTACAATGACTTCTGATTTTGAGGAGTTGGCGGGGATGGTGTTTGTGCCAGCCCCCAAGCCTGACGCTCAGGAGAACGGAGGCGAGGAAACCATGCTGGCAGAAGAAGAGACTGAGCCTGAGCAGAAAGACGAGGAGCCAGTCAGGAAGGTGTCGTTGTATGTGGAGGCGGTTCCGCCTGCGGCTGAGCTCGAGGGAGGGCGGCAACTAGCGGTAGCGGAAAATGGAGCACCAGTGGAGGGGACTGAGGAGGTAGCTGCTGCGGATGAGCAGGCAGAGGGGCGGGAAGTGCTCGCGGGGAGCTCTGCTGACGCCAAGAAGAGAAGGGGCCTGCGGTGTGAGGTCTGCAAGGTGGGTAATATGCATAATCAATGGACTCTGCACAGTGGGACATGTTCGTACAGCATCTGAAGCTCCTGATTTGAAATTCATCGTTTTTGGGTGCATTTCGGCAGCTCCAGTGGACGAGGTGGATTAAAATAAGGCTTTGGAGGATCTATAAAGATGGGGTAAAACGTATCTGGGGTACCCTGGGTAAAGGCCCTTGGTCATCTGTTTTGCTCTTCCTCTCCAACTTATCTTTGGGTCCCTTATGCTGACGCTGGGGTGGAACTGTATCGCTGCTCTTGATTGCATAGATTCCTTTATGCAGAGCGTCTAAGCATTTAACTGGTTGAAGTAGAACCTTCTTGGAAATGGCAAAATGGAGCCCTAACTCAATGTGAAACCCTAAAGGCCGCAAAATGTCAAAACGTTTTTAATTATTGCACGCCACTCTTAAGGTTGCGGCAAGTGATCATTGGGATGTGAATTTCAGCTGAACAAGCGGACTGGAGAGTCTGCTACAATCAGTGCATAGGATGGTGTGCCTCCAGTATGTGCTCAAGATCTGGTTCATCAAAAGAATGTGGTTAAGGAGCTTGAAAACTGCTGGGGAGTCAGCCTAGGCTGAGAAAGCCAACAAGGCATCCCTTTTTTTCCACTCAGTTACTCAGCAGATACGACGTCCTTGCTAAATGCTCAATCAAGGATGATATGTCTCCGCATGTTGACCCTTGATCCATCGTCTACCCTCGTCTCTGCTTGGATCAGCCAAGCCAGGCACTTCAGCTGGGTTTACATACTTGCTAATGTCAGTCAGCACATGCCTGTCTCTTTGGACTTGCATCAAAAGAGCTCAATAGAGAGACAACCTCCAAGTACCTGTCTGATTGCATCTATTATTCAGCCCCCCACGTCACTTTGCGGGGAGTTCAAAATCGAACATTAGGGTTTCTTTTACCCGCACATCAGTTTTATTCAACATGGTCCTTCCCTCCTAAGGGCATGGTGCAAAGATACACGAGTACAAACAGTCCACTCGTTCCCTCTTCCTTTGTGTATGGGCATCACGTGCGTAGGATGAACTTAAACCGGGCCTTCGCTTTTGACTTTGAGGGGCACACGAGACACCTGTAGTGTTTTGAAATCACCTTTCCCCGCTTGGAACCGCGGAAATGCCGGCTTTGGTTCCATCATGGCGCTTTATGGCCCCCAGTTCTCCCCACTGATCTTAGCCCCCCTCTCCTTTGCAGACGGGAAAAAGGCAGGCTTTGGGGCGTTTGCGCTTTGCAGGCAATCGCGCCTCCTTCTGATAGAACCTTCCACGCTTCCGCTTCCCCTTACGTTCACACTAGTTAGTAGCGACCCCCTCTGTTGCAGAGGGTCAGGAGACTGGCTGCGGCACCAGCAAGGCACACACTTGGTGCATTCCCAACCCCCTTCCTCACACGTTGTCTTTTTCATCAGGATGCGCTGTCTGCGCCCTCTAATCCACTGACTCTTTCCCCCCCGCTGTCTTTCCAGGAAGTGAGAAAGGTGCTCTCCCCCCCTTTCTTTCCACTAGATTTCGCCCTCATGCCTTTATTGGAGGTGAAAAAGGCGAGCTGCGGCACTTACAACGAGCACCCGTCATAATCCACTCACTTCTGTATCGACACTTTGCATTGTTGTTACAAAGTGCTCTTACTCCCCTCCTTTTTACCAACTTTTACCCCGCCCTTTTCCTTTCCAGAGGGTGAAAAAGGCGGGCTGCGGCACCGACAGCGCGCACCCGCGCTGCGAGCGGCGTCCGAACGGCGACATGCCGGCGGTGGCGCAACTCACTGTGGAGCACGTGATGAAGCTCAGCGCCACCGACGAGGACGAGCGCGTCTCGCTCTGGTGCCCTGCTACCGGGGCCCGGCTGAGCGGAATGGCGGCGCCGATGTTGAGGAATCTGCCGGCGTGGCTGACGGCGCATCCCGGTTGGGAGCCGGTGGAAAAGCCGCCTGAGGGAACACCGTGAGTGTGGGCATCGGGGACCTCGTCTTTGCTTTATTTAAAGAAAAGATCATATCTTCGTCCTTTTGTCTGCATCGCTTAGAAAACGATTGGTGTTCTTGCAGGGAAGCAGCAATTGAAGTAAGGTATTTTGAAGACGTTAACCTCCGCATGAGAGAAGGATTAATTGCAAGTGTCGATCAACTGCATAGGGCATCAATCATTCTGCATCGCCTAACAACCATCAGGATCCGGCTTGCTTAGTGTGTGTACCGGTAGGTTCTTAGAACCTCTTGATAAAGTATCCACGACCTGTATCACCTATTGACTTACGCACCTTTTCTTCACACAGAGCGCGGAAAAGGAAACGTGCCCCGGCCGCTGCCCCAGACCATCTCCTGACGGCCACCGAGTCCGACGGGTCGGAGCATCCATCTCCTATGGCAAACCCTCCCCAGACACCAAACCCTACGGGGAGCCCCCCCGTGTCTGGCACCCCCAGCCAGGCTAAGCCGTATACCCCCTCCAGGTTAGCTATCTTTCTCAACTGAAGGATTCACTTTCTCCAGTCTTGAATCCTTTGCTGGTCTACCAGTTTCTCAGCCTGCCGCGTAGTGACGTGATATTTTGCTCAACCCCTCCCATCAGCTTCGCCCAGGGGCACTGCAACATAGACCCTTTCTTTATTGCAAAGACCCTCGAGGACTGCACATTCCTACCACCCCCCCCTCACCTCCTCCTGTCGGGCTGGGGACAGAGATCCCTAAGACGGAGGACGATCCGAGCGGCAGGCGGAGGGACGGCAGGAGCTGACGTGGCATGCTTTCCATCACGTTCTCTCAGCTTTGCCTCTGTAAGTCACAACTCAAACCCTTCCTATTCTCCCTGTTCTCTCGACACTTGTGCAATCGCTTCTCCCCCCCCTTTTTAGGCTGGGGACGGAGACCCCCATGACGGAGGAGGAGCGCGAGCGGCAGGCGGAGGCGCGGCGGGTACGCAAGGAGCTCGGCCCGCGCTGCGAGGTGTGCCAGGTCATCAAGAAGGCCGGGTGCGGGACGGAGGACGCCAACCCGCGCTGCCTGCGGCACCCCCGCAGAGGGGAGCCCGGTCTGCTTGAGGCCGCGGCGTCGCCCCCGCAGGTGCGGGCTCGCTGGCTGGTTTGTGTTATCAGTGTGACTTCTATACGTGTCGGTCAGTCTCAGGGGAGGGCTCGTTCTGCAAATGAATTGCAGCGTCCTTTGATTTTGTGAACGCGTTTTCTTAGAAATTTGACTGGATTTTTGGAGACCAGTGCAAGGTGACTATGCTGCGTGAAGGCTGTAACGAGTGACCGATCTGCGCCTGCCAAATGTTGCTTCATCGGTTAAAGGTGACAATGGGGGAAGTGACGTTCGCACAGCAAGGGGCTTAGAGGAGGATTGGCTTCAATTTCGTTGTGCCGTTGACCTCACCGCTTATGCAGGGATCGTTCTAAGTTAATCGGTGGGTTTTGCAGCTTTGGTATGTGACTTTAGTTCTTACCTTCTGAAACGCCGGCGCGCCTTTTTTTTGGGGATTCCCTGGTCCCTTCTAGTCCCGGATTCTTCTCACCCAGATCATTGCCAGTCAGACGATTCCTGAGGGACATGTCACGGAGGCCAGTAAAAAAAGTCACAGGCAGATGTTTCAACGGAATGCAACTCAGCAGACCCACATCGTTTCTCGAGACAGCCCAAACTGTGCTACCTTCATTGAGCGCTAATGCGTTTTACATGTTGCCAGGTGCCTGCGGAGAAGAGGTCCGTCGAGAAGAAGCCGCTGTTCAAGTACGAGGGGGGTCGCTGCGAGGTCTGCACGACGATCAAGAAGGGCGGGTGCGGGACCGAGAGTGCGCACCGGAGGTGCTTGAAGAACCCGCGGGGGCCGCAGTCGGTGGGTCGTCCCCGGGTCCCTTCTTGTCCTGGAAATAGTTGTTTCTTCTCAGTGAGGTACATCCTTGTAAAGATTGATCAAGGCTCTAGGTACTTGCGGTGGAAGACGGAAGATTTGTAATAACCAAAATCTTTGCATGGCAACATCTTTCGGGCCTCAGTCGGCTTGGATGTCGCTTCCGACGAACGCCTTGCCTTTCTAAGGAATGTGCTTCTCCTGAGCGCTTGCTTATCGGACCTGCTGTTTGGTGAGATTGGCCGGGCCAAGTTTGGCGCATCCCTTTCTCAGAGTCCTCGAGCTCATTGTGTCAAGCTTTGAAACGTGCAGTCAATGAGCCCCCTGAAGGCGCTACCCGGAAACGAGAACGACGACAATCAGGAGAACGAGGGCGAGCAAGGTCCCATGCTGATAGAGCAGCAACGAGTCACGCTGTGGCACCCGGAAAAGAAGCAGAAGCTCTGCGGAATGGCCGCTCCCATGTTGAAGAACCTCGAAAACTACCTAAAAATGCATCCAGGCTGGGTGCCAATCCAGAAGATTGATGAAGCCGTAACTGCGTCGCCCGCCGAAGAAGTGATTGAAGCAGAGTAGAGGCGGCCTTCTAAGGCGCCGTCTAGGTGTAGTATTGATATCCCTGCTACTTGGAAGAACACCTTGTTTGAGTAAGTAAAGGTTGTATAATGTATAATCGATAAGACTGATTGACACACTCTTGTGAGACTGGATGCCCATGCATCACCAACGACTTCGAGACTCGGGTGTTCTATGTTGCTTAAGCCTGCCCCTAGCAACAAAAGAATATGCGAACCTCGATGACTATGTTGCGCATGGCGGCCCGGCCAGCCGGCTCCATTTCTCTGGTTGAGCGCAATCTAGGTCGATCATGCATTGTGCAGTTGCAAATTGGGAGCTGTACGCGCCATACAGTGCACATGTCCATTCTCGGGCACATCTTGGCATCAACATGATATATATAGACGCGATATATATGGTATATGTACGCAGATTATAGGCGTATAGGTCATATGACTTGCACATGTCCATCAAACTTTTGTTCTCAAAATATATATACTCGGTACAATTCGTCTGGATCAGACACGCGTGTGCTGTAACCTAGTATAATGACGTGACGGTTCAATGCACCGCGTGGGGCAGCCATAAACCAGGTTTAGTAATGCACCATGTCATAAGCACAGCCGGTAAGACATGATTCAAGCCGTTGTATGCACGGCAATTCCTGACTGTCAGGAGTTGACGTTCAGAGACAGAGACGCATGCACCAGGTAAGGCATGGATTCTAGTATGCAACTTGTCTGTGCATATGCCTACTCTATCACGTTCAGGTTCGCTGTCACGCTGATCGATCAAAATGAGCTGGGCCTGCTGCGGCGACCAGAAAAGTTAGGACGATATATACAAACGTCGATATAATTCATGGTGAATCCGGCCCGACTCAGTTCCTGCAAACTCCTGGTTTGCAACTCCTGATTTTGATTTGGATTGCTGTTAGTTGTATATTTCGTCGTCAATACTCGTCACGAAGAACGACACGGGCTGGCTATGCGTTCTCCTCGATACATGGCGGAGAAAAGACCTTGTCGTTCACGCCAGCTCTGAAAACCTGCAATGGGGCGTCCACGTGTCCGTTGGACGGGGCCGCTTCAATAGAAGCGGACAACTCGAGGGGCGTCTCTGCCGGCAGGAAGAACACGTCTCCCTTCTTCACGCCAAAAGCGCGCTGCGCATTGCCTTGGCCCTGAGTGGCGAGCCCGACCCCACTTTGCACGAGGACGATGGAAGGGCCGGGGATGAACGGGAGCTTGTACGAAGTGCCCTTCGGCACTTCGATGCTGTCGATCTCGAACTCTTCAAATGGCGGGATGTACCTCCGGGTGTGGCTGTCTATCGGCTGTCCCTTGAGGATCTCGGGCTTTCCCTGCAGGAGCCAAACGGGAGTTGTTGAATATGAACGAGCTCTCGAGGAACAAAGCCAAACCTTGTGCATCAGCTTCGATGAACAGGCTAGTAGGCGAAAATAAGAAGCTCACTTGCTTGCGAACAGGTTCAACCATGCCTCATATTACGGGGGCCACCGGCAGCTTCTTCACGGTGGAGTGTCACAGAGGCAAGAAGGATCTAGAGGGTATGGAAGTTGTACCGAAGAACACCAGATGTTTCACAAGGCAGGATGATTTGCCGGGTCGCAGGTAGTCGATGCAGACTCGCACTTACAAGGGCTGTTGTTCGTTTCGAGTGGCTTTGTGCATCCCTTTCAAGCTCACAGTCGGAAGCTGCTACACAAGAAGCCAGGTCTCAGGCCGAATCTGAAAATAACTCACTTGATTGTACGTGAGCATTGAGCACAGAACGTCAGTGTCTCGGAGCTTTGGTGTCAGCCCGGCACGCACAACGTTATCTGATGTCGCCATGCACTCAACGCACTCTCCAGACAGGTAGGCGTGAGGCTCGTTTGCAGCAAGGTAGATGCTCTCGCCGGGCGACAAGGTGATGTAGTTGAGGAAGTATGGGCAGAACACGCCAACATCGCCAGGGTACTGCTCGTTGAGCCGTAGGATGAGCTTCTCAGTGCTGCTGGGGTCTGGGATCTGGAGCCAAATAGACCCAGATCAGGATAAAAAAGAGAATAGTCCGCTATAGGGAGGGATACTTGTAGAATGCACACCATCAAAGGGCCAACGCAGCCTCCTCTTCTTTCAAGGGTATGCCTGTTATGCTTCTACAGCGATACTCCACTGTATAATTGGTGAGAAGATGCTGGGTAGCATGCTTGTATTCTGGTGCCTGAAGACAGACGCTTCTGTCAGCCTCCTGTTTGTCCCATAAAGAGCTAGCATCAGATAAAAACGGCACAGTTCATATCAAAAGAACTAATGTAAACTCCTTCAAATGGCATGCCCTGCACGCCAAGGTTTCGTGCTTGATTAGTCTCACCTTGCTCAGTCTTGAAACAAGCTTGGTCAGCGCCGCCTCAACGGCAGGCTTGTGGCTGGTCATCAGTGCAGTGAAAGCCGCTTTCAGACCTTCTTTTGGATCCTTGGCAGAGAGAAAAGCTTTTACAGCAGCATCTCCAACAACCTCAGCAAGCTCAGGAACAGCCTCCAGGTTGCTCTTGAGTTCCTGTGAAGGGACAGACAAATCTGCTTAGAAGAGCCTCAAGTCAAATCATATTCGAAACATGTGGCAAAACACTAGTGCACCCAATGTGCTTAACCTCAGATACTCTATAACAGTTCTTTAGGCCTATACAGAAACCTCGTTGACAATAAAGCAATTCTACTTGCAAGCAGAAGACTTTTGAAGCTGCTACACGTAGCACCACAGCTTCATAACAGGCAAATGATGAGCTGATAAGGAACGCACTTCTGTTGTAACGAAGCTGCAGAGCGTCTCAAATTCTGTGAGCGCCAAAGCCATCTCCGGCTTGTGGTTGTCGTCTTTGTAAACATTTGGCCTCTCTGCGTGCAATGCTTCTGCCAGCTTCTTGTCGGGATGCGCTTGAATGGATAGTGCGGTGTTTACAGACAAGATCTGGAGACAAGAAGGGTGTGACATCAGGAACTCAAATTCACTTATGAAATGCAGGCAAAGAGCTTCAAGGGCAAGCTACATTTGGCATTGATGAAATCATAACCATCTGGCAGAGGAGCTGGACAGTGAAGGCCCTAATGGATTATGCACCGATCCATCTTGCAGCCTCTCAGAATAGACACATTGGAGATGGCTGAGCAGTCAACTGTTGCTGAGCAGATTAAGAATCTAATCATCTATCTAAATTCCAACCCAGAAGAGTAGATTCTCAGAGTCGGACTACTATAATTGGGAAAGTCCACCTTCACCTCCTGCTTAGGGATTGCTGCTGTACCTTGAAGAGAAAGGGCAACTCGCCATGCCATTTGGTTTGAGTTGCACTTCCCAGTGCCTGCGGATGCTGATGCAACCAAGAAGAAAGAAGCAGCTTGTTATCTGCAGCACCTGCTTCATCTGATGCGAAGGAGACCAAGGATGGTCCACTAGGATGAGTCCCCATCCATAGTTCTGCATACGGCGTAGCTGCAGTCACAATCGCACCCGTCCCGGATGAGTGCAGCTTAGCGACTTCGCTCTCCTTTCCCAGCCTCCCCCAGGCATAGTTCTGTGCCACACAATGCAACCGCAACATGTTTGCGTCCTGTCTGTAGGACTGCTGTTGGTGAGACACCGCCTGCGAAAGGATCCGGGCAGCGTATTGCACAGATCACTGAAGATCGCCCTTTCAGATCACAGCAACAAAGCAGAAGAGCAAAGAGGAATGTTTTGATTTCAGACAAAAGAATGAACCTTGATCCTTTTCTGATTCATGGTCAACCCTGAAAATTTTGTTCCGTGCTTATTGTCGGCCGAAACTTACGGAAGTGTAACGCAGACGCTTGTTCTGGCCGCAATGTTACATATCCGGACTTTGAGGCGAGAGAGGGACCCCCCTGGACCTCAGCAGAAGAAGCTCAATCGGACTCACGTGCAACTACCTACTTGCAGTGATCCAGCACTCAGGCGTCTAATATTCTCTGGATTTGGTGGCAGCGGCGCTTCAAGAAGCGTCATCTTTCAGAGGATATATCCAGATATATCGTGCTGGGAAACTGAAGCAGGGCCGGTGGTAGAGAGTGCGCAAGGAATGCCTGTAAAACCTTGAGAAAAGTTTGGGGCACATCACATAACCAGAGGATAACTTCGACCTGTTTACCCGGTGGTTACTTCTCCGGTGCAGCCTTTTAACCATCCAAGCTACAAGGGAGCTTTGATTAGGGTTTGGGTGGCCAGGCGCAATGCTGTACCTCATTGGCCTCGGTTTGGGGGATGAGAAGGATATCAGCCTGCGCGGTTTGGAGGCAGTCAAACGATGCGAGAATGTTTACTTGGAAGCATACACATCAATCCTGTTGGTGGAGAAGTCTAAGCTGGTAAGTACGCCAACCGCTGATAACAGTTGTTTGTAGACTGGTGAGAATGCTGCCAGATCTAATTTGGTTCCTTGCTCAGCCTCGTAGAGGGCGACAAATGCATGACTATATCATTTACGAGACGGCACCAGCACAATCAGAGCACCAGCAGGATACACGTGTCCTGAGCAACCTTAGAGCGAGCTTATCACCACAAACTTTCCTGGTGGTGGTGGTGGTGGTCAACTATTTCCTCGGAGTCCCTTCTACCCTTAAGGATATGCTTGCCAAGCAGCACTTTCGTGGCTTGCAGACCGCCAACTTTCTTGAAAGAAATCTGTGCTTTCAGGGCTTCTGCAATTTTGGCTAATACGTGCATCATCTTGCTCAAGGCCTGTACTTTCGCTAGTGGCATACTCAAAATTACCCGAGCTGCTTTCATTAACATGACTTTGTGGTGAGTTGATCTCAGGAGGCGCTCTATGGCCGGGAGGTGATCGTGGCAGACAGAGAGATGGTGGAGCAGGGAGTGGAGAGCATACTGGAACAAGCCAAGACTATGGAGGTTGCCTTTCTGGTGGTAGGGGACCCGTTTGGGTGAGCTTTCATGTCCAAAGTACTGACGCGCATAGTAGACAAAGCACCAATGGTTCAGGTTGCACCGAGATTACAACCCCTGATTTTGTAGTGCTTGTGTAGATCTGGGAGTTTGATCGGAGGGGTACTATAGCGGGTCACTGTCGCTTGCCCAATTGGATGCCTGCCCGGTCAGACTTTTGAACGTCATCGCGCGGGACAATATCCAGAGTTCTTCCAGCCCGTGGAGCCAACACAGTTGTTTGCAGCAGAATGGCAGCCTGGGGTTGTGAAGGCGTGCACATACTTGGTTGAATGTGCCCCATGTCTGGTCGTACACTGGCAGCCACATTGTCTGAAGTTGGTGGAGAAGCAACAACGAACAGAAGGGCGGGCAACTCTGGCTACACTTGATCTGGTTAAAAGAACCCAGGCAGTGAAACCCTGTTTTGCTCCCTTGCTTGCAGGGCCACCACGCACTCCGACCTACAGATGAGAGCCAAACAGCTTGGTGTCACAGTCAAGGTCATTCACAACGCATCGATCATGAACGCCATCGGCGCATGTGGTTTGCAACTCTATCGATTTGGGGAGACGATCTCCATCCCCTTCTTCACAGACACGTGGCGCCCTGACAGCTTCTACGACAAGATAAAGAAGAACCGCGACATGGGGTTGCACACGCTCTGCCTATTAGGTGAGGCTTTACTCCTTCAAAAATAAGGCCACTCCGACGGTTTCTGGTCAGTCTGGTCAGACTGGGTCACAAGCCTATCCAAGTTGGGTTTGGCTTCAGGAGGAGCGACGGACGTTGTCCTTCCTTGGGCTTCCCGTTTTGTATCAAAACGTTTCTTGTTGAACCTTGGCTGACGTCAAGAATGTTCTCCTGATGTGTCCTCCAATGTCCTCCAACAGAGACCGTGCCACAAAAAAGCAGGAATCTGCCTGACTGTACCTGAGAGAATCGGAGATGCTTTTGTACCAGAAAATGTGGCTGGCGTATTACACATGCACGCTGCTCAACAAAGTGCCTGATTTCAATAGTTTGTTAAGGCTACGGCACTCTTGTTGCTCTCCAGCTTGCTTCATAGCACACTCTCAACTCTCCGTATCAATCCCTTTGTGTCCGTCAAGCCAGGTGACTCGCTGCAATAGAAGACCAAGAACTCGCCAGCAAACCATATCCGATTTTAGACCTGTGACCCTAGACGACCTGGAAGAGACGCCGGGATGGATATTGTTCTCGCTTCGCTGACGTTTTCATCTTGAATTGCCAGATATCCGGGTCAAGGAACCATGTTTTGAAGCGCTCGCGAGGGGGAAGAAAGTGTACGAGCCGCCGCGCTACATGAGCGTCAACACGGCCGTGGAGCAGCTGCTAGACATCGAAGACAGGCGAAAAGAGGGAGGTACGCAGACTTCGCCTGTTTCTATTTGGAGTCGCTTTTTCGTCCATGATCGAATGCTCTTCACTTAGGCTTCAATTTGGGTTACCCTAACCTTGTTTTGCACAGTCTGTGAAGAGGTCCCTGCTCGGAACACGCGTTTGGATTTGAGAGGCCTGGTGAAGGTGCATCTACTGTGAAGGGCGGAGGATGCGCAAAGCGTGTCGAAGTGTCTATTCGTCCGGCTCTCGGACGCTCCCTTTGTGTCCTCTCCTCACCAAAGCATTCGCACTGGTTAAACAATCTGAAGCACTTTGAATGCACGGCTTAAGACTCATGCAGAGGAATTACCTCGAAGCTGCTCTCTGCTAGTCATGTTACGGAAGCCACTCCGATCGGGTGACTTATCGAAAAATTCCCATCAGCACAAGTACCGCTTTCTGACTCTGCTGTGATTCTTCCTCCTTCCTCCCCGGATTCATTCCAACGAACTGGCGGTATGCCTGATTCTTTGTGAGTCCTGGCAACGCTCTGAATATTTTCTGACTGCTTCATCCCTTGTTTGCAGTCTATGGTCGGGAGACCACCGCTGTCGGAGTGGCGAGAATAGGAACCGATTCGCAATGCATTATCTCCGGCACTTTAGAAGAGCTCTTAACCGTCGATTACGGCCCTCCCTTGCATTCGCTCGTTGTCCCGGGAGAGTTGCACGTAATGGAACAGGAGCTGCTGGCGACCTTCGCTTGCAATGAAAGCACTCCGCGGATACAAAAGGACTTGATAATCGACGAGGAGGACGAAGAGCCATAAAGATGAAGAACAACCGTCATATGATCTCACTTATTTAGCTATTGAATGGTCCTTACCTCTTCTTGTTTACTGCCAACCGCACACCGAACGATGCGTGTGGCTTTCCGACTGCAAGCTTGACGTCATGTCCACGTCAAATCTCGAAAGTGGTGGCTTCAGATCTGAGAGACCACTAAGCCTGCCCCCTCCAAGGGCCTCAATCACACTGAAGCATCCGGCATAGTCCGGGTGAAGCTAGCATGCACGCGCTGCATCTGATTGTATAGTGGCGCAATCCGTACCGTTAAGTGTCATGGCGATTCATAAGCACATGCTTCCCCGGCGTGTGCTGAAATGAAGTAGTGTCGATTTCATGTTGAGTTACGGCTATGTTGAGCTAGGTCATGCCCGGGGGACGGGTGGGGTTGGTTCGGGGGTTTAGGGTGGGTACGGGTGCGGAGCATGTTAACTTTGGGTTTAGGTTTTTAGTTTGTTAGCGCCCGGGGTACTGATCTAAACTCAACATACACAGAACTCAACATGAAATCGAGACTAATCTGAAATGAGTACAGATTCTCCGAATACCTAGATGGTGAGCAGACCAGCATGAATTGGTTTTTACTCGGATCTGTTCCGGAGTGGCCTTCTTCATGCTTGATTGCGTATAGCGTTCACCGTTTTTTCAGGCAGCAGGCTTCGAATCTGATGCATCATGTTGCATATCAAGTTTATATAGGCTCATGATCAGGCACATCAAGAGTCGTCCTTCTAGCTCTCTTCTGCACAGTACCATCATTCCCTGTAATGTGATGCCGATGTCCACGTACTCGACTTTGCACTAGGAGTCCCTTTCAGCGTGGATTAGCCATTCAAACAAATCTGGCACAGACAATATCCGACAAGAGTATATCGGCACACATTTTTGGCTTCGTTTCCGTTCTTTCGCAATGGCGTAGTGCAATGTTCGTGGTCGACAATCTTTCAAGAGATTAAAGAGTCACTGACACGAGTAGGACGTTTTCCAAGTCATTAATCAACAGTGAAACTTTGTCCAAACGCAACGATACTTGACAAAAAGGGCCCGGCAGCGTCCTCAAAACCCCCTCTTTCACACGGACACTGTTCTTCCAGCAAGGAAGTGTTTGTACGTTCACTATATGAAGCTAGCACTACTTTTTATACGTATACGGACGTTTTGAACCACGAAGTAAACATGACCTCAACGGGACTCGACCTGCTGTTCCTGTACTGTCCAGCTTTTGTCAAAGTTCCGGCCCAGACTTTGGCAACCCTTCCCTGCTCCTTTGGCGGTAGAGACAAGAACAACGTCTCCGTCAAGCCTTCAAGCTTCGTGACCTCCATCAGACCCTCTGGAGATGTCCTAGTCAGGTTGCAGATTGCTCCCATCCACTTAACCAGAAGCTGCGACTTGAGATCAACGGATACTGGGTAGCCACACCCTGCAGCCGCTTCAAAAATCTTCCACAGGGCAGCATTTTAGCCCGAGCTGCACAGGTTGGGCTGCTCCTCTAGTTGATTCCAGGATCCGATGAGCTCCGGAACCAGCTCCGGGCAGCTTCGAGTGAACTTAGACACTGCCTCTGAAAGTTTCCTATTCCCGAAGCCTCCTTTGAGATGCATTCTCATGAGGACCATAGGATCACTCGCTCCAAAGTTTGTCGCCTCAGTCCAAGCAAACTTTTGCACCAGGTTGCCGGATGAGGCGTCGGTCTCTCTCAAGGCAGCCCACTCGTGCCTGCAGACGTCTTGATCTGCTTCACTGAAAGAAACGAAGAGATCCTTGGCAACCTCAAAAAGGTTCTTAGTACAAGACGCCAGGTCTTCCGTGTAGCCCGTGAAGTTTCCTAGACATGCCCCCGCCAAGATCCAGGCTCGTGCTATCTGTACTTTCTTTTCCTCTTCTAAGCTTGTGCACTGTATCAGGGTAAGCACATTGGAGATGAATCCAAAAAAAATTTCCGCGCTTGCCTGATCCGAGCAGTGTCTTCCCATAACCGCGCTGAATCTGGGAGCAAACTCGGGCTTCGCAACCGCTTCTATGGCTTCGCTGTGACAGACGCCGTGCATCAGACAAAACCGGAGGAGCTGCGAGACCAGAGAAAGATTGCCCAAGTAGAACGCGCGATCGTAAGATAAACCTCCATATAGAAGCCTTCTAAACTCGCCATTGACCTCCACGATCTTCTTGGAAAGTGCATCCTTCACGAATTCCTGGGATAGACCTTGCCACTCTAACTTGGCGTGGATGCTGATAAGGTCTTCAGCCGTCTCATTCCCATCCAGCATCCCCGATAACAGGGTCTCGAAGAGCGGCTCCAAAAATTCCGCATCCGCCTCAAACTTTGCCAGCTTGTCTGCCAACGCCTTGACAACTTCTGAGCCGAGTCCCTTTACAACCTCTTTGATAGTGTCAGCTTCTTCCCCAGACCAAACCGCAGCGTTCAAGTAGTCACAGCAGGCTTGAATGGAAGTCTCGCATCCCAAGAAGCTCGCCGCCTGCAGGACTTCCACAGCCTGCTTTGTATCTTTGAAAGGGAGAGGCTCATTTCTCTTTCCTGCACCTTCAGACGCGTACAGAAGCCGCAATGCATGTGAACAAGCACTCAGGTCCTCGCAATCAACTATGAGCTCCGGCAGTTCGCAGTCGTTTGATTTCTTTTCCCCAAAGCTTCCCGCTTCCATGTTCCAACGAGAAAGTTTGGCTTCAAAGTAGGCTGATCCATCTCGCAGCCTGCTTGTATGCAGACGGAGTTTCATCTCTTCCTGCTCACTCTTGTTGTCTGCTGTTCCTTTTGAGACATCTAGGGAGAAGGCACTTTTCCTTCTCTTACGCCCCTCCTCGGTGTCCTGCCAACCAGGCACAGTTTCAAGGGCTGCGGAAGCAGTCTCTTGCTTTGTCCTACGAAGCACGACGATGATATCTTTTGCAGTGGCGGGGTCATCAAGAGCCATGTCTTCGCTCGCAGGTTGCGCCATTTCTCAAGGCTCTCTTCCCTATTGCAATCTGAACAAACTCGCACTGGCATGGAACCGTGAGTCCAGGCCGCCGTTGACGTCGCGGCCGCGGCCGCGGCGCGCTACTCCAAATGATGGAGGCCGGGTTTGCAAGTTGATCGTCGGGGCACTGAAGGCCGCCCGCGAGCTTGCCCGGCCGCGCGAAGATTATGCTGCCGCCAGTCGCCACTGAGCTCCCCGCTGTAATCTGAGCTGCGCTTTCAACCTGATCTAAGATTCACCAACTTTTGCTTTTGGTCACTTTCGGCAGTACATTGACTGTGATTTTGCGGGAGAATCAACCTTCCCACTCGCTGACAAAGCATCAACAGGGGAAGTACTCAACAAGCTCGACAGAAAGCTGCAGCAGACATCATGAGTCGAAGAACGCGTGGTGACGGGACTCGAATGAGCTGGCTTTTTTATGGTTGGGGGAATTAACACCCTAAGATTTCTTTCATTACCTGAGCAACAAAGAAGTTATGCGACGACCTGTGATTTCTTACGGCTGTTGCCAATCTTTTGGCTTGCACATCTTGCTTTCAACTTCCAGTTTGCGAGAAGCCTGAGATCGACGGCGAGTGATAGACCCGTTTCGAGTAGAGATTGTAATCTGTTGTGTTCATCGTCAACATGCAGAATCGATACGGTTTAGCATCTGGGAAGATGTGTCCGACAAAGGCTAAAAGGTCCGAGGCTGAGTCTCCACAACCCTTTTCTGAGAGTGGGAACGGCAAGCTAGCTTTTCTTGAAAGTTCTTACGAGTTTAGGACATTCTCGTGCTCGTTCTATGCTGCATTTCCATTGGGAGGCCGGGTGAATTTTCACAGAGGAAACACACGTGACAGTGTGTGGCCCTGTGATAACATGATTCGAACGAGGCCACTGCTTTAGCATGAACAAAAGAGCCGCTCCCACGTTTTGGCCAATCGATACGGTCTCAAATTTAGAAGGCCTACTGAGAACCTTGATATGTCCAAAACATCCTTTCTCACATGGTTCTCATGGCAATTGCTTAAATATGTGACTTATGAAGCAAGCACTATTCTTTACTTGTAGACAAACTTCTTGCACCACGATGTAAACATAACGTCAATGGACGAGCTTCTGTCCTTGTAGGTTCCAGATTCTTCTAGAGATCTGGCCCAGGCTTTTGAGACTTCTCCCTGCTCCTTCCGCGGTAGAGACATGAACAACGTCTGTGTCAAGTATTCAAGTTTCTTCACCTCTAACCCACGTCTGGACTTCCTACAGATCTCTGTCATCCACACTTCCAAAAGGTGCGACTTGTGCTCTATGGGTACTGGGTAAGCACACCCTGCAGCCGCTTCGAGTATAACCAGAAAGGCAGCCTTCGGACCCCAGCTGGACAGGGTAGGCTCCTCCTCTACTTGATTCCATGATTCGATCAGCTCAGGAACAAGCTCAGGCAGCTTTCCACAAAAGCAGAGAGTGCCCCTTCAAGGCTTCTTCTCTGCAAGCCTCCTTTGAGATGCATCCTCATCAGGTCCAGAGGCTCACTCGTTTTCTTGAAGTTCCTTGTCTCAGGTTTTACGAATTCTCCGAGTAGGTTGCCGGACGAATCGTCGATTTCTGTCAAGGCCCACACATGCCTGCAGCAATCTTGGTGTGCTGCACTCAAAGAGAAGAAGACTTCCCCGGCAGCTTCAACAGAGTTCTTCAAGTTGGTACAAGCCGCCAGATTTACTCTGTACCCAGAAGTTCTCAAACTGGCCCCAGCCAAGATACACGCCCGAGCGATTGGGACCTTTTCATCCTCCTACAAGGTTGTGCTTCGTATCAAAGTGAGCACATTGGAGAGGAGTCCAAATACTGCGTCGGCGCTTGCCTGATCTTCCAAGCCTTTCCTGTCAGCAAGCCTGCTGAAATCAGCTGCGAGCTCCTCGGGCTTGACGAATGCTTCTGTCGCTTCGTTGTGGCAAACGTCGTGTGTCACACAGAAACGGAGGAGCTGCGCCAATGCAGAGATCGTGCGCGAAAAGTGCTGGCTAGAGAGTTCCAAGCCTCCATGCAAAAGCTGTTCAAACTTGCCTTGAAGCTCCACAATTTGATAAGAAACTGCATCCTCAATGAAATCCTTGGGAAGACCTTGCCACTTCGACTTGGCATGAGTGTGAAGAAGTTCTTCCGCCGTCCCACTTTGAGCGAGCATCCCCATTAACAGGATCTCGAAGAAAGGCTCCAAGAACGTAGAGTCCCTCTCAAACTCTGCCAGCTTCCCTGCCACAGCCTTGGCAACCTCGGAACCGAGCCCCTGTACAATCTCTTTGATGCTGTCAATGTCTTCTTCCGGCCAAACCGCAGCGTTCAAGTACTCACAACATGCTTGGATTGGATTCTCGCACCCCAAGAAGCTGGCCGCCTGCAGGACTGCCACAGCCTGTTTTGTATCTCGAAACGGGAGAGGTTGCTTTCTCCTATTTGCACCTTCAGACGTACTGTACGTCAGCAGCTGCAATGCAAGTGAACTAGCACTTGCGTCCTCGCACTCAACTATGAGCTCCGGCAGTTCACAGCCGCTTGAACCTTTCTCTTCAAAGCCTTCGGCTTCCAGGTTCCAACGGGACAGTCTGGCTTCAAAGTAGGAAGATACCTCTCGCAGCTTGCTTGTATGCAAGCGAAGACTTATTTCTTCAAGTTGCCCACAGATCTTGTTGTCGACTGTCGTGTCTGGATTTGCGGAAGAGGAGATGATACCACTCACGGTACTTTTACTTTTCTGACGTCCCTCCTCAGTAACCCGCCAAAAGTTGGGACCGCCTTCCAGGGCTGCGGAAGCAGTCTCTTGCTCTGCCTTGCTTGGCGAACGGAGTACAACGATGATATCTTGTGCTGCAGCGGAGTCACCAAGAGCCATGTCTTTGCTCGCAGGTTGCGCTCATATTTTCAAGTGCAGTTTTTTTCTTAGCTCTTCTGAACAAACTCGCAAGGACTGTTCAGAGTCGGTTGCATCTTCTGACGTACTCAGACGTACTCGAACCTTCCAAGCTATTGCCGCGGCCGCGGCGCGCTGCCACAAAGGATCGGGTTTATCAGGCGCGGCTTTAACTTACTGTGCAGTGCCAGGTAAGTTGGCCGCCCGTGAAGCCGCGCCCGGCTGCGCGAAGGGCGCGCGCGGCTGCGGCCGCCAGCCGGCCGCCGCCCGGCCGCGTGAACTGTACTTTCAAATTCATGCAAGTTTGAGCGCTCTAAACACCACCAGTTTGCTGAAATTCGCTGCATTTAGCACGTATGTCATCCATAACACCGTCATTTTTCTGGTTCAATGATCGTCGATCAGCTCTTTCTGCAAACGCGTGCAAACATTCAGAAATAGAGATCGAAAGTCCGTCTATAAAGCTGCACATAGTATGTGACGCGACGGACTCGACTCGGATAAACGGATAAGTTCATGCTGCACGGACCTACGTACATCGTGCCTAGTTGTATGTATAAAAGTATTTCTTCCAGGCCCGTCGTCACTGTGCCAAAGACGTACCTTTTTTGCAAAAGGCTGCGCGCCGGGTTCCATTGAGATCAAACCCAGGCTGGCTATAGGTAAGTACGTCTTATGCTCTTACCGTCAGAACATAGTCCATCGGACCCTCGACCTCAAGCTATTGGCATATGCACCGTCACAGCTAGACGTATGCAAGCGTCCTACTGGGCGCAACATGGCGCCGCCAGATTTTGAATATGCGGCCTCGGACCGGCGGTTTCCTTTTGCGAGCTATTCGTAGTCGCAACTATTTATTGCATGATGCATATAGCAATTCCGTCTCGGTTCTACAGCAGTCGGCTGGGCCCATTAGAAGGACCATTAGACTGAACCGGATCCGAGATCAGCTTAGCAATGATCATCCGGCGGACGCCACTTCTGACAAACCTCTATGGTTGCGGGATAGTGGACTCAAGAGTTGAGCATCCGCATCTTGCTCATGTGCAACACGTGTCCTCCGACAATGTTCCAAGAGTTAACAAAAGAGTCGAGGAGCTCAGTACAAGGCAACGGCTATGTTACAGTAGATGCATTCACTTGAAGAGTTAGAGGACACAACTTGTGGGAACAAGCCGCGCAGCGTCTCAGCAGATCAGACCGTTTCGATGATATTTGGATTTTAGTACTCTTCGTCCTTAAAATCTGGCCGTGTGACAGGAATCGCCCATCGGCCTAAATGCGCGGTGTAATTGAGACACCGCACGACACCCCTGCCGGATGGCCCATCCGGAAAGTCGATCACGCTAACGCTTCCCGTTTGTAGGTGAAACCTGTCTAGGTAGTCGGGCGTTAACCCAAGGCAATGGCTGATCATAGCAACATGTGTCGACTCGTGTCCCACTACCAAGACGAGCTTATCGCCCTCCTCCCCGCTGTTTTCCAACACTTCCAACACCTTTTTCCACGCTCGGCCCGCCTGTTCCCAAGCCTCGTTCAATTTTCCATTCCCGTCCTGGCTGAGTGACTCCGCCGACTCTCCCTGTAAAGAATCGGATGCAGAAAGTAGAAGTGAGTCTCACGAAACAGCGTGCGGAAACGGAATTGAACACTGGCAAATCAAGCTTCAGTTCACTGTAGCGGCCAACATTCGATCTTCTTTTCGAGATTAGTTGATGAATCCAGGTCGAACACCATGAACCATCGGCTTAGCATCGCTTCGAAAACGCCTCAACTGGACCATTTTGCCATCCGCGTGAATTTCAAACCCTGCACGACTCGTCGCCACACCATACGCCTTTCTCAACGGTCCATTTGATCGAAGTTTGGCCTGTCCAAAATCCATTGCGCCTGATCTTTGCCTTGTCTGTGCATCCAATCCCCAGATATTGCACTGGACAAATCCAGCCGACGAGCTAAGTCTTGAAGAGAAACCCCCGAGTAGACCAGCCTCGTCTCCAACTTGCGAGAGCTGTGGTGACAGGGCTCGGTTGCAGATCGGCACAGAAAACACTGAGCTAAGTTTCGACCGCAGACTCCATAGAGCTTCCCAGTTTTAGGGACTGCAAACGGAACGACCGACGGGAACCTGGAGGACTTTTCTGCAGAAGTCAAGCTTCAGTCCATAAATGGTGGGCACTTAAAGTTTCAAGAACCATACTTGGTTACGATCTGAACGTCAAGGCATTCCAGGATTTGCGGCTTACCTCGGGAATCTGGAGGTTCAGGTCCTGCAGCTCCGGCACCTCGATGGTGTCAACAAAGCGCGGCTCGCAGTAGTCCTTTAGGCAGTACGCGTTCTCTTGCAGCTGGAAAAACCGACACACAAGAATGACTCTGATTGTTCAGCCCCAGAAAGAATGAATGGGAAAATGCATCTCAAAGACTTGAATACCAAGCGTCTTTCTCAGACGGCACGACTTGGAGATTACTTCTTCTGTGACGAAATGGATGCGACTCTTTTCTTTTGCCGCATGGAAGGCGAAGGACATCGAAGAGTCCTGGGGAGAAAAACGAGAGCCGAAGTCAACAGTCCAATTTTCCTATCGCAACCAACGTAGGCCCAAGATACAATGAGAGGTGAATGACGTACCACTCGTATCTCTTCTGCAGCAGCAACGGCGCGCCCCGTGGGGCTGGTGACGATGGTGTCGATAGTGACGTCCAGCAGCAGCTCTGCCGTCTTTCGGGACTGCAATTGATTTACATCTATGTTTCATTTCTTTCTTTGATTTGCCATCCCATTTAGAAGCGTCCGTTGAGAACGTAACCCTCTGAAACCAAACCCGAAATCTCGAAGTAACCGGCTATAGAGCTCCCATAACAACCAGTCAATAAGATGGAAGGACAAAGTCTGCTTTCCTCAAAACTAGGCGTCACTGTTTCAGAAACCGACGTGTAGACACCACTATTTTTAAAACGGTCATCTCGAAAGGCACCAAGCCTTCTTACAGCAGACACATGCTCTTCACTACAGCACAACCTAAAGCCTTCGGAACCTGCTTTTCGGAGTCTTCCAAGTCTTTCCAAAAACAGTAAAAAGATGGTTGAAACTTACCTGAACGACTCCCAGCATGTTCATCGGTTCCTCCTGAGTAGCTGGTTTCTTCCCCTGCAAAGGCAGAAGTACGTCCTTCTGAGCGGAGCGGACCGAACGGATTGGACGGAACACAAGGGGCGGCTCAGGTGCACCTTCTTAGGAGCAGCCGTCTGCGCATCTTGTGTCCGAAGAATCGCACATAAGCGTTCCGAGTTATTGCAGATACGATCTACAGACCCTTCTCGAAATCACGCCAATATTATACCTCGATTGGCTCTGATGGTTGCTATCCGAAGAGAGGGCTGCCCAAAATTTGCTATCAGCACATGTTGTCATTTCCGCCACACCGTTAGTAGATACGCAGTGATGCACTTTACTAAGTGACAATTGGTGGCGCAAGAGGAGGTTGCTCTCCACAACACTCTAACAAATGGCAGATACGCTCTCCCCGAGCCTGTCAACGTCAGTTCTCATCATCAAAAAGAACCAAACAAAGGCCCCCTACATCTGAAGTACAAGCTCCGTTACAACGAAAATCAAGACATACACTCACATCGCCTGCTAGAAAAGTCCACTCGGCTCAAAATGCTCCAATCTCACTACAAGACTGGTCCGCTTGTATCTGACAATCGACTCAAGACAAGGACATGCCAACGCACCACAATAGCCGGGGTCTATGGGACCGGCTAGTCACTTCCTAGATAAACGCATAATCCGTACCTGGAGTGTGCTATCTGTCGCCCCGTGCCGAACGAGCACCAACCGGCACTTCGCTTTCCGGCCCGCGGACGTTCCCGCAGAAGCGGCGATCGGAGGACCAGGCGTCTGTAGGCAGAAGGAAATCTCGACCTTGCGTTAGCGACTGCAAAAACCCCCATGCGATGCATATTTTGACCGGCTTAACGGGCATAACGCCATCCAAATTGGAGTCGCGAACGAGCCGCGTGTCCTGGCAAAAACTTGTTCTCTGCTTGCGTGTCAGCACCAACAAGGGGATGGCCCAGAGTCCTAAACAAAGAGGAACGAGAAAACATGTCCCGATGCTTTCTTTGACTGCCAGGAAACTGGGGAGGCGAAACAACGATCGGTTCACAGTTGTTCACGGATCACCAATCTTCTGTCCTTTCTCGCCAAAGGCCGTGGGATTGCCAAACTTTAACACGACAGCCTCAAGCTCCGCTTCGACACGCCGCCTGCGCCTCACCTGGTTCAAGCGTTCCAGAGACACCTTGGGGGGGCCGTCTGGGTCGGCATTGGGGGTGAAGTCGAGCACGCTGACCCCGCAATTGCTCTGAAGTAGGAGCCGGAAGTATATGGGGTCCAGGCCTGCGAGCAGGAGATCGATGCAAGTCATTCCCTGAGATTCCTTCTCTGCTGAGTACGGTGCAAATAACAGGGCGCCCCAACTAGAGCGGTAGCTATGAAACCTGTCTCATGGTTTCTTGGACTCCCAGAACACCTGATTATCCAAAAGGTTGCTCGAAACACCCGAACTGGGGGGCCAGGATACTTCTCAAGAGACCGGAAATGATTGCTGGCAGTCAACTTGAGCTCCATTTTCAGAAGCGAGAATGATTGTGACGCGGATGCTGGCAGTGGCCGAAGTGAGACCGAGACATGTACATGCATACTGAAGGCAATTTTGAGAGGTCCACCGTCGGTCCTGTTTGGGGTCGTCCTTTCGCTGGACTGCCTACGATAGAAATTGCGAGTACTTTTCAGGACCTAAAGTGGTTGTCTCAGTCAAGAGACAATTGTCAGCTTCCATCGATGGCAAAAGAGACGGGAAGAACAAGAACCATTGACAATAGACGGCAGACGGGGCACATTACGAAGCTACAAACCATGCAGAAGAGAAGTTCTCCTGCTGCGTGCATCCCGTCAGGACTGCAGACACAGCGACAGGGATATGCCAGGGACGCTTTTTGAGCTTCAAATGAACCAAGCAACTCGAGATGCGAGCCATTGGAGATACGAAACGATATTGAGAGAAACGAAGAAAAGACAGCGCAGAAAGGGGTATAAACAAAGTCTTTGTTTAGTCGCCCCACCTGTTGCTGTTGCCACGAGCGCTTGGTTGACCGCGTTATGCGCCACCACAAGTGCCGACCTGCTCTTGTCCTTGAGAATCAGGTCCCAGCAGGAGCGCGCGCGCGCCCAGAGCTCGCGCACCGGGTAGTGCCCGTCGATCTCAAAATTGGCAGCGTCCTTCTGCCACATTTTGTACTGCTCGCCGAAGCGCTCTTTACCCTCCTCCTTGTACAGGCCCTGCGCACGCCAGGGCATCTTCCCTTTACCTTTGAGATGTTTGCAACGTCAACGTTTGTTGCAACCTTTGTGTATCTGCTTGTTTGCTTCGCTTTTCCAATTTGTTCTCCTTCCATGTGCTTATTCAAAGCTGTGTTAGTAGGGCCTGTTATTCCATGTACAGGCCTTGCAACGGGCAGATTCTCTTATCTTCATTATTACGTCTGGTGAGGACGTCAGCATGAGGTCAGCAGGGTTCTGGGACTCTTGAGCTAAGACAAGGTCCTGACTCCCCATGGAGCTGCCGGCCTTTCCAGGGATGTATGTTGTAAAGCGAACCGCTGTAATTTGACGCTCTCAGCTTGCAAGCGAAGCTGAGGGGTGACTTTTGCAGAGGCTACATTGAAAGCCTGTTTTTGGAGCTTTGAGCGTTCTTCTATGCAGAGAATGCTGTGAAGAAATGCAAATGTCAGACGCCCCATAGGTGCAATGACCTCTACATCAAGCAGGCTTTTCACCCTTGGGAGCAGGTCACGCTACTCCAGCAGAAGGGGAGTTTGATCAGCTTTTTGCCAGCAATGGCCGTGAGTCCGCATAGTTACTGCGTACTATCTCGTTGCTGGTTCTTACAAATATTGGGGGCCGTCCTGTCAGAAGTTGTCTTCTATTTCCCCTTTGCCTCAGAAACAGGTCGCACAAAAGTGTCAACGAAGAGATTATCTGGAGCCATGGCCAGATGACCCACTGTTTCTGGACGACATTTCTGCCGTAGAAAATTTACTGCGTGCTTTGAAGTTATCTCTTCAAGCTTGCAGAGCTCACCTGGAACGCATACAGATCAATCTCTCGAAGGTCGTCGACCGGGTACACTGGCCCGGTGCGCTTGTCCCAGATGATCTCGGCTGTCCGCTTTGACCGGGCCAGAGGGCTGCAGAAGCATTGGGAAAGGCAACATGAAAACAGCTTGAGGAGAGATATTTGTGACCACTTGTGTGCTAACAAGTTCCTAACCTTTCACCCTCTTCTCCTGGCGGGAATGAGTGGAGCAACTTTGGATCATGCCTGGCCTCAAATGGAAATGCAAGACTTTTGGCAAAGAAAATCTAGTCTGCAGTGTGAATTCTTCTTTCCTGTTCATAAAACTGGTCAGTTGTCTCCCTTAGCTTTCCTTGCTGATTATGATTATAGCTTGGCAGCAATTGAAGCTACATGTCATCAGCAGAGATATAGATAAATGAATTGTCTGAGAGAATCGCACCTGTGAAATAGAGCATCAAAGTTTGCATCCGCCAGCATTTGCCTGCTGGTCTCAGCCTGAATGATCCCCTTCTCCGTCAAGACAGCAAAGTCGGAGCTGCCCTGGATGCGCCCTGCCTGATTCCATGTGCTCTCCCCATGCCTTACAAGAACCACCCGCTTCGCTTCCTTAATTGGTGGCAGAGGCGAAAACTGGCAGTCAGGGGTTTGTGCAGACAATTTGGGAGGACTGGGGACAGGCTGCTGCTCTACCGTTTTGCTGGTTTCAGTAGCCACAGCCATAATGTGGCCCCTCCGAGCAGTGGGGAAGAAGGGAGACCTTGAATAGGTGCATTGCTTAAGGAGTTCCTTCAGAAGACGCAACTCTGTCCGCCTTTTGCACTGCTCGTGACGGCTTCCCCATGAGGACAGCTTGATGGGCACAGCATTTGCATGAGCGAGATTGTTTCCAAAACCGGAGAGGCACCCATGATAAGAACTGGAAGGGGACAGCCTCTCCAACGTGCAACCTACAGAAGAAACTGCCATAGCAAGGTCAATTTGTCAGCTGGAAGGCGCCCTTCCTTTCCACAGAATTGAATTTGAAGGTTGTCACGCAATGCAACGTAGACTCTAGAGCGCGTGCGAATGGCCTTTTGCCAGAACCCTAAATTCGATCAACGCGCGCGAGCAGCAGGCCAACCGCGGCCGCACACCCGCGACCGCGCGGTCGCGGCCCGGCGGCTCACATTATCGTCCACGTGGCATTATGTTACGTACTAGCTAGGACTCATGATGTCACCGCACCCTGCATGCATAGTAGAGATATCTGAGCACCATATGAAAAATGTGAAATGGAACCTTTTGCACTGAAGACGGTCCGACGGAAACATATACCATCCGCACCTAGGGTTGAGCCTAATGTCGCAAGTTTAAGCCCCAGGGAGTGTATCGTGGAACTCTATGTACGCAAACGACGTATCATGAAGAAACTGAATCAAAGCAACAAACCACGTAAGTTCAATAAGGATCACAACCTCGCTACATTTTATGCACAGGTAGGATCAGAAGGACGGTTCCATTTAAAGTGCTGATCTTGTACATACATTTATTGAGCTGCTCGTGCGTGTTTGCCTGATTCCTGTCCCAGTTGCGACCCAACTACAATATGTACATCTACAGTGGTTCACTTGACAAGCAGCTCTCTGAAAGGGAGGTTGTACAGAGCGGTATGCTTTGTACACAGCATGAAACCCCGCTGTATTACCCGTTGCATAAGAAAGGCCTACGGACTCGGAAACTCTAAAGACTATCGTAAACGAACCCGACCTGGTACATCAAAGTAAGGGCAGCCGACATCTCCTCAGAGCGCACCCACTAGAGGACATCAAAAGCGGGCCACGGCTTCAACTGACAGTCGACCGCCCATCTTCTGCGTCTACTGTCAGCCACTCGTTCCCGCTTTCGCTGTTGGTCCGGCTCCCGCCGTGATTGCTCGCGCTCGTCGCAGCGGGCGAGCTTGGGCTGCCTTCTCCGCTCGTCTCCTCGTGCTCCATATCACTGCTGCTGCTCACCGTTTTCAACCCCTGGCTCGCAGTTCGGTGCAACTGCACCCATCCCGCGCCCCGTGCAGGGTCCGAAGACGACCCCGCCGAACGGTTATCGTCCGCTACTCTCGTGCCGATCGGCTTCAAAACCGGGACGACGTCCTGGCTGGCCCCCTCCTCCTCCTCCTCCAACTCGCTGAACGACGACTCGTCCTCTTCGTGGGGGTCGCTCTGCCCCTGCTCGCCGCCCCCCTCGCCGTCGTCGTCCAACCAATCATCCACGTCTTCCTCGTCCGCCCCCTCACGAGGCCCTGTTTGAGCAGGGCCCACCTTCCCTGCAGCCGCTGATCCGTCCCCGGCCTCTCTTTCCAGAGCCTCAGACTCCACCGCTTTTGCAGCGCTCACATCGGTCTGCTTTGTTGCTGGCCGGTCGCCCGCCTGCGAGGCCTTGTTTGCCGGCGTGTCGACAGTTTCCTTAGATGCTGGTGAACCTTTTACCGGGTGAAGGAGGGCCTGTTCAGCTGCAGGGCCTGGAACCCCAGTCTCGAAATTGTCGTCCGGCAGGGGTCCCCTTTCCTTCCGCAGCTTTTCCAGGAGCAGCTTCCGTTCCGTCAGGATCTGCAAGAAGGGTTGAAAGAAAGCAATTACTTCAGGACTGCCGGCATAACAGCGACAAATCCTTGCTAATGGAACACCTTTGTCACTTCTACCCTTTCCGTACTACTGCAACAAGAAGCCTTCTCCCCCCAGAAATGGCGTTGGCTTGTAAACCTAGCTTGAGCTTGTAAACTGGACGATCGAGCTGAGACAGGACGACGTAAGAAGAACGATTGGAAGGAATGTCTTTCGAAGTCAATCCCAACTACGTTTCAGTCACAGCAATGACTGTTCGCAATTGCCATCGTACTCCTTGTAGAATGCTTGAAGATGCATGACAAGAGATGCCTGACTTGCTCAAATGAAAAGACTGGCTGTACTTCAAAAGAGCAACTCAGTTTGAAAACCGAAGGCACCTGAAAAAGGCTCACAAGGAGTTATGTCAACACCACCGGTGATTGGAAAGGCTAGGGATTCCATACGGGCTAAGAGAAGAGAAGCGGCAACCGGAAGGGTGCAACTACAGAGGCAGCCATATCCACTTGTGTTGTCCTTAGAGGATGAAAACTTTATGTTGTGAAAGATAAAGAGGTCGGAGGGCTGGGAAGCGTGTCTACTCAACCAAAAGCACGACCTGTGTGCTAACAGTAAGTAGGAACGAAGCTTCAGGGGCCAAGGCAGCAGCAAAGACGACTTTACTACTTGCTCTGGTGCGGCGTGCCTTGGTGAAGATTGAGAGATGCACAAGTGTACAAGAGAAACGACAGGCTGGCAAACATGACGAACAAAGATAGGCACCTCAGGTGTCAGTAGCTGTGCGGCGCCCGTGGTCCCCAGCCGCGAGGCGAGGAGCACAAAGTACACCCGCCAGAAGCGCTCCTCGGACATGAAGGCCGGGCAGAGCTCCGTTCGCATCGCTGCGATCTGGGGGGCTTCTTGCTCCAGGACGTAGACGTGATCTTCTTGGAGCTCCGTCAACGCCAACTCTGCACCACAAAAATGAGGCTTTCTTGATCAGAGGGTGGGGGGCAGGGAAGGGCTGAACTTCAAAACATTCCCTACTCGCAAAGAGGCCCTAACAAAGTGAAACTTGTAGTGCAAGCTGTGAACTGTGCGTAAGCACAGCCTTTCCAGAAGGGGACTGCCCATTAGCAACTAGTCAGCTTGCTTCACACCCTATCATCTTCTGAAGGGGGGCGTAGGAATGAAAATACCAGTCCAGTGTTGGGACTCGATCTCTTGATGAACACCAGAGCATGGGCATGGCAAGTTCGCTATACAATGAGTGATCAAAACTGCTAATTTGATTGTTCCGAGAACTACTAACTTCATCTCCTTCAGATAATCTGGATAGAGCTGCAGTTGCACAGAAGAAAATAGAAACAGAAGCAGCACTTGTGACAGGAGAGTAGTTGACATCATCCGTTGCATTTTTGAGCAACTTAAAGCCAACAAGAAGGCAGACGTTCTTTCAAAAAGGAGGCAGACGCCCTCTTTAAAAGGAAGCTGCAAATGTATTTGTGAACGGACAGGTATGCGAGGCAGCCGGGCAGGAGCCGCTGTGCAAAAGAGATACCATCTGCTTAAACACACCGCAGACTTAACTCTATAAGACTGGGGCTCAGGTGGTCATATGCTTGAACAAGGTGCGCGCTTGGGACGATCGCCCGAAGTCGTGTACACCTAAGAGCCTAACTCAATCTCAAAGTTGCCTCAGGAGGTTCATTGCACAAGGCACGACGATCGCATTGCTAAAAGGGCAATGCTGTCCAATCAAAGCTGCTCAAAGACATTGCTAAAAATAAACATAGAAGGGGAAGTACCTCAAAATGCACAAGAAGCCGACAAACCACGAGCTTTGAAAGAGCGGCCCCAACCAAGACTGCATACCTTCTGCGGTCTCGTCAGAAGACAGAGGGAAGTCCAGCCACGTCTCAGGGTGCGACGCAATGCTCGTGGCGAATGCGACAACCTCGTCAGTCACACCAACTGCCTCAGGGTCGACCTCTTCATCCTCATCTTCGCCCCTTTTCACCAAGCTGAGCATGTCCGGAAAGCGCAATGCCAGCCTTGAAAATCCTGAGGCAATGCTCCCGGTCAACGCCTGGAAATCCTTTTGCACGCCGTCTGCCGGACGCGCGTTGGCCGGGGGCTTGTTCACCAGCTCGAGCTGGCTGGCACTCTCAGGTCCAAAATTAGGGTTCTCAGAAGGAATCGTCTTGGTGGGACTCAAACTGCTTTCTTCCGGCTTGGCAGAAGTATCATCCTCCGCCCGTTTCTCGAATAACACAACCCTCCTGCGATGACTTGGCAAGAGGTCCTCCCCAGTCACGACCTTGATGACTGATGAGAACCTGCTGATGCTGCTGCTGAGCGTCCCAGTCAGTTCTGACATGTCGGCCTTGAGGCCCTTCATCTTTGGGGGATTATGTTCTACCACTGGCTGGGCAGAATCTTCTGTGTCCACACTCCCGTCGCCTGCCTCCTCTGTTTTCCTGCTGGTTTCGGCATCTCGGCCCTCCTCAATTGGCTGACGTCCTGCGCTCTCCTCGGTCTCTCCAGAAAAACGAGCACTTTCCTCCCTGGCAGCTTCTCTGGTAGAAGCCTCAACCGGCTGCACTCCCTCTGAAGGGCCGTCAACAAAATCATCTTCATCATCCCCAGGCAGGGGTTCTCCGGCTAGGAAACTCCCCAGCCCCTTCACGAGCCCAAATGCACTGGACCCTCGGAGGCCACGGCTAAAGGACTGTGTCAATTCAGTCAAGTCCTCTCTCACACCTCCCGTGTGCCCTTTCTCTCCCTGTGTATCACTCTCAGTAGTTGCAGGTGCGCTTTCAGCCCCTTCCTCCCCACCAAGAGCACGCTGCCACCAAGACATTATAAGCCAAGCTTAAGTAAGCAAGCGCAATGTCACACGGTAATGTGGAACATCTGGAACGTCTGTCCTGTTACACAATTGAGATGTTCAACTCGGACGGCCCGGCTTTCCATCAAACGCCCAAGTATCTGTGGCAAGCAGTTATGCCAGGGCAGACCGCCAGCTAGCTTCCGCTGCACAATCACTGCCGGAGAGCTTCAATTTCACCTTGAAGTTGTGCATCATCTCTCCCCGACCGCTCTGCCGTAGCGCTTTGAATGCAAGCTACCTATCCGTAGTCCGCTGGCGCTCTCCACGTCTCCCCTTCGCAATTTCTGGCGGGCCAGCATGGTTCCGAGTCTGCTCGGCAATTTTCACGAGAGGATCTATTGGAAGCGCCTTATGGCCACAAAAATAAACCAATTTATGCTTCTTTGTGGTTTGACGATAGCCTGCAAAAACCCCTACCTCGACTGGAGCGAGGAAAAGGAAGCAACTCGCATACCCGTGAACTCTTCACATATACGATGTTCAAGCCCCATTTTAAGCGCGTTTTTCTGACGGCAGCTTTGTAGAGATCGTCCTCAACTTCAAGAAAGCCCATGTGCACTGACAGTGATGCAGTGCAGACTGCAGTGGATGCACTGGCGAAGTGCTGAGCAAGAGAGATCTTCGTTGAAGATATTTCTGACATGGTGAAGGCGCCAACTCGTAGGTAGCAGTGGTAAATTATTCAAAGCACATGTACACGACATCAGGTGGCGTATAGGGATTCCCATCCGTCTTCCTAGGTCTCTCTTATAGCACATTAAGAACTGCTGTAGGTTCAGAGCGGGCGCATCTGACCACTTGTCCGCATGGCGGGCATCCATTCATGTTCTTTCAAAAGTCTGATCCAAAATCCTCTCTCCTTACGAAGAGTTGCTGCAGAAAGCTGCATCCCCTCAGCCCAAGATCTGCAGTGGGCTCCTAAGCTGGCAAAGGGCTACAATGCATGCGGAAGAAAAGCAGGCAGGTCGTCTTCTGGAGAGCTAGGGAGACCCACGAAGTCCAGGAGAAGCAGATCTTGCTGTGCTGTTCAGTACCCTGTGGATCAAAGCCATGGTGTGTGCCTGAATACACAGCATCAGAGTGGCATGCACTTGGGGGTGCTGCCAACTACTACAGGAAGGTCAAAGGGACGCACTGTTTGTGGAGCTGCGACACAAGTGAAGGAGCGGGAACAGGGGGTTGAAGAACGTGAGTGCCATTTTCCGTGGTTCTGGAACCTTGATCATGCGGGCCTGCTGCCGGAAAAGTACTGACAGTTCGACCTTGAGATGGTAACACCACATTTTTGTGCCGTGTTTGTCACCCACTATTGAAGCATTGAGCTTTGTTTCACGTGACCAAGTCTGAGGATTGCAAGGTGAAAAAAGGAAACGCTGTGTACAGACGTGGATGCAGACGTTGAGTTCTGCACTCCCTGCTCTTTCAGGTTACCATTGTAGTTTCCAAACGTGCCACTTGTTCTGAAAGAATCTTCGTTCTCTCAACATCAGGGAATGGGACACTCAGCACAGAAGATTCAAGGCTTTCAGGAGGCCTTCTCACGGGTGGTTCGGTGGACTTCTCTGGGGCGACAAACCCCCTGATTAGAAAAGCACTGGAGACTGAGAAAACGATTGTGATGGTACGGCATGGCCTGAGCACATGGAACTTTGAGGGCAGAGTACAGGTGAGTGATAAAGAGTTCGCCTCCTGAAAACAAGATGTCTGCCTGAGGGCGAAGAGTGTCGAGGAACCCGGGTATGCAGAGTGAAATGTCATCAGGTGACAATGGCTTATTCTGGTTGACAAAAGTTTCTCGAGGTGTTGCCACTATTCAGATTGCAACTGCAGAGGTTCTGGCCAAGTAGTGATTCAAAGTTCTCCAGTGACTACAACGATGTTTGACGTTGGACATGTTCTCAATGCCCTTCAGAAGGCCACTCTGTATCTGCACCAAGTGTCATTGATTCGTGTGTTTGCCCTCTTTGCGCTCATGCTTGAAGGTTAACTCGGAGGTGATTCTACTCAAGACTTTGACATAGATGAAACACAAAATCTTTCTGTATGATTCTTTCTTTCAACCACCGAGTGGGGCAACATAGAAGTTGAAATCTCAGCATGTGTTGCGCTCCAATTCAGGGCTCCTCGGATAAGTCCATTCTGTCGGAGACTGGGATCTGGCAAGCGGAGCGATGCAAAGAGGCGCTGAGCAAGTTGAAGTTTGAGCAGTGCTTCGCTAGTCCTATCTCTAGAGCCAAGGTAAGTCTTGAGCTTTGTCTTACTTGCATCATCAATGAATGTCAGCCATATCAAGAGCAAGAATAGTGTCTCGACACAAAGATGAAGTTTTTTAGTGGAAAGCATGGAGTATTTGGAAAGGGATTTTGGGGACGTTAAATTTAAAAGAGAAGTTTTGGGAGTGAGGACTTCGTTTGTACTCTTACTTGATTGCTTTTGCATTCGAGTGTCTGAACTAAAAGAAGGACCCCCTGAAAAGGAGCAATGGTATCCAGCAATGGGTACTTTCTCTCTGTTTTGTTCGCAATTTTGAACTGTTCAGGGGGGCCTGGCTCGACTTTGTAAGTGATACTATACCTGAAGGTCTCTTTTATTGCAGACCAGCGCGGAAGTCATATGGAGCGATAGGGAGGAGCCGCTGATCTTTCTGGACAGCCTTCGGGAGGCGAACTTGAACATTCTGGAGGGCATGAAGAACTGTGAGGCGCCCGTTTCTAGTACATCGTCTTTGCTTTACATCGTTTTGTCAATATTACTTCCCCCTGTTTTGTCAATATTATTTCCCCCTGTTTTACCACAAGGTCATTACTGGTTGATATAAAACTGATTGAGGTGATGTTCTAACGGCCTTAGCAGCGAGATAGAGTAAGTGAATCAAAGGACGGCTCAAACAGAGCATGTATAGTTGGCTTGAATTCAGCTTTATTTCGTTTGCATTCCCCAAGCTGATTCTGCACAGTTCAGGATTCTGTAGAGAACCTCAGTCCTGGTTTGCTTGCTGAATGTTGCAACAAGTCTAGATTGACCAGTGAATCCAGGCACACTCCTTATCTGACAGGACCAGATTCGTAACCCGTCAGTGTCTGCCCTCCCTACTTGTCCCCTCCTTTCCATGTGTCCTAAAGAGAGGATCAGACCACTCAATTCGGTCAGTCAGGACTTCTCGGAGTCGCTCTCAGTGCACGGAAACGTTTGCTCAAAAGACGGTTGCGCTTGAGTATCTCTAGAAGAGTCCAAATCTGGTCGGAGCAGTTTCTTCCCTAGCTTCAGAGCCCTGCAGTCATTTCTGTACCCTTTGTCAAATCCGGTCATGGGGGCAGTACGTGTGAGCGAAGTACGTGTGAGCGATTCAAAACCTGTTGTGCGTAGCTGGCTGCCTTCATCCGGGACATGTTGAAGACGCCCTTGTTCAAGAACCGTACTGCTATTCCATTTCGGCACCTTCGACGCCGAACGATGGATAATGAGAGTTTTGCCCTTTTGGCAGGCATAACACCTGCTAAAAACAACCGTTCTCGACCAGGATCCCTCTGAAGTGTTCCTCTGCGGATATCGGCAGGGCACATAATAAAAGTAAGAAAATTCAAGTAGCAGTAAGGTACTATTTCAGATCGTCCATCTTCGCTCTACCAATACTGGATTGAGACCAGTGCTTCTGTTTCTGCAATACAGCGGAGGCAAAGGAGCTGTACCCGGAGCTATTCACATCGTGGCGGCAAGACCCGATGCACTTTGAGGTGAACGGCGTCTACCCCGTCCGCGAGCTGTGGGACCATGCCCAAAATGCGTGGGAGGACATCTTGACACAAGCCACCGTGAGCTAACACTTTATTATAGTCCAGATTACGAGGTGTAGTGTCAATTGTCTTGAGGTTGTTTTGTCAGTTTCAGCCAGGGGCTTTTCATCTGGCTTCTTGCCTCTCCGGCCATCGCTCTCAGTTCGACCCCCAACTTTGAACAATCAGGTTAGTTAAGTCGTGGTCAAGTCGTTCAACAAAACTTAGAGTGCGAAGAACGTCGCTGTTCAACAAAACGCAAATTTGCAGAGTAAGTTGGTATGCACTGTGCTAGGAACAGGGTTTGTTCTTGATGCTGTGCTGGACTTTGTAGGAACGTTTCTAAGAGAGCGACACGTGTCTGGGTATCGAGCGAAGAAGGAACGGCTGTCCGGCTGCATGAACCGTGTACTTTTGAAACTGTTAGCTCCCACACTAGCCATTCATCATACGGTTTTATAGCAGTCTGGCAGACCTTTTGTAACCTGCTGGAAAGTGCCGTTGTGATTCCTTGCGGCGACTGATACATTTGTCTGGATTGGCAGGCCACTCGAGTGGGTCAGTATCAATCCGGAAGTTTGGTCACGGCATCTCAAAAGCGGAGTGGAAGTGAATTATGGCATCTCCAAGCCGGAGAGGAGGTTTAACACGGCATCTCAAAACTGGAGCGGTTGTTAATGACGGCATCTCAGAATCGAAGCGGAGTATCATCATGGCATCTCAAATTTGGAGTGGAAGTCACTCACGGCATTTTGGAACCGGAGCGGACGTTGATCACGGCATTGGAAAACCACAGTAGAGGATAATAACAGCGTCTTTCTGTGCAGGGCGATCTCGTTCTGGTCGTGGCCCACAAGTCGGTGTTGCGGGCGATGCTGTGCACTGCGCTTGGTATGGGCCCCGACAGGTAGGGATCACATACTGTAACATTTTCAGCATCTGATTACGAGTGCCAAGAAGGTATGTCACAGCACTTGCAGCACTTATTTGAGGAGCGCAAAACAAGAGAATCCAGCGCAAAGTCTGTTTTCCTTTGCCCAACCAATCTTATTCTGAATGCCGCATGGTTGTGTGAACATAAACGTATTTTTGCATCCTTCTTCTACATGCAGGTTCCGGGCTATTGACATCAACAATGGCGGCATATGTGTGTTCAGTATAAACACAAGTGGGCAACCAATGTTGAAAAGCTTAAATCTGACGTCCCATCTCCAAACCGAAGGTGTATACTATCAGCTGTAGCGCAGCGTACGTTTTGTGTGTTGAGTGTTTAGAGATTGCATAGAGGTTGCTTTGGTACATTCATACGGTTCCTATAATTCATCAGCCTATATTGTGGAAATACAGGCAGCAAGCAATAAGCCTGCGAGTCGAACAGGTAACTTTGGTTATGTCGTGTACAAAGATGCAGGTTAGTGACACGTCTAGTTGATTGACGCTTTTTGAGAGAAGTATTCTTCTCCAAGCCTTGGAAGAAATTTATCCTCAGGACTCATGGCCTCCTTGAATCGTCCTTTCATTAATTAAGTCGAAAGAACGACATTGAACACGTTTGCGTTCAGTTTCAATGAACGAAAGACGGACGCGAGGGCTGCGTCCATTACTCATCGAAAGTTGCGTTTGTAAGTTCGTTGAAGTATGCATGTCTTACATGTTGGTACACAATCTAGTGCATGTCGTTTCCACATGATTTGCATGCGGGCGCCTTGCAGCACAACCATGCATGCTCGCACATCGGCCCGCCCAGGCGCGATCTCCTGAGGGTGCACTTAGATCCATGCATGCATGCGTTTCTCGATGGCTGTCTCACATGCAATCCTTTGAAAGCGCTTGCAAAGACTTGAAATTGCATACGTATGGAACTGCACAACAACTGCCGCGCGCAGATGCGCAATCTACAGTCAGCCCACACACTGTCCAATGATGACTTTGGCAATCAAAAGGATTTGCATAACAGCTGCAGTGCATACTAATCGATAGTCCATCATGCCGCAGCATTGCGGCACAAATGCACCAAAGCCTTCAGGGAACTTCGAAGGACATCCAGGACATCATTGAAAGGATTCAGGGCTCATGTAAGGGTATCCAATTTGTGTTTCCTTATGTGGTGCGTCGCCTGCTGCGCCTGGAGGTTCAGAAACTTGCCCGAACTTGAAGCGGTCTTCTATGTGCGTGGTGCTTAGCCCGTACGAGCTCTCATGTGTGTCCTTCCAACCCACGAGCTTCTTACAATCATCGAGAACCACTTCTTCATGCAGTAACGGTCAACCTCAGCAAACATCAAGCGGACTGAACGCAGAAAGTAGCCGGCTGATGAGCAGGAAAGGCTCATCGCCGAAGCGAACCCCATTTTCGGCCCCCCTGCACATGTCAAGTCACAATCGAGATTAGCCCATCTGCCTCCACAGCACTTGGCAAAGCACGCCGCTCCGGCTCACTAGCGCTAGAATATCGTGCAGAGAAACACGTCAGGCTAAGACGAACTGGCTGTGGGCTTGATCAGCGAAGCTCTAATATCCAAGGACACCGTGCGCTTCACATTCAGGATATGACACAAGTCCAGAGGGGCATCGTGTGGTGGTATCTTAAATACAGGGGACTCGTCAACATCAGCAGACTGGATTCAAGGAAGGGTGTACGGGATCGGAGCACAAAAGCTGTCAAGCTCCAATTCGGGGAACTTCCATGTACGAAAAGCCGAGTGAGGGCGTCGGAAGAGGTTCTCTAACCTGAGACGCGCTCTCCGTCATTCTGCTGCTGCGCGCGCTCAGCCCCCCCCGCCCGCCGTCGTCCTCCTCTTCCTCGTCGTCATCTTCGACAAACGCGCGCCGCCCAGCTTTCGCCTTCTTGGCAGGCGGTGCCGCGGCCGCCCGCCCGCGGCCCTGCCCGCTGGACGGCCGCTTCCGGTTCCGTGACGGCTGGGGTTCCTGGCGGAACAGGAAGCCGACGGAACCGCTGAGATCGTTGCCGGGACGAGATGTGATGGCGACTCAACAGAACACTGAATCTTATCGTCTTTGCTAGTCTAGGATCCAGATGTCTCTCAAGATTCTGTGTGTTCCTCTGTACGGTTGGGGATCCTTAAATGACTCGGAACGGTGAATTGAGAATAGGTGAGCTCTGGCGAGTACACCTCCCGGTCACCAGGGCACAAACATTTCAGTATCTTGAGACGTTTACACGAAGACTTCCGCTCCGTTTAAGATCCAGTTTAGAAAGCCTCAAGAGCACCAATCACGCACGCCCAGACTCCACAGACTTCTGCAAATCTCGAAAACACGATAGACCGTGTGGATTCCAGGGCAGAATGAAGACTCTTTGACGCATGGTGCACCATCGAAGAAGACGCCTTTTCACTAAGAACATGCAACCACACGGAACCGCCTAAACAAAGAGCCGTCTCCGCAGAAAGCGCAACATGATATCAAGCTCAGAACCGGAAGAGCCGGATGCTCAATCTGAGGATGCTTACGTCATCCTCCTCCTCGTCCTCGTCGTCGAGCGCAGCGTCCGCCTCTAGTTCCTTCCGCAGCTCCTCGTCGTCGCTCTCCGACAGCTCGTCCTCTTCCAGGTCGGCGGCTTTGGCGCGCACGGCGGCCGACGCGGCCGCGGCCGCGGCTCTACATGGGTCGAAAGATCGTCGCTTTGAACCAATTTTCTCGCAAGTGGAATGTCCGGATGAAGAGGATTTGAGTGTGAGGGTATCGAAATGATCTGAAAGCCGACGGGCTCTTAGCAAGGGGAAAGAACCGCGGACGGAGAGACGGCCGCGGTCCCTACACGGTAAGAAGTGTTGCATTGTTCCACCTTACACTATCAGGGCCGTCAAGACTAGGGTTCGGAGTAATTTGAAGTTACTTGGTCCCTTGATACTAAAGTCAAGGGATCGCGGTCGATGGTCAACGAAACGAAATTGGAGAACAAGGCCCCACACGGAGCAAGCTGCACCGAAACGCTGATGCTGTTTTGGGTGCCAGTGGTTGAGGAATCATGAATCACGGTGCGTTTATATGATCAGTTGGATAATGGAGGTGGTTGGACCGTATGAGAGAACGTGAGGAAAGTGGTTCGATGAGATGGTCACGGTAAACCGCCTCTGCATAGCAGGAAAGGGAAGGAGAAAGGTGAAGGAGGGGTTGATCGCAGAAGGACGAAGAATGGGTTTTAGTATCTGATCTGTTCGACACGACATAGTTCCTCGCCACGCAAGTAAGCGATCATCCCAGCGGAACAGCAGGTAGCAGAAAGTGACCCCCCCTGGCTCCCCAAACAGCCCCACCGCATCATAACAATCGCTTATGCCGAGGTCCGCCTCGAGCATTCTCTTCCGCAACCAAAGCAAGTGTAGACTTGATGGAACCCTTTTAATCCCAAGCTGTGATCGGCCACGGCTCCAACTTTCGGTCTGTGGGTCTCCATCCAACCATTCTCCCTCCCACCCACGCAAACCCACCTCTGCGATGGCTTCCGACCGCTTGTTCCAGCCGCTTCCTTCCCCCGTCCCCGTCCCCGTCCCCTGGCGCCCCCGGTAGACGCCCCCCGACCGCCTCTGCCCCCCCGGCCCCGCCCAGTTCCCGTCGCTTGGAGAGACGCCACCAAATTCTCCTCGTCTTCGTCGTCTTCCATGTCGAGACTCGCGGGCCGTTGAGAAGCTGGCTGCTGCGATCGGGCGCCCATGCTTTCGAAAAGAGAAGTCTGCAGAGGATGGAAACAGAGTTGGAGATTATCTTGGAATGGAAGCTGACAATTTCCGTCGCCTGGAGAGATGCCACCAGGTGTTCCTCGTCTTCGTCGTCTTCCATGTCGAGACTGGCGGGCCGTTGAGAAGCTGGCTGCTGCGATCGAGCGCCTGCGCCGCCCATGCTTTCGAAAAGAGAGGTCTGCAGAAAATTAATGGAAATGGAATGAGTGGAAACGGATTGAAAAGGTCGCTGGGAGAGACGCCACCAAATTCCCCTCGTCACCGTTGTCTTCCATGTCGAGGCTAGCGGGCCGCTGCGATCGGGCGCCCATGCTTTCGAAAGGGAAGTCTGCAGAAATACAAAGAAAAGGTTGCTTGGAGAGACGCCACCCCATTGTCCTCGTCTCCGTCGTCTTCTATGTCGAGACTCGGCGCAGAGTTTTGGAACCTTCGCAAGAGACAATATACAAAACTCGACTGACAACATCCGCGCAATCTCCGGCACGTTCAGGGAGGGCCAGAGCCTAACGTCCAAAAAAGCGCCAAGAAATAACTTGCGAGGCTCAAAAGCTCCCACCCTTGCAACCGGTAAGAGAGCAAGCTTCAATCTAAGTTCTATCTTACGTATCAGGACGTGAGGCCTTCAGCGCTTGCCACGTGGCCTCACCTGGCGTGCCCTCCCTCGGCCTGTGGGCGTCGGAGTGGCTGCTGGCGTCTGCGGGGTTGCTTGGCTGCCAGAGGGGCCTGCTGACGTCACCCCGGTCCGGCCACTCGTCGCCGGGGCAGTCCCGTTGGTTGGCTGCTGGGCATCTCGTTCTGCGTCTTTCCTCTGAAAGGTCAAATTCAGGAAACGAACTCAGCGGCCAATCGAAGGAAGGACAATCCCCACGTTCCGCTGAGTGTGCCGTTTCTCATCCGGGATTGGAAGCCTTGGCAGGTCAACGTGACCGTAAGGAGATATACCAGATACTTTCTTTTTACAGATTTGTAAGTCTGGCTGCTGGGCATCTCGCTCTGCGTCTTTCCTCTGCGGGGTCAATTTCAGGATACAAACTCAGCAGCCAATCAAGAAGGGGACAATACCCAGGTTCCGGTGACTCTGATTTCCCGTTCTTCGCCGCAGGATCGAAAGCCTTTGCAGGTCAATGAGACCGTAAGGCAGTGTACCAAATACTATTTCTTTCACGCAGACTCTAAGCACCCTCGTTTAGCTCCGCAGGTCAGCGAGCATCACCTCACGAAGCAGGGCGAGAGAGGTCACAGGCACGGCGCTGACAACCAACAATTGACGCCAAGCTCGCGATTCCTCTCCATTCCTACATGCAGAACTTTTATCACTCCTTTGAATGATCGGCCATCGTTCCGGGTTCCTGAAGTCTAGGCATTGAGGCTTGAAGAGGGTGCGTGGAGGGCGAAATTGACGCGCCCTTACCTGCATGTGCTGGCTAATCTTTTCGGCCAGGTCCTTCTCCCCCTGGATACTTCGAGCCGTCCCCTCTTCGAACAACGTGGCCTGTATAGAGAGAAAGCTGAGAAGGCTGAAAAGGGAGGGGGAAGCACTCGTTGAGTGCACAAATCTGATACTGAAGCTACTGCTGCGGAACGTTCTAATTGATGCGGAAGCGACGTGACGAGCAGTGTGCTGTGTATTCCGACGAAAGGGTGCTGAAGTTTCCATTTGTCGGAACCGCTCCCAAAGCTGGACGATTCTCCACTTAGACTTCTGACGTAACTAGCAGGAAACAGCGTCAGCTGAGTGTAAACTGAGGCAAGCCCCACCTGCGTGTTTTCCAGAGTCCCCTTGACGCACGACTGGAACGCGTTCTTGTCGTCCTTGTTGACGAAGTAGTCCAGGGCGCGCCCCAGATCCGACGCATGGATGATCTCCATCTTCTGCAGCACGCGAGGGAGCCAAAAGATTCGTCTCCCAAAATCCGCTATGACTTGCTGGGCCAAAGAATGGGCTGCCAATAATGGGGACCGTAGGAGAGGGCTAGACTATCCCAAAGGGTTTCCGAGGGGGCTTACAAACAGATGGCGTCGGACGAACATAAAAGTTGGGCGAACAAAGGTATTAAAGAGGACAAAGGAAGAAACTCAGTAGAGAAGAAAGAGCAGAAGGTCTGCATGTGTGCTCAATACCGATTTATTTGATTCGTCGCACAAGTACATCAACCATCTTCGTCGAATGCCCGCTGCAGAAGGCGGAGAAACCGGGACAGGGCGGCAGGACTTTCCGCTCTTGGGTACGTCAGCACGGAGAATGGAAGGAGAGCACAAATGATGCGGAACTGGCGAGAAGCAGAAGGGGTTCAAAACAAACGCGGAATGACAGAACCGGGAGCGAAACGACGTGACAACTCACCAGATTACTCTCCGCCAGGAGTAGCTCGATGTTGCGCTGGTCGAGCGCTTCGGGCCGCAGCCGCTCCGACTCGTCAATGACGTCATTCCCTGCAAGCAGAGTTAGACTGGTTAATGCACTAGCGCCTGTCAACTCGGCTGACGTCGTCACAAACGCTCCGTGTAATTCAAGACCTTTCCTTCTGATGAGCTACTCAGAGCCTCCTTTTAAGTTGTTAATCCAAACACTGGAGGTGCGCGACACAAAAGCGAGGTCCTGACAATGTCTTTACCGCACCTTTGTAGAAGGAAATGGACAAGCTCCCAAACGGAGAAGCACAAATGAAAACGACCGCTGTTCTCGCCGCTTGAGAAAGTAGAAAAAGATGTGCACACCTTCCGCTCGTTCCCGTTTCTTCGTCGCTTTGGTGAAGAGCAAGATGTCGTGCGGGTTCGCAACCTGCGGCAGTCGACAAGAGTTAGTCGACCGAAGTCATATAGAATCAAACTTTCATAGGCATGTTTGCTGAGAGCGCTGACTTGCACACGGTGCTAAAGTTTCCGGCCGTAAGAAGTTATCGCCCTCTCACACGGAAGTTTTCCCGCTTCTTCCTCTTACAACCTTCGTATCGTGGCATCCAACGGGGGGATCCAAGTGGGCGATTCAACGGGACCACCGTAATTATTGTAGACCCCTGATACATTCGAAAAAACCAGTTGGCTCTGAATTTCAATTCAAGAGTCCCCAGAATGAACCCTAGTAAAGCACCGGAAACGAAAGTTCTGGTTGCAAAGGAGTTGGAAAAAAGGATGGGAATGTTCGTCTAAGCGCTCGCTGCACTGTTCACGCAACCAAGAGACGTAGGATGAGCAAAGAAGGATGCTGCGGATGTGCGGGCATATTAGATGAAATTGTGCAAGAAGACTTACCTTGCCAACGAACTTTTGCCCAAAGCGCTGTGGATTGACCGTTGAGAAACCCGTGTAGTCAACCTGCAAACATCCATGTTCATCGCATTTCAGAACGATGTCCAAAGGAATCAAATTAGGCATGAGGGCTCGGCTTCAGCATGATGAGTATTAAAGGCCGGAGCATTTGAGCTTGACTTGCTTAGCATGGCGTTCAAGTAGACGATGGCTCAGCTTCGGTTACCCTAAAACGGCTCTCCCTGAACCTTGCGAATGTATGTGCAGTATTTGCGACGCTTGGCCCCATGCAAAGCGAGTAGGTGAAGGTCTCCAGGCAGTTGGTGGGTGCACGCACCTTGTCATTCAACTTCATAGTAAAGGCTCCGCTATGCGAGGACGCTGCAGCGGATGACTGGATTGCCTACGATCTTTGCCGCAAGTCACACGCTCCACCTCATGTTTGCAGATGTGGCACGTTGAAACGGAGGGAACCAGGACGAAGCAGCGACAAGGAAAGAAGTACGTGTAAAAAATGGTGAGACGACTTACTCGTATCCGAATGAGGGGCAGCATCTGCTCCTGCCGGTATGCGTTCTCCTCTTTGGCGCGTTCAATCAACTCTTCTACCTGTCGGAAAAGGCATCAGGGTGTGTCGTTGCTAGACCTTGGCCATTTTGAAAATTTTATGAAGTTTCGTGATGGCGCTTCCCCCTAGAATTACTCAAAAGAGAGTGAGCAAGGTCAATACGATGTAGAATGGTCGCGCTTTTGCGACCTTGGCTGAAAGTACAGGCCTTTGATCAGAAGCTGCGAGAATTATCATGCGCGGGCCTCGCTTGACGTGGCAGATTCGTGGAGAGCAAGGCAAAGTCGACATGCAAAGCACGAGCAGGCCTACTCTTCATAGTCCGCTATTACACGCCGGCACGGTAGAGGATTCACGGCTTCGGAAGGCGTATCCAAGTCCTACATTCTCGCGGCTCTCAAGCGTCATACTTGTCACCCAAAAGATTGTCGCGGTTCACGATAACGACGACTTTGGGTGGCATACCTTGCTCGTCAGAAGGTCGAGGACTGCGTTCTGGTCTTCGGCGTTAATGTTCGCATCGCCAAGCGAAACCTGCAGAAGCCAATGCTTTCAATCGCTTCGTGTGCAATTCAATGCAACTTGCCGTGTCCTTTCACAGAAGGCAAAACTCCATGCAACTGAGGTAATGCCACCCATATCACGTCCCAGCGAAAAGTGCGGGGATTTCCATTTTCCCAGATTGACATGTTCCTTCAATCTGAAACCTTGATTGTCGGGTTCAAGCTTTTCATGAGACACAATTGTTTGCAAATCAAGATTTCTGCGAGCATGATACTTTTGAGAACTAAGAATTGGAAAAGCCTAGTTCCTGAGCTTTTGGCCAACAGATTGCTTATTTAGCGCTTTATTGAACTTATCCGTGCCAAATCGCTCAGTTTCAAAATAGAAGTGCTTATTGCGAATAAGAGAACTTGTGGCAGAAATCTGCATTGACTGCCTATCAAAAAAAGGTGAACAGAGTTCGTACGTCCGAATGCTCAAAGGGTCGAACGGACTCGAGGGGTATCTTCGTTGGACGCCACTGGGAACCCTGCGAAGCAGAAAGAACGGGTTGTGTCTTCAGCTCAACCAGCAGCTTGTATGCTGACAATCAGCAACCTCACGATGAGTGGGCGCTGCAGTCTGTCCAACTTCGCTAACACACAATCCCTTCACGCAACACAGAGTGATTTGAATTTGCACCAAATGTCACGACGCTCAAACTAAAGTTCCTGTCTCAAACGACCCTGATACTTGTCAAGGCTCAGCAAAATCTGTAGCTTCGCAACGCCAACAGCCATGACTAGCTAAGAAGCGACGAAAAGGAGGAAACGAATAATCAAAGGCTGCTATAGCCAACGACAGGTTCAACTTCGAGAAGTCCCACAAGAGGTTTCGTATCTTCCTCAGACTTCAGAAGTAGGTACCTGACCCAAATGCGACAACGACGATACGTAGAACGTCTCCTGCCCCCAGGTGATCAAGTTTCTTGACGAGAAACGTTTCTTCCACAACTGTTTACCCGGATGTCCATGAGCAGCACGTGCCCCTTCTTGGCCCCCTTCTTGGCGCCCTCGATCAGCGCCTTTAACAGTGACGTTCACTGAAAGCGGCTTCTATTCCCGCTGACTAGGTTTGTTTAACGACGAATATTCTCCGTGACATCTCTCAGCATCTCCATGAGCAGCACGTGCCTCTTCTTGGCCTCGCCCTCGATCAGCGCCTTTGACACTGACGCTCACTGAAAACGGCTCTTATTGCCGTCAACCAGCTTTAATCAAGGAAAAAATGCCCTTCCCGCAACAACTCACCCGTATCTCCATGAGCAGCACGTGCTTCTTCTTAGCCTCCCCCTCGATCAGCGACGTCGCGACTGACGACCCGGGCTGCGAGATCTGGAACTGCGCCCCGGCGACCTCTTCCGGTTCCACGCGGCACTCGTGCTCGTGACCCCAGACCACAAAGTCCAGGAATCGGGGCAGCAGGTGCTCGTCGATCGCAGACTTGGCGCTGTGCTGTGCTCTGCAAGAAGAGCGAGTCGACACTCTTTTTAAACGCTGTGCAGGCGTCAGCGCGTAGCACATGCACGGAGATGCAAGGGAGTGCGCGAGGCTCTGCAGAGTGTGTTGGGAACTTGGTTTGGAGAAGTTACAAAAGCCGGTCGGTCTGAGAGAGAGAGCAAGACGCTGCAAGGTATTTCGGGCAATGGGGTCCAATTTGAGACGGATCTATGGCGAAAAGTATTCATCGGTCCCTCAGTACTGCAGATTCTTTCTGAGATTGCCACCAACCCTCATCAAGGTTGACAGGATCTGAGTGGGTTCTGCAAGATCTCTTACATGTGCGAAGGACGTCACCGTTCTTGGATGAATGATGTCGGTGTTGAGCCCTTGTACGCGCCTTGCCCGAGGGCTCGAATCGCCCGAAACGAATTTCAAGCATGCACTCGGATCCACATTGTTCCGACTGGGAGCAAGATTGGGCAAGCGCGATGCCGCAAGGACAGCAGCGAGGCGCTCGACTGACGGAGTTGAAATTTGCATCGCGAAGCGCTGACCTGTTTTGATGGAGGACGAAGATGCTGAACCACTCTGCGATATCGACGTTGCTCGTGCTCTCCGGACGAATCCATTGGACGCAATGTGGAGTCTGCGAACGGTAAACAGTGGCGCGTTGGGTGACGCTTTCTTCATTTGCAATTTGATACGCATCCTGATACAACCCTCCAGGAGATTAAACGGCACGCTCAGGTTCAATACAAGTAAGGCCGCACCTAAAGTCGGAAGCTGAAAGTAAGAAGTCGAAAGTGGAAGGGTAGATCACAGAGACGGGGGAAAAGGATGGACAGAAGGGACGAGATTCCCACCTTGAACATTCTGTTGAGGCGCTCATCTCGAATATTGCCTAGGCCGTACAGCGCAAGCTTGGTGGAACCCTGCATTCCAGAGCGAAGAGGCTTTCAGAGATCACAACTTGAGCACCGCACGAGCACCATATTGAAGCTATCGCATATACCAGTCCTTCGTGCCTAATCCTGGGCATTACAACGTTCTCAGTCGATCAAATACCGATTGTCACAATTGCCTTTGCACTCACTGATCAACGGTGGGTACTGCCGAATGGAAGAGGAGAGTCTGCACAAACCTTTCATCCGTGTAATAAGGGCTCGCATGACATTACAAAAGGACCGTTCTTCAGAAGCGGCCAATCTTGGCGATTGTTCTGGGGCCCGACTCATCTTTCTCAGTAGGACTGGCCGCAGCTTGATCTGGCCCGTTCCAGAGCCATCCAGCGCCATCTTGCCAAAGTAGTTGACCAGATTGGAGGCAGACAGGATGTCAATGGCAGACAGATTGTCCTGAAAGCAAAGGGGACCGTCTCCGAACTGCTCAAGATCGATGAGTCGGATGAACGAGTTCAATGCCACCCCAAAGATTCAATTTGTACCGTGATGAAGAATCTTTTACGAAGAACTTCATGAACATAACGTCGACATGACAACGTGATTGGCAGCTCGCAATGAAGCCCAGATCAGCCCTGAAACATCTGGAAGGTGCTCGAGTCCAGGGGGATTCTCTGTAGGATGCTTGACGCTAGGAATCAAGAACACTCACCACTCCTGCTGGATCGTCGTGGTTGCCATGGATTGTAAAAACGGGAATGCCAACGTTGAAGTTTGGGTCCTCATAATTGACGTGACCAAACCTGTGAGGATGAAAAGTGAGTTAAGAGCTTGGTTTAGGTGGAAGTGAGAGGCAGCTTCTGCTGATAGAGGGGGTAGAAAGTCATGGAACGAAAAGCATTCTACAGTGTCTCGACATACAAGCAAAGCTTCAGATTCTTTCCAGATCACCAGCAAGAGCAGTCCAGACAAGGCGGACGGGGGTGGTACAAACTCATAGGGACTGTCTACGCACCCGCTTGCAAAGTTGACACTCTGGTCGCTCACAACCTGGAAACCAACGGGCTTGTCACCAAGGCAATACTTGCGAAGGATCTCGATGCAGCGAACCAGGGTCATCCGAGAGGGTTTGTTTTCGTGGAAGAGGTCACCTCCCAGGAGCACAAAGTCAACCTACAGGAGGAGGGAGAGTCGGGGTTGGCAAGGAATCTGAGGTCCTGTTTACAAGCCTAAAACGTCAATCTTCGAAGTTCCAGTATAGGCTTGGCAGTGGCCAGTTCGTCTAGCTGCTTCCAAAAAGGAGGAGTAAAGAAGCGAACGATGTTGCAATAGAAGTCATTGCCTCAGGAAGAATGCATGTAGGAACCACCTTTTTGGAACATAAGAGCAGAGAGTGATTGGGCATCCAATACGCTCTTTCTTCAAAGGTGTTTTTGAGGACTTTCTGGAGTTGCAACTGCTCAAGGTGCTTGTTAAGCTGACAATCACCTGACGCTGCTTTGCCTGCTTGAAGATCTCTTCAAATGCTACAAAGGAGTCGTCCCTTCGGATCTCATCCTTCTCCATGTAGCCAAGGTGGCAGTCTGTGGCCACCAGTACTCTGAATGTGTTTGCATCGTCGCTGCAGCAGAGATGTGAATATATGAGGCTTTTGAAGATTTTGCCCGGTGTCTTCACTTTTCATGTATGTGAAGAATAACAAGAACCAGTCTACGTCGCCAATTCCTGCTATTGATAGCAAAACACATGGAGTCTCTTGCACGGTGGAATTTACCAAGCCAGCAGGCTTTAGTGTGCAGCTTGCTCATATGCACTTTCTTCGCACTTTTTACACTTTCACACAATTTACACTTTCTTACGATATGCTGCAGCTTAATCGTATGCACACTGGCAATTGCATTTTAACAGTCAGTATAAACGTGCACAACAGCAGTGCTTCCACGTACAAGGTATCTCTGTGTGATGCTGAGACTCTCCAAAGTTGCAAAAGCTGCAGCAATTGCTGGTGGTGTTCTCATGCGTGGCTTCAACTAATGCCTGTGTCAATCAGTCCATTAGCAGTCCATTGACTTCTCCTACAAAATGAAACGGGGTTCACCATCTTACCTTTGACTTTGGTCCACCGGTTCTCCCATTTCTCAACTGGTGAGGTGCTATAGCCTATAGTCAGCTCCTTTCACTTACAGTACAACTATTCCTACACGCTTGAGCGAAACGCTTATGTCATCGCAGCACCTTGCGCCACCAGCATCAACGCCAAGACAACATCAGGACTGAAGGAAGGACGAATGCTCCGATCTCCTGGCACCAGCAAGCTGAGCGAGCATATCATTCATCAGGCTATCTGAGCGCCACAGCTTCGAACCTTTGAAGGCTGGTCGCGGTCGTCACCTAGTTCCAGGATATGGCGGGAGATTCGTAGCAGGGGCGAGAATTCTCTGCAATCTGATTGGCTCGACTTGCTCTGACTCAGACTCGGCCTGCCAATCGAAACGGTTTGAAATCGTTCTGAGCATTACCGGGCATGTTTACAAATCAGAGGCCCGAGGCTGAGCTCATGAATGCAACCGCTGACTCTGAGAAGCTGGAACTGGTTCAACTTCAAGTTCAAGCAAAGCAGTTCAATCAAGAAATAGGCTTGCGACTGCCCTCCGTTTTCGAAGCCAGGAAGGGCGCATCAGGGGCGCATTGTCATAATGGCGGACCAGGCTGCTGAAAACGAGAACGTTCAGGCTGCTGCAGATGTGGAAGGTGGATCTAACGTGGCAGCTGGAAAGCGCACGGCTGACGACAACGCCGAAGCGCCGGCGGCCAAGAAAGTTAGAGCAGATTCAGAGGCTGGGCCTGGAGAGGCAGGGAACGAAGAGACGGTAAAGGTCGAGGAGACTTTCGAAAATGCAGAGGAAGAGGCTGAAGATGGGGGAACTAGAGGTGGTGAACAAGTCCTGAAAGAGCCTGTGCGGTTGGGGCCAAAGGACTTCTACAGCCCCACAGTGACTTGTAACTACTTTCGGGACCTAATCAAGTTCTGGGCCCGCGATGTTGACATCAACGAGGTCAGTTTTCAGCATTGTGTTCCTGCGTCTTGAGTCTGTTGGTTTGGTGTGGGAATTGTCAGTCAACCTGAGGCAAGACCACACGTTGAAACAAGGGCAAATGCAAGAAGCTGAGTTACTTTGACCAATCTCATTACAATGCGAGCAAAGTCTTTGTACTGCATTGCAAATATGTCGATGTGGCTGGTGATTGGGACTACTGCTGAGGTATTGCTACTTATTGCTCTGTTTTCCTGTAAAAAGCTTGACCCATTGAAAAGTTCTGATGGTGGTGGTGGTGTACGGGATTCCCTAGGGATCGGCACTTCTGATGGCTTATTTGATGCCGCTTTGTTGTTATTGCACCTTAAGCACTTCATGAAGGGTATCTCGACATTCTTTTTGACACTCAGTATTGATTCTTGTTCTCAATTCTTGGACACAAGATGAAGAGCACTTCTACTCAGATGGTCCCCTCAGTTCAAGCGGAGATATCAACAATTGCGTCAGACGCCACGTTCTAACTTCAGTCTCTTAATACTCATTCCATTCATGCTTACTTTTTGTCCCAGTACGAGCACATGGTGTTGCTAGACCTGCTGAAGAAGGGGCACAGCGACCCTGACGTCAAGATCGGCTCTGGGGTGAAGGCTTTCCAAGTGCGCCAGCACCCCGAGTTCGGCAACCCCTGCTTTTTCATCATCCGGACGGACGGAAGCGCCGAGGACTTCAGCTATCGGAAGTGCATGGACAAGTTGCTGCCTCCCATTCCTGAGGCAGCTTTGTCGCACCGGTCGGAAAAGGAGAACGGGGGAGGAGGTCGAGGGGGGGGAGGACGGGGGGGCCACCGGGGGGGAGGTCGAGGAGGGTTTAGAGGGGGGCGAGGAGGAGGGGGCGGTGGCGGAGGAAGGGGGCGGGGACGAGGGAGGGGCAGAGGAGGGAGGGGTCGGTGGTGAAGTATGTAGGTTTTGCTGATTAGCGTCCGCTCTTTCACGAGTATTAAATAAGCAAAAGAATGTTTACGCAGGACCGGTTCTTAATCTGATAGCCTGTCTTCATTAGTTTGTACTCACCACTCGCGTGTGGCAGAGTATCTGCTTCGACGGGCGTACTTTGAGGAGGAGCAGTGAGGGATACCGTCATAGTCTGTGGGGAAGATTACGTGATGGAGGATGTTGTGTCCAAAGCTTGGAATGGCAAGGAAGACCGAAGGTAATGGTAGCCGGTCTGGTGTCGGTGCCTTCTCCTCTTTCGAACAGATGCATGTGTTCGAATGTTTAGTAGAATTCCGAGTTTGTGCGCCAAGTAAGTAGATCGGCCTGCCCTATGTTATTCATCACATGGTAGGGCCGTCGGTGAAGTACGGATTCGCCATCATGATCATGGAAGGTATGCACGGGCAGGGAATGTGGTCGGGCCGGTCTCGGAGGAGCCCATTGGACATCCATGCAACCGTCCAAACGACTAGGCTACAGGCACCATAATTTAACATGCATGCCGCAACCCGGCAGCTGCATGCCGCGTTTAATGCACCACATGGCTATTTCAGTGGTTCACTCTTCGATTGTATTGCTGATTATCATGCATGGATTGATGAATCAGCAATTTGCGGGTAGGATCTGATCAAGTCAATCCTCAATAAAGCCTTCCGCGGACGGTGGTCGTACATAGCACGATTTTTTTCGTTCAGCTCACTCTATATACGATGGATTTGGGCCACTGCTAGAGTCAGACCGTCCAGCTCTACAGCTCCATTTTCCCATATATTTAACTCTGAAACGTTGAGCTTGGCTAAAAGACAAAAGATCAAAAGGGCTTTGGCTAAATCATGTGCGCGCAGACAAATACTCACTTCGCGTGGATGCCCAACTTCAGCTCCGGGCCAGGACTCTTGCAACGAACTTCTAACGGCTCACTCATGATACATCGCGATCAATGCATCGGTCGATTATCCCCATCCGTGTCGATACCCGAACTGTGCAGGACGGTTCTTATCAAAGTCGGCCCCGTGATGTCATTGATTGTCATTTCATCTGCAACTCTTCAAGGATCGCGGTGTTCGTATCAATGCTGGCAGCTAGATCGACCCCTCTCTGGCCGTCGCCAGCATATCGACCAATGGCGGCTTCCCGGCCTCACCTATGATTGCTAGACTCTGTTTACATGAAGGTTCTACACATGTATACGCATGCGAATACTTATGAGCACACTCATGTTGGCATCATGCTGAACGGTCAAGTTTTTGGATTTGCAGGGTCACCAATTGTAGGGCAGTGCGGCTTGCGCATATCTCTCGCGGGTCAAGGCTATCTTCAACCGGAGCTCTCTGAGCTTCGCTTCGGACTGCACAGAAACGATTAAAGATAAAGGTTCAGAAGCTCGAAGTGACACCTTGATAGATGGACAGCTTCAGTTGCCAAAGTCGGCCGATGACAGCCCAATTCTAATGCAGTCGAATCTTCGACCGGCCATCTTGCGTACAGAATAGACCGTGGCTCGCTCAACCAAATAAAAACTACGTGGACTTGCAACGCTGGCCGACGACGTGGCTCCTTCAAGGCAGCCAAGCAACGCGATCGATTCAAACGTCAAGTATGTGCAAACGGAAGGTTTTTGGAAGTGATCTTCACGTGGAGTTCTTACTTCGTCTTCTCAAAAACTGGACCGGAGCAGGCAAGAGAAGCGGCTTGGCTCAACGTTGACAAAGGAGACTGAAGAGCTCAATTGCGGGCTTCTTTTAATCGCTTTCCTATCCTTTCCTTTTATTTGAAGCGGGCTGAGCATTCGAGATCGTGAAGGCCTACCTCAAGCACCGTTCTTTCCCGCTCTCGTAGTTCTCTGGTCTGCAGCCGTCTCAAAGTGGAGGATGTCTGCAAATCGGGAGCGGCAGATTCGTACGGGGCACTGGAGTATTACTTGAGCAGGACACACATTGAGCCGTCGATCCAGCTCGATCAGGTAAGGAAAAAATATTGGAAGAAGGAAGCCAGCTTTTCGTTGAAAAGAGAGGTCAGCTACCAACTGTATGCATGTTGAGTCGACTCGAAGGATCTTGCGGAGGTCCAATCGAGCTAGATACTGGGCATGTGGCTCTCCGAGCTTTGCCTGAAACGTTATAATTACAGATAAGCAACATAGAAATGGTAGTTTGGTTTCATTTAGAGGTGCATTAAGACGATTTATCCTACCAGTCCGAGATAAGACGAAGGACATGCACATCAGCCTTGGATTTCCCTCTTTGAAGAGGTCACACAGGGTCACAGCCTTTCTATGCGACAGTGATGTTTGATAGGCAATGGGAAGCATCTGCAACATCGATATTACGTCAGTTCAGAGACAAAGTGATGGCTTTTGGGTTTGCAGCGTCAACATCCAAAGCAGTATACAGGGATGTATGCGCGTATTATTCAAGGGTAGAGCCAACATAAATCGGAAACACAAAAGGCCACTTGAAGTGACCCCTCACCAAGTCACAGTAGCACTCTGCTTAGAGAAGGACTCTTGGGAACACCATTGTATCAATGCTTTGATTCTCACCGCAACGGCTTCTTTTAAAGTAGCCTTCAAGCTTTCGTCTGACCACTTCCGTGCCCCATTGTAGAAACGAATGACGTCACCCCGTTGACCACATACTTTAGCCATTGGCAGGTCAATATCCTCAGCTGGCAAAACCAGGGCTTCCACCTTCAGGGCCAGATTCCTCTCATCCTCTATCAGACGTTGAACGTTTTCAAGTTTGAGCTGCAGGGCTTCTTCGAGCCTCTCACACTCCTGAAGAACTGCCGTGTGTTCTGCATGACGCTTCTCCTCTGCAAGCAGTTGTTTCTGAAGCTGCTTTTGCAGCTGGTATGCCTCGCGTCGGCCCTCCTCAATACTTTGAAAGCAGCAATGCCTCCAAGAGGAGTGCATGTTTTGGGAGGCCTCAGAGAGAACGTTCTGAAAGCTCACTGTTCCGACAACGTACTGTTACAGAAAAACTGGAAGGACAATGGCTGTGATACAAGCGGTCACATGCCGGGTCGCATGTCTGCAGCTTCAAGCTCAATGGTCAACGATTGGAGCTCGGGGTCCGTGGTATCTAGTGGTCAATCTTCTGCCAAACCAAGGCGCCTTTTAACCTCTGATCTCGTTCTGATCTTTGGTTGCTTGATTTTCACCTTTTGAGGTTTCTAAGCTGCCTGGCAATCCGCCTCAAATAAGTACCCTGATCGTACAGCGCATGCGCACAATGCTACGCGCCAATCGCCTGCAACAGGGCGAAGCAAAGGCGCAGCTAGAACTTGAAGTTGAAGCAACTTCAAGCGCAGCTCAGGTGGTGTTGGCGAAACCCTAAAATCATCCGAGCAGTACTTGATTCATGCAAGGTCACAAAGAGAAGGTACGGAAGGTACGTATCGCAGATATCGATTCTTCGTCAGGAGCTGACTACATGGGGTGTCAAGAATCGGTAGAATACGGTTCCTGGTTTCTGTACGGGCGCCTCAGTGTCCGGGGCGCCCTGCCAGGTGTCATGCCCGTTCCTCGTCTGCATGCACAGGTCTGCCATCCTTCGTCTTCCTCCTTCCTCCCGGCCCTCCATCCAATTTCAATTTGCAGTTGCCAGCAATTCAAGAACGCCTCAATTTCCACCAACTTCAAGAGGGTCCTCCTCTGCGCCATTAATTAATCAGCGCTCTGATTTTTACCAGTGTGCGCTGTATAAGCGCAAGAAGCAGCAGATTGAGGAGCTCAACAAGCGCACACTTGTTGAGGCATTCACCGCCATCTCTTCTCTCCTCACTTCAATCAATCTGTCAAGTGTTGGAAGTACATGCGGGAGTTGTATTGCCACTATATTCTTAGTCACACGAGTTTAGCAGTCCCAACACTCCCGCTGATGAGCTCGGTGTGCTGAGATTTACCCTCAAAAAAGCAGAGAGAAAAAAGGGATCAAGCTGGCGAGCGCGACCCTGACCAGGGCTGCTGAGGGCCTGCGCGCTGGATTTCAGATCCTGAGAGAGCCTGCTCATACTAAAGTTCCTTCTGTTCGCTTGTTCGGCGTGGACGCAAAGCCTGCTGGCCACCGGACCAAGAAGATAACAGCTTACCAAAGAATGGCCAACGGATCCCCTGCGGAAGTTGCGTCCAAGTATGCGGCTGCCAAGGCAGCCAAAGTGGATCCTAAGAAGGCAAGACGAATCCTTGTAAATACTCGATGTGCGTCAAAGCAGAAATTATGGGCTGCCCAAAGGCCATCTGGATTGGTGTCGGTGAAGATGCAGGTTTGTGTGTTGCATCTGGGACCTGGCGTTCATTGTCAGCAATGCTCACCCACTCTGCCTGGCAAGTAGTAGATCACACGTATTATCGAGATTACTCATGATAAGCTTAAGTTATAGCAGTGGGACGGGTTGCGTTCCTAATGGTTTTTAGGGTGGGCATGGGTGCGGGGCAGGTGAATTCCCAGTATCAGGTTCTTCGATGTAGCTCCGTGCTCATACAATTTGAAATAGTCTAAAGAATCATGTGGAGTGTCATGGTGGTGGTGTAGTCTGCAAGCTTGACCCTCTAGAGTGCCGCAATAGGTCCGGTCCTGCTTGAGGTCATTCATCCTCCACTGTTGTGCATGATTGTTATGCATACATTATATCTGTGCTTGAGATGCCTGGAGGATTGTCACACTGGGGTGATTGTGCTCATACAGGTCGGTTTTGAGCGACCAGAGATGCATTCCATCCCGCTGGCCGGCACTGTCAAGTTCTACGAGCAGCACGTGTTCCTGACGGCGGGGGATGGAAAGAAGTGGCCTGCCAAAGTCGAGAAGTCAACCTCAACAGGGCTGCCTGCAAAACTTGCTGCAGCGGTCAGCCAGCATGCGGGGGCAAAGAAGGTACTCCCATCTGTTCCCACTTTCTTTGCAAGCTAAAAAGGTTTCCCCTATGTCAATAATCCGTTCTTGGGTTTTTGAAAAGTGTTGAACCGAAATGTTACGACCGCCCAAGCTCATCTGCAACCACCTAGCACCATCTAGCATCATCTAGAGCAACAGACAACACGAGTCCGTTATGGTCACAGTAGGGCCTCGTATCCGTAGCACATACTTCTACAGGTTCCAGAGCTGCACACGTTGATCCCATCTTTGTCTCCCTCTGCAGACAAACTTCATGCTCTGCGACTCCAGCGATGGTGCGGAAGGGGACGTGCTGGTGTTCCCCAACATGGTCAAGTACAGGTATGATTGCAAATCTGGGCGCCCTTCTTAGCGGCTGGAATGATGCTCTATTGCTGTTGCGGTCAATGCCGTGATTCATTACGCTTAAAGGTCTGGGCCTGTCAGGCCCCATCAAAGGAGATTCAGGCAGACTCATGGCGGCAAGAGAATCCCTAGGACCCCCTTGGGACATCACCCCATGGCATCAACGGCTAAGTCTTATAGTCTCCTTCAACGTGGACGGTGGATCCGGCATTGTATCGAAAGGGGCTCTTCAGGACTTTATCGGAATCTTCAGTCCATGTTCCCCATCATATGGTTCGGCACCTCCTGAGGCGCAGGTTCTGCTTTATCCGCGCCTCTTAATGCTTTCTGTGGCCTCCAATGCTCTGCTTCAGACCACCGACTAGCTTGTTCTTAGGACCTTCGACCGCTCGTCACTTGTCCATAATTTCAGCATACATAGCCATGCTTTATCCCAATTCGTCTTAGAGAGAGATTCCCTCGAGTCGCTGACATCATCCTGCTGCGCACCATTCAGGTTGCAGCCCTCCGACGACGTCGCCGCCTTTGTCAAGAGCGCCCTGAGTCTTGACGGAGAAATCACCACTCCCAGCGAGCCAATCACAGGCAGCCACGTGTTCATATGCACGCACAACAGCAGGGACGCCCGGTGTGGGTACTGCGGCCCGCTCCTAGTTGCAGCGTTCAAGGAAGCGGCCAAAGAGAAGGGCCTGGCGGAGTCCGTTCACATTCGGGGGTGTTCGCACACAGGGGGACATAAGTATGCGGGCAACGTGATCATTTACAGGGAGCGGGAGGGGAAGGTCGAGGGGGACTGGTGAGCCTCTATTGAGCTTGCACTTGAGTGCACCCTCGATCAGAAATGGTACTGGACCAGGGGAAGTGATCTGAGAAGACAGTTTTTAGACGATCAAAACCTGTCTGCCAATCGCTGCTTTCACTTCTAGCGCTTGCCACTGCTGCATATTCCCATACCTGGCGATCTGCGCACTGAATTGTGGTGTTGAGGCGTTAAAACGGTAGATGCTCCCAGAAAGCGACTCTTGTCAAGGGGAGTACGCCATCATTTAGATGGCGTGCACAAAGCAATTGGCAGAAACGCCTTCGCTCTTTGGAGAAGTTGACAGATCGGAAGGAGCTGCTCTTCTTGACATGCAGTTTGCCATGAAGTGCAGCGACAGTCACGCTTCTATTCTTCAAGCGGCGTACTCCCCGTGAGAGCGTTATTTCCGCCTCTCTGTCGCTTATGAGTACACAGCCGCTGTCATTCTCATATCTAAGCGCTTGTAGTTACTTGCTCTGATGAGACCGTTCACCAAGGCCTTAAGCTTTTCCTGTTAAAACGTTCTCAGCGGAACGATTGGCATTGAAACATACAAATGCAGTTGACGAGTGTGGATGACCGCCACACGTCGCTCCTCCTATAGCCACTGCGGGGCAGCTCGTCAGACGTGACAATTCACTCACTTTTCCGTCCACATCAGCTCTGTGCTTCCTCTCGCCAAACAGGCACGGCTGTGCGTCTCCTGCTTTCTGCGCCTTCGCCTTCGCTTTCAAGCAATTGCCTGATGACATCATCTCTCTTTTTCCCTTGCTCCCAGGTCCGATGCTGCGTCCCCTGCTGACGTCACCACTTGTTCTCCTTCGTTTCCCAGGTACGGCTACGTGTCCCCCGCTGACGTCACGATGCTCCTGGAGCAGCATATCCAGGGGGGCAAGATCGTGGAGACGCTGTGGCGCGGCCGCATGGTCCTCGCGGAGGTGCTCCTCGCAGAGTTCACGTCATTGCTTGCTGACATCACCACTCCTTCGGTTTACAGGTACGGATACGTGTCCCCGGCTGACGTCACCACCCTCCTGGAGCAGCACATCCAGGGGGGAAAGATTGTGGAGAAGCTGTGGCGTGGCCGCATGGGCCTCACGGAGGAACAGCAGAAGGCGGTGCTGAAACGGGTGGCCGCGAGCCGGGAGGCGGAGCCGAGCGGGACCGCCGGAGGGACGTGCGAGGGGTGCGACTGCGGCAAGGCGGAGGGCAAGGTGAGGGGGTGATCGAATTCGCTTTGGAATAATAAAGCACTCTTTTCGATCTGATCATCAGATTGGATTTGATTCCCAGACTGGGCAGCTTGGTGCAGGTTTTCGCATATGTATCGGGGTCAAATTGTTTTGCCGAACGTCAGCGAAGATTCTGATAAGCCGCCGGCGAACCATGCAGGCGAACTCGCGTTGGTTCGGGTGGCTGAAGCGTTGATCGGAGAAACTCGGGCCTGAGGTTGTGAGTCGGATCTGCTATACTTCGCTCACATCGCATAGAGCAACTTCGTGGCTTCTCATCAACGGTGTCCGAAAGGCTGGAAGGCTTGCCAGATTCGTAGATTTTTTGGCTATTCTCTTGCGGATGGGTTTGGCTGCTCAGGAGCATCATATTCTCTTTGATCGCGGATGCCGTAGCCAAGCGCCGATCATGAACTTGGTGGTCTCTTGCGGCGCGTTATTTATTATTATGCTTTGGGTGGATCTCGAAGCGCGGGTTGCAAGCCTCTTATGACGGAAGGCCTCTTGCAGGGCCAGTAAGTTCCGCAGGTGACAATAGCCAGTCTTTGTCTGTCGCCGTTTCTTGACCTGGAGGGCTGCAGTCCGATTGCGTGGTGCTGTTATCAGGTTGCAATTCAACCTACTTCGAGAAGTTTTTGACATCTCATCGAGAAAGTGACGATTGCATGCTCGTGCGGCCAGCTGTCGACTTGCGCAACTTTTTCTTCTCGACCACCAACCAATGGACATTGGAGCGGTAGTGGATCCAATAGGTTGCGGTCTCCCTATTTTTCCACAGATGGAAGCGACGCCGAATGGATTCCAGTACGTCCCCGCAAAGGCAAACCTTGCTGACCCATTTACAAGCGACTACGCTTCAACCACCATCGCTGGGGGCCCGGCTCTCATCAAGTCGGAGGGTGGAAGCCCCCCTCAGTCCGATGAAGGGGCAGCATCGTCCCAATGGATGCCGTCTTGGGTGCAGAAACTAGAGCGGAAAGATGTTGTCATGGGGGCGGCAGTGGTGGTCGCAGCGGGGGTATTGATTCTGTGGTTCAACTCGCAGCGGCGAGCGGCGTAAGTGGTAGAGTCGAGGATGATCATATGTGGACCTTAAAATTTCAATCCCCTAAATGGCACGCAATAACCGAAAACAAATAGCAAATGACAACAAACATTGATTATTCTGTTTTGAGTTCTTTGATTGTCATATTAAGTCATTGGAAAGGTCAATAGTCCTTGGCTGAACATCATTGGAAAACCTGCATTTTTGTCCATGACTTGCCTACCTCCCAAAGGTGCCGAAGTGGTGAAGGTGGCGGCCATTTGATCCAAAGCCTAGCGTCTGATCATATGCTAGCATGCGTACATCCCAACAACGTGCCGGCCACAATCTCCCACCTTATCCAGATTTCATGCACCATCATGATCAGATCATCATGCATGAGAAAGAATTATCATCGGTTGCAAACCACTGCAGCGGCGGCCACCGTTCTGGCCGGCAGGCCGGCCGCCCGCCGCTGGGCCGCCGCTACCGGATCCCTGACATGAGACTGTATCGGCGGCGCCCCCACCTCTAGTTGCACTGACATCAGCGTTCAGAAGTTTCCCCGGTTGCTTCTCATGGCTTCGCCGCGCGACCGGGGTAGCGCGTGACGCAGGCTGTCAGGTCTGCAATGCGGCCCGAGTCACTCTGTCAAAAGCGCCCTGCTGCTTCTCACTCACGAGTCACTGCACGACTCGTGCATGTTGAAATGGTCCATGGCAGCACTCCAGCTAGCACGTTCGAGCAGGTTCCTCAGGCTGGGTGCATGCCGGGCTGCATTCAGGGCCCGGGCCATTCAGGAATGGCAATTCCGTGATGGATTCGCCTGCCACTGTGGAAGATGAGTACGTATGTGGGACCCTGGAGCTGAGGAGAAGAAAGCTTTCGCATGCACGATGACCATGGCACCTCAACGTTGACCTGGTAGCTCATCAGGAAGGCAGAAGCCCGCGAACAGAGTCCCGAGAATAGATTGCTGAGGATCGTTGAATCGTTGGGAGGCCCTTGATCAGCTGCCGCGCTAATGTCATTGAAGCAGGCTTGCTGCCGCTTGCCTCAGAAGGGCACGTTGCTCAAGCTAGCGAATAGGCGTCCAGGCGAGCCGTTCGTTTTTGGGGGCCTCTATCGAGGCGTAGATCTAAATTGTACGGAGCAAAGGTCAATTGGGATTACAGCTCAATCAATCAAGAGGTCTGGGACTCTCGGAGGTTTGCAAAAGTTCGGGTCATTAGCAAGGCGCCACCATAGCACCGAAGGCCTGCGTGTAGCTCGGGCTTATTTGCACACAATGGCAGAAGAGAACGGCCAGGCGGGAGAGGGGCCTGCGGTGGCCGGTGAAAGTAAGCCCAAGCTGACGATAGATATCGTGTCTGACACGATGTGTCCCTGGTGCTTTGTGGGCAAGAAGAACCTGGAGAAAGCAATGGCGCTGAGCAAAGTGAGTTCCCTTATCAGGCCCCCTGGCGATGTGCGAGCAGGCACTTTTTCTTATGCAGCATCTTTCTGCCAGTGGTTGACGTGCGAAACGTGCTTCCGTTGATTAATCAGGGAAATCCAGATGCGTTGTTCCCTGTTGAAGTGGTGGAAGTTTGAAAAGGACGGCTCTTTCATTCCGAGTATGTTTTGGCTCAACTTTGCTGCTTGCAGTTGTTTTCACAGCTTTCATTCCAGCAGCCCCTTTCGAAAAACAATCTTAGCTCCTTTTTCCCGGCGCAATTGCGGCGACTACGCACTTTGCGGCGACTATGCACTTGGCAATGCGTGAGGACGTGGTGTTGAGCCGACGACTGCTCCTTATTGAGCCCCCCTGGCGGTCTGATGTGCGAGCAGGCACTTTTTCTTATCCAGCAGCTTTCTGACGGTGGTTGACATGCGAAACGTGCTTCCGCCAATTAATCAGCGAAATTCAGACGTGTGATCTCCTGTTGAAGTGGTGGAAGTTTGAAAAGGACGGCTCTTTCATTCCAAATATGTATTGGCGCAACTTTGCTGCTTGCAGTTGTTTTCACAGCTTTGTTTCCAGCAGCCCATTTGGAATAACAATCTTAGCTCCTTTTTCCCAGCGCATGAAGCAATTGCGGCGACAATGCACTTGGCAATGCGTGCGCACGTGGTGTTGAGCCGATGATTGCTCCGTAGACTCTGCTGTTGCTCCAAACAACTATAAGCAGCCTTCAGTCAGTGCCCCGCCCCGAATCAAAAGCAAGTGCAATCTACGAGTCTGAATGTAAGTCATGAAGTGGCTGTAGTGTCCAGCATCATGTGATGTGGGAAGGCCCTTTTATTAGACGATTGAGTCCTTCCAAGAGAGCCCTGGCGTTGAACCGATCCTAGAAAGCTCTGGCAACATGGGGCAGGCACAAGTGTTGTGGGGTGTTCTCGTTGACCCCCCCCCCCTGCTGCTTTATCTCTCCTTGAAAGAAGGCAGCCTGCTCTCTCTTAAGCCCCCTTCGTACCATTTTCCTTGTTTCGGCTGGCCCCCCCGGCCCCTAATTAGACTCTGCTAATGTGGCCGCCTTAGGCTATCTAGTGTCCTATCTGATGCCACTCAATGTTTGGCCTGCTTCTCTTCCTGTGCAAGTAAAATGCCTTTTTCGGCCCCCCCGACTTGTATTCCTTTTCTGCTGCCCCAATGACATCGCTTGTCATGCCTTGAGTGTGCCCCCCTCTCCATCCATCTTATCCTCTTCATTGCACACCCTGCAGCTTTCCCATTGTTTGGTGGGAGAGCCATGTCATCCGGTAGCTGCCTTGATATGTGTTCTGTTCCTCATTTGCCTTACTCACAGATACTCCTTTTCCATCATGGTCCCCTGGCTCCTTGTTCAGACCTTTCTTGCCTGAGCCCCTGTGCTTTTGGCAGCAAGCGACGGGGAGAGCTACATAGGCAGAAATTGAGCTCCTTTCGTTTTGCTCTTATGTGGCAGTTGTGGGGCTCTGGCAGCATGCACTTCGTGGGGGACCTTGCCTGATCAAATCCTGAGCTTGGGCATGATTTCTGAGGGACAGTCAGGTTACGTGCACGTCGCAGCAAGAGTTCGATGAGTTTGATGCAAAACGTTTCCACATGTTTTAGTCATGTCTTTCTTGGGGGACCATGCTTCCTGGACCTTTGAGATACAGGACCGTGCAGTAGTTTCCAATGAACAAATGCTAAGGAGCCAAGTTTTGGGGAACGAGATGCTCATATCAGTCTTTGCAAGTCATGCTTGGCTTTTATTTTGTTACTGACAAATGCGGAGGCATCCCATTCCGCAAATCCATCTCCTTTCTTCTGCTTTGATTCTAGCAGTCGTTTGAATCAGTCATAGAATCAGAGTGAATCAGCTCGACACTGTTCAAAGTCGGGGCATTCGGTTTGGTTAACATGCCTTTTTTTTTGCACAAAGCAGATTTAAACCCCGTCCAACCCCGTCGATGCTTCTTCGCTCTTGAACTGCTACACGCGCCCTTCGAACCTTCTTGTTTTCCTCAGGACAAGTACGACTTCGAAGTCATATGGCGGCCGTTCCAGCTGAACCCAGATGCCGCAAAGGAGGGCAAGAACAAGCGCAATTACTACCGGCAAAAGTTTGGCGAGGCCAAGACGAAGATGATCATTGAGCGGATGACGCAAGTAAGCTTGTTGAGATTTCCTAATGGAAGTCGAGGGATCAGAGTCGGGGACTTCGAACCTAGCTTGACGAGGCGCAGATGGTTGCGACTACTTACAGAGAGTCTGGCTTTGAAAGGAGTCTGCTGTGTGGAATGTTCAGTCCTTTCAGCAGAATGAGGCTGTTGGTAAAATGTCAGGAAGACTCTCGTTGCTGGATTGGTTCCCTCTGAAAGGGCCTTTTGGTGTTTCTCCAATACCAGCGTCCTCGCTGGCCAATGTATATGACTTGCAGATATTCAATGTTCGACATCTTGGTTTGACAGTGCTATGCTATGCGATGTTGTGTGGATACCCTACTGCAAGATTCAACAAAGAGATTACTAGTAACGAGGCTAATGGCAGCTTTCTGACAGTGCTCCAAATCCGCTGAGTTGCTTTTTTGAATGCTGCAGGTGTTCGACTCGCTGGGGTATGTCTACAACATGGATGGCTTAGTGTAAGTCTTGAATAACCAAACTCCCTATCTTGCTGCAGTCCTGCAAAGACAACTGCTTGCGCTACTTCTATGCTTGGAACGTGGCTTTGCAAAGCACCCAATCAGGATCTGCTGACTCTTCACCCGCTCACCCTGTCCTTTTACTTGATTGGGTGACTCTCTGTCCCTGTGAATCAAGGCCTAGCATTTTCCGCTCTTTTGCTCCGCTCTTTTTCTTCAATGATCAGTGGTTGTCAATCAAGGCCTGGCAGTCTTTAGCCTTTTCAAAGGTCGCCCGTTTTCTCGCAAGGCCTAGCAGTCCCTGAGCCTTTCTCCCATCTCTTGTTTCGGTATTGGTGGAGGCGAACGGCCCGCGACAACCGTCTTTTGGAAAACTGTTCATTTCTACTTACTTCGACATTACATTACGAAAGCAACGTTTGCAAGCAGAGCAGCCTTTCAAAAGGGCGTCCAAACCGCGTCTCTTTATCAATCTGCAGAGACGACTGGCTGAACAGCGACCGGCTACTGATCATTACTCCACATGTTCTCTAAGGCAAAGCCATGCGTTGCAGAAAGGTTTGTTGCAGCTATTCACAGCCTTGATACTCTTATCTATGCCGATTCTGCAGAGGCAATTCGCGGGACAGCCACCAGCTACCGATGATTATTCACGATAGCTTTCCTTGAAATGGGAATCCAGTCATCGGAAATAAGATCCTTGAAGTCACTGGAAACTTAAACACCCATCATTTTTGTGATTTTTGCAGAGGCAACTCGCTGGATAGTCACCGGCTTCTAGAGTTCGCCAAGGAGCAGGACAAGCAGAACGAGGTGTGCGAGGAGCTGTTCCTCAACTCTTTCGTGCGGGCCAAGTACAACGGAGACATGTGAGCGCTTTCGAAAACGCGTCTCGATTCGATCTGGGACTTCGGAGTTCGATTCTGGCTGGAGTCAAAGTTTGCAAGTTCTGGCTGCGAACAGAGAAGGAAAGCACCCACGAAGTACTGTAGACGCCCGCGGTTTAGAAATCGCTAAGGTTTTGAAGGAGAGGCTAAGTTTTGAAAGCTTCCACTCCGCAAGTCGGGTTGAAGTACCCTTGCGGGCATGCGGCAATTGTAGACCGGAACGTTGATTTTGAAAATATCTGCTAAGTCACTTTTTGGTGACAGTAAGGACGTAAAACCTTGCTGACTCGTCTTTTGATTCCGGTACGAATGGTTGTGGCTCCCGCAATGCATGTAGACACAGCATCGAGTCACTTGTTCCGACCTCGTTTTGGAGGCGCTCGCGCACATTGTTCGTCTCACGTGCTATGCGAGCAGAAGAGAGTCTCACGTCTCAGGAGCTCGGGACGTCTTGTGCTGCAAAAGTATATTTTAAAAATGGCTTCGCGAATCCAAAAGCGACAAAAGGAGCTTGGAAGAATCACTGCTGCGAAAAGAGCCTCAAAAGACGGATGAAAGGAATGAAGAACGATACGGAGGGCTGGGACCAAGAACAGCACATAGTTCTCAGGATTCCGTCCGCTGCAAAAAATACCGGCTGAAAAGGGAGTTTTCTTGGGCTAATTCCCGGCTTTGGTAGAGGCCACGAAGACCGGGGGCGTCACGGGGGCGCTAGGTTGCGGACAATCTTGAACATTTTCTGCTGCGAAAAGAAGATAGGAAAATGGGTAAACACAAAATCAAAAATCATCCCGAGAAAAGCGATTTGTTGGTGCTGGTGTCAGGGACAATCTGGTGGAGGCTGTGGATATAGCGGGCATCATGGGCGTGCTAGAATTGCGGACAATCTTGAACATCCTCTGCTGCAAATAGAAGTTTCGAAACCGGTTCAGCACAGAAGTCGAGATCGTTTTAGAGAAACATTATTCGTTTGTGCTGGTGTCAGGGACAATCTGGTGGAGGCCGCGGAAACAGCAGGCATCACGGGCGCGCGGGAGTTCCTGGAAGATCCGGACGCCGGCCTGTCGCAGGTTCGCGACGACCTCCGGACGTACGCACGGGGGGTCACCGGAGTTCCCCACTTCATCGTGAGTGCACTCTGCACTTTTCACTTTTAGGGGCGTCGTCCCGGTTTCATGTTTCGGAAGAGCAGCTTGGGTGCTTCTCGGGTTGTCTATTCTGGTCCTTTCATGCATCTGCGAGTGCGCGGGCGGTTATTTGGAGCTTCCACTTCATTGCGAGTGCACATTTGCGCTGTTAGGGTGGTCGACATTCCTGTTTGGGTCATTCAGCAGCTTGGCTGGTACTTTTGTGTGCTTGTCCTTTGCTGCGAGTTGCGGCAGTAGGTACGCTTGAGTGCCTTGCCTTTTCCATTTCTTTGTCTTGTTCGCTTCGCTGGTCGGTGCGACTAGATTGACGTCATTCTCCTGTCACGATTGCGTGACTTGCCTTTTACGGTGTCTCGTCGTTCGCTTCTATGGTCGGTGCGAGTCAGAGTGACGTCATTTTCCTTCCCGCCCTTGATCCGCTCGTCATATATCCTTCTGCTTTAGTCTAGTCAGTTATAGCGAGAACCAGTGACAAAGTACCGTTCCGCAGGACAACATATCTAGCTCATACCGGGTGCATTTTGCTGGTCTCTTATGGACACGCCCCGTTTCGAAGTTACGTCAGTTGATCTGTTGTCTAACGTCAGCAGAGAGCGCACTTCCCTTTTCGCTGCACCGTGCACTGCCTGCTGGAGTATCGTTGAAGTATTTGCATGCTTCCCCATTTCTTCGTGCTTCTCCTAGTCGGGGACCAATTCTAGCAGCCGCCATCTACGATCTCCGGGTGTATCACGCCAGCACGCCTCTCAGAAGCACTGCGACCATTAGTGCCGCCAGCGAGATCCTGCATCGCATGGAGATGTGTGAATAACTATGGCTGTAGGCGTTTCTGCAAGCTGCACACTGGACGTTCTGCTGTCTTTGGGGATACATACAGCGGAGGCATTGCACGCGCTCCATAGGTCAAATCTAGGATGATGCGCAAGGGCTGTTCTCGGTCGTTTTCGTTGGTAACGTGGACGAGGGTTGTGATTGAAGGGGTGTTGTAGAAAAGAAGAAGTGGCCTTACGGGAAGCATGATATGTCGTTGTCTTCTTTTTCTGCTCCTCCAACTGTTGTGACCGGAGAAGGTGACAATGCGTCACGGTCATCGAGGATGCACTCCTCTCGAGGACTAGTGGATTCTCGTTTCTGACAAGGGTTCTCTTGACCTGACATGGGTTGTCTCTTAAGCCTATGATCTGTTTGATTCTCGTTTCCAAGGTCAAGCACCTCGTGACCCGACAAAGCAGTTGCTCAAATGACGTCCTCTTTTTACGCAAGCAGCCTTGACGCCGTATTCTACGTTTCGCCTCCACAGATCAACGGGCAGGTCGAGCTGTCGGGAGCTCAACCGCCAACTGCTTTGCTGGAGGCCTTTGAGGACGCCTTGTCTGCAGTGGCTTGAGAGGAAATTTTCCCAAGTATAGCGGCATCAGCAGCAGTGTGTGACGCAGCGTGCCCACTAATCTCGTCTTAGAAGCGAAGATGTGGTATGGGTGCCACAAAAAGATCCATCGTTTGTGGGGCTCCCGGTAGCGACATCGAAAATGTAAACTTGATCTAAGCAAGCGCGAGCAAGAGAGAAAGCACAAGCCGGATACACGGGCATGTTTTGGAGGAGGGTATTATTTTCCTGAAAGTATAAGTGGCGGCCCTCTTGACCGTACAGAGGATGTAACAAGGGAGCTACTTCAAATCTTCCTGTTTCATATGAGAGGTAGTGACAAGCTTTCATGCATTCAAGGAATTGAAGATAGACTTTTAGGAATCGAAGTCCAACTTGGCAAGTGGCAACCGAGACATCAGGTATTGCAATTTGCACAAAAACGTTCATCATCAGCCATGCAGTATGGTGGAGTCTCATCCAAACAAAATGCATTACAATGAAGAGAGCTACCTAGCCACATGTTCTCGCACATGCTAGGCGCTCTTGGACAATTTCATGGCTTAGTATACCTATACCTATATGCAACACTCTAAAAAGATCCATCGGACATCCTTGACAGTCATGCAAGGCTGCTTGTGCTGATCACCAATTTTTGTCCCTCATGCCTTCAAGTTGTTTTGTGAAACTTGGAGTCCGATTATTACTTGCAGCGCGCGCGCGCGCGCCATGTTTTTCAGCGGGGATGCCCATTTTCTGCCAGCCTTCAAGGCAGCATCGTAGTGTTGATGCATCGGTGGGGTAGATTTATAATGCTGAGCAAAATCTGCCGCTACCTATCCTGGTCCTATCCTGCAGGACAGCATTGCAGTTCGCCCCACACCCCAATTTTGTCTGCGAAAATTAAAGCACAGTGCACACACACTGTTCAGCGGAGGGCGAAGGTGGCCCCATTGGAATTGGCATAAGGCTCTGCCTTGGGAAGAAAATTGTGTGCAGCTCAGCAGGCCTCGAAGCCCTCCTGTTTGAGCATGTTGCTGCAGGTAACGTAGATCCCCTTCACTACAAGCCAACCTTCTCAAATCCGAGAAGGTCAGAATGTAGAATGTTGCTGTTGGATTCCCAAGTATGCCACCAATTTAGAATGTGAGAAGTACTCTCCAAGGGGTCTGGCGCGCAGCTAGTCATTCTTGAGGAGCCGGATATTCATGATCCTACAGTCTGCTCTACAGCATTACTGTTGCTTCTCTGAATAGATTCTGAACATGGCTCCTCGAATCACAGAGACGATATACAAAAATTCAAAAATTGAGGAGCTCATCCAGTCTTTGAAGCTCGTGATGCTTCATGCAAAGGAGGCAAAAATACGCAAGCTGGGCTCTGACGAACAAGTGTACAAAACTCGAGCAAAAACCAAGGACAAGCCTGAATTGGTAAGTATGCGCACTCTGAGGCACATGTTCCTCAGTGCACAAAGAGCTGCGCAGCCTAATCAGCTGCTCTGCAGCATTGCCATGTCAATTGCTATGGTAGCTAGCTGCCACCTTTGAGCAGGCACACTCAGTCTGATAGAACAATTCATTCCGTTTGCTCAGTCTGAGGTGATACTATTGGACAGGCTGGCAGCGCAGGGGGATCATCTTGAGCCCTTCCTGACGATGGGCCCCATAGCTATACCAGCTGGCTTTGACAGATTTCCTGCAGTTCAATAAGGCCAAGATTTGGGTCATGGGGGAAGTCATAGGCAATCAGAACACATATACCCCTCCAGTATGCTTTCCAGTCGCCCCAGTCCTCTATAGGTTGACCTTGATGTCTAGCAGCTGTCCCCTGCCTCATTCAGCCAGCCTCCTTGCAGGTCCCCGACTATCACACAAGAGCCAACCCCAAGAAGCACGATGGCACCCCCGCCCACTTCCACGAGCGCATCCAGCTCTGGGGGCAACGGGGCATGCTAGCCGTTCTTGAAGAAGCGGGGCGCGAAATCGCAGAAGATGGCCCCCAAACCGTCCAAGCACTGGCCTTGGCTCTCAGGGAAGAGGTAGCGTCAGCCCGAGCCCTGGCACAGAACGACGTTGAACAGTACATCCAGTGGCTGGAGAGCTTGTTGCCCGCAGTGGCGCCGGCCAATGGAGGCGCAGAGGGGGGACAAGGACTGAATCCCCCATGTGAGGACGCGCCTGCATCATCTGCCCTGCCTACTGGTGCCCCGTCGCATGCACAAGGCAGCCCCTTGGGGCAGTGCCACAACAAGCAGGATGAGCGGCGGGTGTGCCTGCAGCCCCCGCAGGAGGCGTTCAGCCAGGGGGTGAAGAACTCCCAGACAAGCATGCCAAGCGGCCAACAAGAGGGGCCAGGCAGCTCGGCGGGGAGCGAACATTTGTCAAATTGGAGGCAGGCAACATGGGCCTTACATGCGTCTCGTATGATGAGAGGTGCGCTGGTCCAGAGGAGGAACAAGCCTGACGCTGTCAGTGGAGAGGTAAAGTGCCCTTGTGGCTTTGCGGCTTGATTGCGAGTTCAACTCTGTATGTGAGGTGCTCATGCCCTTGGATCTGAGCAGGATGATGGCACTACTGAAATTGAACGATTCGAGTTCGATCCTTCAGGGGGCTGATCACCGTTTGGTTGGACAGCTGTTTGTTGCCGTGAAATTCTCACACTAACTGTCCTTGTCCCTCTCACTTTGGTCTGTTGTTAGCAGAGCTTGTTTTGCTTGCACTTCTCCAAGCAAGACCCAGCTTTTGTATTTTATGTTCTTAGAAGCTCCAACTTCGTTCCTCCAGACCTCTGTCCCCTCCCAACAGCTGAGTGACATTGAGCACAGCGTGCAGGACGTGCTAAAGGACCTTCTGCAGCAGATCGAAGACGGAGATAGGATCTGGTCTTGGTTTAAGGACAAAGTGCTAGGGGGATGTGTGGAGCAGGAGAATCGTCGGAGCTGGAAGGAGGGGCTAGTGGATGAGATCGAGAGAGCCTTAGGCCTTGGCAGGTAAGGCGTTTGCTTTTGACGATCATCTTCATGTTTGGCTGAGGGTATCCGTCGTCGTATATGCTTTGGTGTCTCAATATCCAAATTGTTGGCTTTCAAAAGCGTAGAGAATCTGGTCGTTGGTCACCTTCTTTGTGTCTCTTGTTTTGTAACACCGGCGTGACTAGGTCACGCGCCCTAGGGGAGTAAGAGGTCCAATCTTGTAATGTTTCCAGGTCCTGGTCAAAACCGGGGTCTGTCATTTCCTCTTCAGTGCTGTTCCTTCACTTCGTTTCCGTATCAATGATCTCACTACAGGCCAGGAGCTTCACCGTTTGTGGATTTTCGGTGTCAGCTTCTGGCGCTGTCCGGTGTAGTCCCTCCTGTAGAATATCTGAGATACTGAGACTTCGCCTTACCTCGTCCAGCGTCAGCGAGCTCTGCAACTGCAGCCTCTGGGCTTCACTCACCGAGTTTCATCCTCGATGCAGTAGATTACTCGGAGCGGATTTGAGTTGATGCTCGGTGGACCGTCAGATTCTTTGGCTACTGTTTCTGTAGAAGCAAGTGGAAGTCGTCCTTTTACTTCTGTCGTCAAAGCTGTATCAAAGCCGGCCGCTGGCCATGCTGACCGGGATTCTTGAGGGTTCTCGTGGCTCGCTTTTGCAACGTGTGCCAGTCGAGATTCCTATGTTGAAAAGTCCCTAAAGAGGGGACGAACCTCCCTTTTCGGCAGTCAGGATAGAGCAACGGAAGCTAGGTTTGTCGATTTTGCATTTCATCTTGCACAGAAGCTTTCATGTGCAGGCTTGCTTTCTCACAAGGTATCCTCGTGGATTTGTTTCTCGCTTCTATTGGCAAGTGTTATGCTATTTGACTCGGTTCGGGGTTCTGCGATCGTCATATTCGCATGTTACAACTCTTCTGGATTCTGTGTTTGCCCTCCACTTTCGGTGGGGCCCTGCGTTCAAGTTGAGTTTTTGCATGCCATGCATTTTGCCTAATGCATACCAAGCACTATCCAATCTGCGTCCTGTGCTCTGCTGGGGCTGACTGCGATGCAGGTTTTTGCTAGCGATTCAATCAACAGTGTCTTCTTTGTCACACCATGTTGACTTCTGTATGCACCCCCCGCCTCGCCGTCTATCTTGTTCCAATCAAATGCGCAAGAAGCTTGCTTGCGCACTTGTGCCCCACCCGGCCAGCTCCAAAGTGAGCTTCTTTCTGCCATTGCCTGCACGGCCGAGCCCCATTCCTCCGTCCCCCTTGCAGGCCTTCCATCACGCCTAGCCACGCCCGGCGTCTCGGTTACGCTCTCCAATCCTTCAAGGCGGCCGGAGACACCACTTCCAACCTTGACACCTCCAGTCTCAGCCGCAGCCTCTCTGACGTCCCAGCGACTGGCTCGCACGTCGCCGAGGGCGTGACACGTGGCTCTGCTGACGTGGGCGAGGTCGTCACTCAGCCGGACGACGGCCTCAGGGCGCCCTGCGCCATGGACATCGACATACCGTCGCCTGGGACGCCTGCCAGTAGCGCAGCGGGCGCGTTCGAGCCGCAGAAAGGTGACCACATCTGTGCGATGCTGCAGTCGGCTGGTGAGGCTGTCGCCTCCCACGTGTTGGACTCCTTACTCAGAGCGAAGAGCCACTGATGTCCCCTGCTTCGCTCCAATCCCCGTCGGGGGCTGGAGTTTCATTCAGAAGATTGCGAATGTCAAGAGCAGCTGACTGGAGCCATGATGTCTATTGTGTGGCAGACCGCGAAATGAAGCGGCTGGGAAAGCCCGCCCCCTTTCTTTCCGTCGCAGTGACGGCGCAGCGCACGACCGGGACATCCGAGAAGGGCTTCAAGCTTTCGCCCGGGGAGGGGGGCCGGGCGGGCCGGAAGCCGCCCGTGACATATGTGCCACTCGAGTTGACGGGAAAAGTGACGGACGGCAAGCCCGCCCGGGCGCAGGTGGGCGCCCGCTAATTTTCGTGAACGTGGTAACTTTCCAATTAGTAAGCCCAATGATAGTAAGATCTTTTGGACCATAACGTTGAATAGTAAGGTTTTTGTTGGGTTTCACGAAAAGCCTAACCCAAAAGAGCTCCCGCATCCACCCTGACCACCTTAGCAACCCAACCCGTTCCAATTCCGTTCACTGGGCTTATCTGTACGAAACCGATTGGGATGTGAACGTGCTCTTGGAGCTTGGTACTCTGTCCTCATCATTCCGCCCGATCGAAAAGCTCTCAGGGTTTTTTCCAAACCTGTTGTGTTTCCTGCCGATTCTGGCCGCCTCGACAATTTCGACATGCAGGTCGTGTTTCGTGAACAAGTGTGCGGGCGAGTCGTTTGCTCTGTAGCCAAGTGAGCGAGGAAACTCTGCACCGATTTCGATCCTGTTTCCCGCGGCAGTCGTCTTCTTATCAAGGGTCCTTCCGTCTCTCCTGAGCAGGTGTACGGACGGACCTTGGTGCTGTCGCGGCCCCGCCCAGGCGAGGTTCTTGCCACGTGGGAGGTGTGCCCGCACCGCGGCGCATCGTTGGCCGGGCGTAACAAATGCGGCCTTGAGTCCAACCCCGGCGGATTTAGCCAGGAGAAGAACTGCCACCTCGAGCCAGTCAAGGTGAGGCAGATTTTGTACGTGGTTAAGACGTTGTCGTAGGCCTTTTCACCTATGAAGGGACGTCATAGAATCAAAGTGAAGTTTCCCGGGATAGTCACATGTCCTATGTGCGTTGAGTCAAAACGACGACGTTGATTACCGTGTGTACTGAAATCAAGCGGCAAATGTGTTTGTGGCGCATTCCCTTTCCCTCGTGCACGAACGCATTCCTGCTTTGCGTGGTGTGAGATGCCGCCCTTTTCCCTGTTCCAAAACGAGTACGCATACTAGTCCGTTGACTCTGCCCAGCTTTTGTACGCAGGTCTTGGAGGCCAACGGCATAATCTGGTTGGAGGAGGAGGTTTCGGTAACGGACGCGACAGATGTGGAAGTCCCAGAGCTGGCCTCCTGGCTGCGTCCTGTCAACGTGCCCCTGGGGGCCGAACCCGTGGCCCCCATCGCGAGTGCCACCCCCGCCAAGAAGGGCTCCTTGACTTTGTTACTGGAGCGCTCAAGGCAACCGGAGGGGGCGGGAGAGGAAGGCGTGGGAAACGGAACTGGAGCGATGGACGAGGATGACGAAGCGCTCACGTCAGGCGTCAGCAAGCGCGCCCGCGATCTGAGGGAGGGTTCGGCCGGCGAAGCAGGGACCAAGAGGCAGAGGCCGATGCAGACAAGCATGGGCTTTGGGTTTGACCCGGGCAGTCCCCTCGTGCAAGCGCTGGATGAGCGGAATATCCCATCCGGCGCCCTGGAGAGCCCCCTGCGAAGTCATGCAAGCCGGGCGGCCAGCTTCCAAGCGGCTGACGAGGACAGCGATCTTCACGAATTCCTCGAAAGCATGTCTGACCAGACGGGCAAATGGATCTCGGACGAGGAGGCAGTGCCGGTTCTTGCGATCCGCGCGCGGGAGCTGCTGAGTGTTCTCCAACGGGAGCGCATGCACGACAGTGTTGGGTACTGCAGGGCGACCCTCGCCGCAGAAAGGCTGCGCCCTGTAGTGGACTGCGTCTGCGACGTGTCCGCGGTCCTTTGGGGCGGCGAATGGGACCCGAAGAAATTGAGTTCAATGCTCGGTGCTCTTGTTGCAGCTCTGCCACTGCCCCATGAGGTGAGCTGAAGCATTGATCGAAATAAGAGTTTTTGTCAAAGAGAGGGTAGGGTCTCAAACTTGTGGTTTGTATTCAAGCCACCTAGACCTTCTTCGTGTCATTGGGGTAGGGTCTGAATCTGCTGCAGCCGTATGCTACTCTTTGTCTGTGCTACCTGTGGGGGCAAGAACACGCATCTGTGTCTATCTTGGATCTCAGTAGGGCTCTCACAGCGGGTCCACATCTAATTATCAGGTGCAGTCAGAACGTTTGCCAGATTAGTTAGAATTCTTTAGAGCTGCAATCAGGACAATCCGCAACCCTCTCGTCGAGCAGACTGCAATCGTTCTTGGAAGATGTAGATGCCTTGGGAGCTTTTCTTCTCACGACCAACCCGTAAGTCGTTCGTTTTTGTAGGGATTTTTTGAAACCCAGCTCTCCTCGAGAAAGTAGGAATCCCGGCACCGTGACCCCGGATCCAAATCAGGTTGGCCTTTCAAGTAACCTCTCGTTCTTTCAGGGCCTGGCGGACCTTGAGTCCGAGGAGCATTGGATCCAGGTAGCCAGAAGGCTACACGATCTCGTGGATCGCTTCAACGTACCCGAAAAGTTCTTGGAGGTAAGGAAGCAATTGCTTTTCGTGACTCCAAATCACATGGTCTGGCTCTCGGTACACTCACTGTGGTTGTTGCAAACCTCATTGGTCCAGCGGGCACATCGATCTGATTGCCGGTTGATAGTGTGCTGGTTAAGATTGATGAATCTCTGTAAACTTAATCTGGGCTGCTTGGCTTCTAACAGTGCCGATTCCACCCGCCGTTTCGGGCCACATAACATGAGGTTGCTGATCGAGCATCCAATCTGAAGTCAAGGCGGATGACGTCATCCCATCTCTCCCACAAGAAACCGGCCACGCTCCAAGCTGGGGATAATAGGCTCGTCGTCAGCCTGAGGGTTCTATGTCGCCACTTGTCCTGCATTCTAGACCACAGAGATCCGCGGGCCAACACTGGGGCGCAACTTTCCGTGACTGCTGAGGTCATTGCTTGCATATTGACGATCCCAGTTGACCCGTGTTCCGACGAGCAGGGCCCCATCACTCATCATGAACACCTGCCATCAAAGTCCTGACGTCACCTTCAAGAAACTCATCCTCTGCTACCACGTGTCCCTATTTGCAGGACCCGTTGGTCCAGGCCCGGCTGGCGGCCGCGCATCAGTCGCTCGCGCGCGCCTTGGAGCGCGCGGGCCGCACGGCCGAGGCCGCAGCCGAAGACGATAAGGCCGACGCGATTCACAACTGGGTGTGCATCTTCCCTGCGCCGGGCCACACCCTGGTGCAACCGGAGATCTGCTCCATTACGCGGCAGCCGATGAAGGATCCGGTCATCATTGAGTCGGGACACACGTTTGAGAGGGCCGCCATCGAGCGCTGGTGAGGCAGCGACGAGGTTCTTGCACTGTCAATGGGCCGGAGCAGACCTGATGCTGAAAGTTTAGGGCTTGTTTGTGCTTGTCGCCATCGAGAGAAGGACGCACTTGAAACTTTGTCACTGTTCTTACCTGAGCTCTCAAATTTCCATTCGCCGCCTGTTGTTGGGTGGCTTCACGCTCTTTCCGGGAACTGCTCGCACGACGATTTTCGAGTTCGAACGGGCAAGTCGTATCTGCCGACGCAGCCAACAGTTGGCAGAATTATGACGAAGTAACCAAACGGCCAGATTCTTGATTGCTCGTTGCACCAGGCGAGCTTGCTTCGCTCTCAAGCGCTTGCTTATACAAAACAACGACGCAACAACACAGACTGACCAGGCTCAGCGAATCCGGCTCACAGGTTCAAGAAGCACAACACCTGCCCGATCACGCGCGTGAAACTGAGGCGCCGCACAATGATCCCGAACAAGGCGGTCAAGCAGTACACCGACCTCTACAACGCCGCGACGGGCGGCTGGATCCCGACCCCCACGTGGTCCGATCCGGAACCCACTCCACCTGAGAGCAACATCAGAGATCCGCTCAAGTTTTCAAGTGCTGATATGGAGGCCGTGTTTGGGGTTCCGAAGGAGGTTTTGAAGGAGACGCAAACCTGGCTTGCGGATGACGGGGATGGGTCTCTTAACTTGGAGGCGTCGTTCAATGAGCTGACAGTGACGGACGGTGGGGCTGCGCCGACGGCGGGTCTGCGCGAGGAGTGGGTGGGAGGAGGGGAGCCGATTTTGCCTGGCTTGGAGGTGGAAGTTGGGTCTTGAGTAGACGTGTCTTGTTCGTGAGATTTCGTCGACTGAGAGGGCGAAGAGTAGCATCGTGGCCCGTGTCTTACAAGAAGCCGCTCCGTTCTGGCGTTCTCATGGTTATTGTGCTATGGCGCTACCAGCATACTGAGCGTGGTTTAAGAGGAGCACGGCTTTGAACCTGTACAGTCTGCTTTGAGTTATGTCGGTATGTGCTTGAGGAACAACACTGTACATTAGGGCACTGCACAGATCCAAGAAAGCTTCAATGTGAATAGTATGTCCACCAATCTAGTGTACATAAGGTAAAGTATTGAACAGAATCGGACGGTACTCATGAGGACGATTGTTGGGGTTTTTCGATGTTATTGCCTTTGGCGCTCCCTAGCACTAGCCGCCCATATCGGATATGATCTAATCTTTGCAATGTCAGTGTCATGCAGTGTCGCTAGACCTATCTCGGCGTTTCAGCTGTCTTTCGTAACCGCAGAGTTTGCATGATCCGACTTGACTAGCTCACTAGCAGTAAGGCTTATATACAACAGCTCGGTTAGCACGTGATTGTTATTATATGCCTCAGGCTCGTCTTCGGCGCATGATCTCACTTTGTTCTTGTTAATCTTCCTGTATTCACTAGTGGCTCAAGGAGGTACGTTTGTATTTACCCGAATTAGGTATCGGAAAACGTTGCGCTCTTGCAACAATCAAATTTGTTGACGCCTGAATCTTGATCGAAGCCCTCGATCAAGAGTCAGTTGTCGATCACGAGATGGAATTGCCAAACTTTAAAAGTCACAGTATATTCGCAGCAAGCTAGCTCTTACGTACCCGGATGGCATGAGGATCTTATACAAAGTATGACAGCAATTACGCAGAATCCGATCAGTAATCATCATGTGTTCATCTGAAGTGTTTTAATTTGATTGGAGTTTGAACCCGCGAGATTAGGCTCTTAGGGTCTTAAAGGTCCTTAGCTCTACATGCCTCTCAAGTTTGGGCCGCTCGGTAGGGGGCTCTTCCATTCCCCAAAGCCCGGCCCGGTTTCGCCCCGTATGGTCCCGTGGGGCCGCCTTCGGCGACCCTGACCCCTCAATTTCACTGCAAACAACGCCCCGACCTGTACAACAACTTTTGGAAGGGAATCAGGGAAAGGAGAGAGGATGCATACGTACAGATAGATGCTACATCAGAAGGCCATCATTTGGAGGGTCTATTTATTTACTTACTGGTACCTGTTGCCCACCCGGTACCGCCATGTCATGCTGCTCAGATGCCAGCAAAGCAAAGTACGGTGCTGCAAAGTCAGCTGTGACTTTCTTAGTTTCTTCGTGCGAGGCGCAGCCGGGGCCCCACTGCCCAGTGTTTGACTGTTGACAAGAGCCGTCACACCAGGCAAACGTCAGCCGACGGAATTGCCACCCGGCCGACTCAACCGAGGGGCGTCGGCCGAAAAGCCGACGCAGACGGTAGAATCGATTATATTTCAGCTAGGGGTTTGGCTGACACAAGCCGACCGGTTCAGAGCTGGTCTAGCCGACTGACCGGAGAACAGTCGGCTCCAAGCCGACAAAATAAAAACCTCGCGTCGAACGCTGAGCCGGGCCCGGCTGCCGCAAGCCGATATCAGGCTCAAACGGCAAAACTGTACGGCTTCCTTTCAAATGTCGCCATCCGTGAATCCGTCGTGTGCACACTGAGTGCCGGCGACTGCGGAAGACAGATGGCGGCGGCGAAGTTGCGAACCCGTTTGCCGAACTTGAGATGAGTCGAGAACAGACTGCACCGCGAGCCTTCACGACAGTGACATCATATTCTGACAATATAAGCAGGTACGGTATGTACCCGACGTCCGCTGCCCGCACTGGCAGCCACGGTCCACCTTGAGTCTGATGGTGGAGCGTGAGCCTGCCGTATTAGGTACTAACTAGGCGCCTAGACTCGGGCTAGACTCTAGGATCATCCAACGGATTCGGACGTCTCTGGTGTCTGCTGTCGACTGGGCCCGCATTGCTTCTTGCTGCCTGATATCCGGCCTGATATCGGATATGATTCAGTGCCTGGGCAAGATTAGTTTGCAGCCCTCGACTGCTCGACAGCGTTTCTGTTTTTCAAGGACTTCGTGTGGCCGTCTTTCACAAGGTTCAGGACAGAAGGTACTTGTGAAGGCGCACAGGAAAGCCGCCACAGCGGCTCAACAAAGTTGCCTGACTCCGCGCATGCCAAGAAGCTCACCTTTAGCAGCCAACATCCCCCAAGTCCAAGATGGGAGCTTCTCTGCGGAGCTCCTTCGTCCTCTTCCTGACGGTCGCGTTGCTTGCGGCTTCGGGCCCAGCCCCTGCACTGCGTCCTCACGGCACCTTGAGTCCTTCAACGGCCCTGAGGAGAACGACCTCTCCTTCAGCAACATCAGTCGGCTGATCCCCAACGTGACCAATCTCTTCAACGAGTGCTTGCAGGCGCCCGTCAACATCACCGAGTGGCAAAATGAGGTGGGTGACTATATCACGTCCTTTTACCAGAAGCTGCGCAATGCCACGCTCCTTCCGGGGGGCGGTAACGTAACGGTTGTGCGTCTGGCAAATGGGAGCTTGTCTATCGTCAATGGGAATGTCACCGTCTCCCCCACGGGCCAACTTATCATCAACGGGGGCCTGACCACCATGGGGTCCTTCAACGGGACGCTCAGTCTCAACCAAACCCGGCTGCCCAACATAACCAGCGTCGCTACGTCAATCCTTCAGAAAGTTGCAAATCTCACAGGGAGCAACAGCACGCTGGGGTCGTTGATTGGTGGCATTCTGGGGGGGGATCCCCCTGTTCCGGATTTAAACGCCACAGGTGTTGACTTGCCATCCATTGTCTTCAGCCCCAGTCTATTGAGCAACACGACCCAGCTTTTGAGCTACAGCCCCGTGACTCCGGATGCCATCATGCTGCAATACTTCCAAAATCTCACAGCAGCGGCACTGGCCGCGATTGCCCCCGGCACCCCGGCAAGAGCAGGTATGAGGAATTGAAGGATTTGGCTTTTGTCTTCTCCTGGTGGCTCTTGTGTTCTACAGTTGGAAGAGAAGGTTGCCGGCATCTTTGATCTCTTGTTGGGTTAAAGTCTGAAGCTCAAACGATTCCTGTCTCAACTTCTGTAATGTAAGAAACTGTTTTCAACTCGGTGAAGTTCGCAGAACCACTCTTGGCCCACTTGCTGCTGGTTTTGACGATTTGACAAAGCCTATCGTGTAAGTGTTCTTGTCACATCACGTCTTGCAGGGGGAGTGCTTTGGATCATCAGATTCTACAAATAACCCGCTTTTAACTTTGCTCCAAAAGTGGGGACCCTCTTTTTGGGGCCCTTCTTATGATCACCTGGCTTGTGCTCAATCAAATCTCTTTCAGCGTGGTTTGATTTCTGTCAGGATACAGTGCCTGTCAAGTTGCAGCCTTTGTCTGGCTTTTGGGTATTTTCGATTGCCGCTCTCCCCTTTGATCAGCGTTGTGGCTTGCTGGCTGTACATTCGTTTGGGCCAGATCATTTAGCAATGGTTTTCGCGTCTCGGGACACTGCTTTTGCCATAGGAAAAGCAGCGCCACTTTGGAATGTCCCTTGCCAGCATGACGACATGTCTCTATGGTGTGGCTTGGCGCACTGTGCATTTGGCAGTGGTACTAGTTTCCGGACCCTTTTTCTGAGGACCGGCTAGATGAGTGTGCTCAGAGGGAAACTCTCTGGCTTGCATTTCCTAAGCATGCATCTGAAGCGCACAGATGTTGAGAGGGCAGCGCGCCTGGCAGAGGGGGAGTTCCCTGGCTCAGTATAGCAGTAATAGGAAGCAATTCTCTGTGGATAGGGCGGTCTGAGAACTTGCCAAGGTGTCAGAAAAGGGAAAGCTCAATTTCCCTTGGAGCCTTCCCTTTCTGGACCTGACATTGCCCCCCTCTATCCGAGGCTAAGAAGTTGAAAGTTGCTTTTCAAAGAAGTTTATCCTTCTTTTGATTCTGGTCCCTCTTGTCATTTGACGAGAAGGCGAAACTCTCTGTATACCGATTACCTTTTGGCTCATCAGCGTTTCTGTTTACTTCCGCAGAAAGCGGCCCCCTCAACCTGAACCGCACCCCAGCCCCTCCCGAGGCCGCATCCACCACATCCCGGGAACTGCATGGCGGCTTGGCCCCGGGTAGTCCAGACATTAAGGTCTACTTCTTCGTGATTGTGGCAGTATCGACCGACAGAGCCGTCACGTACGAGATACTCGCCAACCAGATTGCGAAGATGAATGAGCACTTTGGAGCCTTGGGTCCTTTCTCGCGTTTTGTCCTTGCGGCGGCAGTCAGGATCACGAACCCAGATTGGGTCGACAGGGACCCGGACACAGATCAGAAAGTGCTCGAGCAAATGCAATCCCAGACCAGGATAGGAGGCCCTCAGGTAAACAACAGATTTCAGCTTGCAAAAGGTCCTCTGAAGCTTGTTTTCGCTGTTCCCTTCTGTTGTTTAGCTAGGTATATATGCTGCTTGCACGTCATGCTGAGTCCCTTTCTCTTCTGTAACAATCAAGAGATCCGGTACGGATGTGATGCTTGCATTATGCTCGTTCACTCGTCTGTCATGCGTGCTATTTTGTCGTCCTGTGTCATAAAATTTTAGCGAATGATGATCGTAGATGAGAACAGCATCAGAAGGCTCTCACGCCTCTGGACGCGTCCGGCTATTCCCAAGGAGAGATCAACGATGTGTCATTCACCGCATTCAGGTTGTTGGGCACTTTCCAGATCCCCATTGCAAATCCTGGTTCGATTCTCTGCATCCCTCAACCTCGTTTCCTCGGCCTGTGCAGGAGCTGAATGTGTGGATCACCACCTTCTCTGTGTGTAACGACTGGAACGGTTATGCCCAATCACCATGGTATTACCAGAAATACCCCAAGTCGGACGGCATTGTGCTGAGTAAGTACACGCTGCCCATGGAATCGACGCACCCCAACTACCGGAAGTATCGCAGCCTGGGCATCACGGCCACGCACGAGACGGGACACTGGCCTCTTCCACACCTTCGCTGTGAGCAGCGCACAAGCACAGGGACGAAATGGACTCGATCCTCGCTTCTTAGTACTACAAGAGACCGGTCCTTACCTTCCAAGTCTAAACTCAAACGAGTTGCCAGAGTTCGTCCTCCCTTTGACCTCCTTGATTGAGCGATGGTGGCAAGCTCTTATTGCGGAACCAATGCCTGCGCAAAGATGGTCCCGATGCAAACTTTCGGATTTGGTTGCGCCGTGACGCGTGAGCTCGGTTCAAAACCCCAGCATTTTGTCGGACAAGGCGCTGCTTCACGTCCGACAAAGCATTGGCAATCCTTCTGACTCTGTGGAGTATCGCCTGCACTTCGGGTGCGAGGGTATTTCACATGGTGACATGATTGACGACACCCCGCCGGAGGGGACCCCCACCGACGGCAACCACTGGTGCCTCGAACCAAAGTACTCGTGCGCGGCAAAGAACGGGGCACCCCCACTGGCAGACCCGATTGAGAATTTCATGGACTACGGGCTGTGCAGGCGCACGTTCACGGCCGGCCAGATCACCGCGATGAAGGAGAATTGGCCGTATTACCGGTACTACCGCAATTAAGCGGGTGGTTGAAGCGGGTTGGCAAACTTTTATCTGTGAGTTGGTCATCCAAAATTGAATCGTAAGGTGGAATCACCAGCTGCGTTGTTTCTAGAGCAACGAGGTTGAAGGTGACGCACGCGATGAGGGCCACGTACAAGGACTGCCCTGGTCAGAGTCGGAATCGTCCTGATCTAGGCCCTCTCGGGTCCCACCCGACTTTGACCCCCTACTAACTCCATCTAGCTGTCTTGCAGTTCCAACCCCGGCCATGGCAATGGGCTATGCCCGCGTGGCGGCCAGGGCCGGTACGAAGCCCCCTTCCGCTATGTGCTCCTTGGGTATATCCTTAGGAAGAAAATGTTTTGTGTCCTACCCCCTGATCTTGGTGAGTTGTGGGCTTTCGGCTGGCGTCTATGGTTGGAGAGGTCCACACTCCTCAACCTTTAGTCCCCGGGCATATGACCTCCTTAGTGCCTCAAAGGCAATACAAAAAGTCCAACTTGATATGGGTCAAGTCTGGACCATTTCGTGACCTGAAACGTTTCGTACGGGCCAAGGGTTTTACAAGGATTTAAATTCGTACTTCCAACAGGCTCAACTAGTATTAGAGAACTGGTTATTTTATGAACTTTTTTTTTTTAAAATGACAGCTCTGGTAAAAAGCTACCGGTACACAACATTCGATCACTATTCAGGTACGTACACAACGGCACATGATGACATGGCTTGATATGCAGTAATTCATGATGCCTGATCGGAACGCCACTTGACTTGTGATCCATACAGATCCAATGCATATACCTGCTTGCATGGCGGCGCATGCTTCGTAATTATAAGGGGCTTGACCAATTGTGTGCACGCGTTGTTGCAAGATGTCTAGCTTGACGTCCTACCAAGCTACCTATACGTGTGTGCAAGCCTACCTCACTGAAGCTCACAGCAATCATGCAATCATTGAAAGTACTACACTATGTTATGGATCGATCAGAAGTTGGTGCCTAATGCTGGCATCTAATTGTGCAAGGCCTGCACCAATGTTTAACGTCGATCAATCTATAACCAGCTAGAAGTGGAGCTCAACTATACAATCCAACCGAGTCAACTCAGTCAGAAGGCAACCTACTATGAGATGACCTCGAAGACGGATGCCGGGTTTGCCCAACCCCTTTTGGGCGCATACCCGACTTTGTTCTGCTTCTCTTTCCTATCCACTAATGGCGCTTTGACAGCTGTCTGCGGCGGTAATTTTAACCGCTGGCTTTGCCGCTCTAAGGGGAGCCGTCCCGCTGGATTGCCCAACTTTCTTTCGTAAGCGAACGGTTTTCTTGAAGGGTATGGTCTTTCGCTCGCATTCCTGACTAGCAATTTGTCGACCGAGCGCGTGCGCTGCGCTGCTTGCACAGATGCACCACTTCGGCCACTACCAACGTTCGCCGCCTTTATTGAAACTAAGCGTCCTCTGACCGGTTCGTTATCGCTCTGCTCCAGACAGGTCGCTAAGTCGGTCCATGTCAGCGAAGACCCCCAGGGGATCCCCCTCGCGTGCCCGGGGTCACCTCCCCAAGAGCTGTTTCCCGTTGCCGCTGCTTCCCCGGGAGCATTTCCCGACGGCTCGACGCCTTCCGTCAGATCTCCGTCCGCCCACCGCACTGAAGACCGGCCTCCCTTGCTGACTTCCGCTCTTTCAATCACAAGATCGTTTCCTGATTCCGGCCCCTTCTGCTCCGTTCCTAAGGCCGGAAACCCCTTGCTTCCGCTCCTGAGGGCAGCCAGCTCCGCCCGCGCTTCTGCAATCTCTCGTTGGAGAAGCTCAGACGGGACAAGCACTGGACCATTCCGTTCCGGTTCCCTGAAAACGCTCCGCGCTCCCTCACCCTCGGTCCGAGCTTCACCCACCTTTGTAGCGAAAACCTGCCCGCCACTCGCCTTGTCAATCAATCCGCTGGTGACAAGCTGCTGCCGTACGTGGGCGGAACCGGAACCGGAACCGGAGCCGAAACCGAGAGCTGCCGCTCCTGACCTCAGCGCGAGCAGCTCGCGCGTCAGCTGCGCGACGCTCTCTTGCAGGGCGACCACATCAGCAGCCGTCCCCGCTGACGTCACCTGCTCACGCAACTTTGACAGCCCTCCGTCAGGATGCGCATCCCTTTCTGTCAACGCCACTGGGCTGCCGAAGCCCCCGGAAAACCCCTCGGCCGGTTCGCTTAACCGGCCGGGGTTAACCCCTGCCCTGACCCCGCCCACCACACCCGCTGCTAGGTAAGCAAATGGTGCATCGACTCGCTGCCGTCCCACAGCACCAACTTCTGCTCGCTGCAGGTTGTCGACTTCGGCTCTCAGCGCAGCCACGCTTTCCTTCATTTGCTGAAGTACACCCAGCGTCACGGCGTCGGTTTGCGCTGCCCTTTGCCCACTTTGGTTCTCACTCTTCTTGCGTTCGCGGAAAAACTTTCTCCGGTCCCCTGTCTCGACCCGCGACCGGCCGGTTTCTGGGGCGGCCAAGCTCTGCGCTACAGCCTTAAGCTGAAGGAACTACAAGCAGTCCGGCATTCGTTCTCGGTTCTGGTTCCGTTTCCTCCCGTTCCGGTCTGCTCGAGCTTTCCCTTGCGTCACTAACGGCCGTGACCTCCCGTCGCAGCGCCAAAAGCTCGTTTCGAAGCGTCGCCAACTCTTCCATCGACCCAACCGTATTTAAATTGCGGCCGTCAGCAAATCCGCTCTGCGCGAACTCCGGCCCCGGAACTCTTCGTACTTCCCGGCATCGAGACTTCCCCTCGAGGTTTGACACGTGTCGCCCATCCGAAGAGGTTGCATCCACAGCTGCCACGTGGCTCGAGCGCAGAGCCGCAACGGTTTGCCCCACTGCCCGCATCTCTTGCTGGAGCTTCGCAATCGCTGGAGAAGATGACCGGCGCGGGTCAACCTGCAGCCGCGTTGGCAGACCACTGCCCGTCACAAAACCCTGCTCGCCAAAACTAAGGCGCCCCAAAACCGTCTCCTCAAAACCCTCTCGCCGTCCAAGCTCGCCCCCACGCGACGCTTCTTCACCGTCCGCAAAACCAGAGACCGTCCGCACTTCGTCTCTGGAGGACCGACGCACAGTCCGCGACTTCAGTGAACCTTCATTTGCTCCCGGCGCGTCCGTTAACCCCCCCGGGTTTGGACTCGGTTCAGTATCGTTGCCTCTCCGTGCGACAATTGCCTCCGAAGATCCTCATTCTCGTTCGCCAACTTCCGTAACAGCGCCAAACCGTCGGTGCCCAAACCCCCAAACCCTCCGACGTTTCTGCCTGCGTCCCCAAACCCTATCTCTTCGTTCTGCGTGGCCCCTAATCCTAAACCTTCGGCTTGAGCGCGCGCGTTCTCGAGGATCTCCGCAAGGCGCGCCACTTCCGCCTTTCGTGCGGACAGCTCCACACGCAGCGCGGACGCCTCTTCCGTCCGAAGTCTCTCTTCGTGCGTCCGAACCGTCCGCTCCTCGCTCAGTTTCTCCACCTCTTTCTGGATGCTTTCCACTTCGCCCTTTAGCAACTCCACTTCCGCGTCCCGCGCCGCCAACGTGCTCTTCACGAAATGCGCATCGTCTCTCTCCCTTTCCCGCTCCTCCTTGACTTCTCGACTCTCATTCTCAAATTCCTCGACCTTTCGCCGGCTCTCTTCCAACAGCCCGTCCAGTCGCTCCACTTCTCTCCCATGCGCTTCGACCTGCTCCGCCAACTTTTGCGACGTGGCGTCGCCACGTGCTCTTCCATCGTCCGCAGGGCGTCCAGAAGCTCCGCGACCTTGGCCTCGTACTCGCCCAGCAGCTGCTGACGTAAGGACGCCTCGGCCTCCGCCTTGTCGCGCTCCAGGGCCGCGAGGGCGGCCGCGTTGGCGCCCTGCAGGAAAGGAGTGAGAGTTGTGGAGCGGTCTGACTGAAATTTTCGAATGACTTTGTTGACACCTGATAGGGTTCCCGACGAACTGAGTTGAGACTACTATTCTGGCCCTCGAACCAGGTTGGCGAGGTTGAAGCAATCACCGGGATGCCGCTTGAAAATCAACGTTGACTGAGCCTCTGCCACATCTTTATCTCCCACTTATCAGGTCAGCCACTGTAGGGCTTCCCGACCACTGCTGAGTCTAGTCTCAAAAGGGTCCGAGGGTTCTCTGCTGAAAACCCTTAGAGCCTGCAAAGTTCTTCCTTGTTGTCTAGTCTCACATTGTTGGGTGGAATTCTTCCTTGTCATGCGCTGTCTCATCTCAATCTGACATCTTCAGTTTTGGAGCTTTCAAGCTTCGGGAGCTCAGTCCTGCCCAAAAGGTGTCGGGGTTCATCATCAAAGCTTTGAGTCTCTTGTGAGCCTAGAATACTTACCCTGTTCTGCTTCTGGTGCCGTTATCCGACTTCTAAGATGCATGCAACTGCATAACCCGTTTCCAGACGGTTCCCCTTTTCCTGTTGAGTCTGACGGGTTGCTGTCTATCTCTGTGGTCTGAAAGGCTTTTCCTTTCAGTTGCCGTTTTCTCCTCTAGTTCTTCCATGTGTTTCTCTCGCTTTCCGCCACGCTTGAATCTGCTTAGGCAAGAGTCTTCACCAATGCTCCGAAACATGAATGATATATAGCTGTCGAGTGGCCATTGAAGTTTGCTCTCGACGAGGCTTGAACTTAGCTAATCTCGATGCTCTGTAGAACTGTGGGATAAGGTGTCACTCAAAGCCGAGTTCGCGTGATGAGTCTAATGCTACAATGCAGGAGCCCAGAATCAAGCTTTGAACGAACGGACGAATCTTGATTGCCCTCGTGTGATTCAACTTCTTTTCTTTTAAGCAGGACTCTTTGGCACAGCGCCGGCGCCCATCACGTTCTTCAAGGTCGTGCATTGGCGCTCACGCGAGTTCAAGAACAAGATCGACAATCTGAGTCATCGGGGGCTGGGACGGACGTCTTCGCGAATGTTAAAATCAATGTGGAGCCGTTCGACGTCAAGCCCAGGTGCGCGGGGAGTGCATCGTCCAGATCGTCAAAATGGCTTTCTATTTTTGATCCCGCTTCCGGCGTCAGCGTTTGTTTTGGTGCCGATGAGCCAGCTTTGGCAGGTAATTAGCTAGTTCCGGAACCCCAAGAACTGAGTTCCAAGACGATCTGACCAATTCACTACAGTGGTTTCAGACTGCTTTTGATCTTGGGCAATCATGCCGAAGTGAAGCATCTGAACGTGATTCAACCCGCCTTTCGCCTTTGGTACCTGTGCTTTTGTCATTGAGTCTTTCACAGAGGCCCTGAACTCTTCCACTGAAGCTCGGAGGTTGGGAAACACTCTGAAATCAGAGCTTCTCCCCTCTGGCACGTGAACCATATACGAACCGAGAAAGAAATCGGGCCTTTCGCAGGCGGCCCCGTACATTGGCAACTCTGTCCTTTAAGTCTTGGAAGTCGTCCCCAACTTGTGCGCCTCATCTTCTGCGTCCGCCGCCACATCAGCAGCCACGCTGGACTCTGCGTTCTCTTTCAAATACTCCCTCGACGCATTCTTTCTTTGGCTCCACAGAAGGCTGCTTTAACAGCGACGCTCGCATTCTCTCCCAATGGGCTTTGTAGTTTATCCCATCGATATCGCCTGTGCAATCCCTTGCAACCCTTTACAAAACTTTACAACGACCCGGCACAGCAGGATCAGAAACATAATACCATTCCTTCCTCAAAATCTCAACACGCAGACTACTACGACCAGACCCTGGAACCCTCAGGTAATTTACCTGCAGATTGTCGGCGACGCGCGCGCGCTCGTCCAGACGGCAGCATCTCCCAGCCGACGTCCTGCGCGAGCGGCTTTTTCCGGGGGTTCCGGACGTCCGGCTGCGGTTCTTCTGGTGCGGACACATCGTACCCGGGAGAGTATCTTACCCGCCGCGCTGCGCTAGGTGCCCACCGGACGGCTGTTCGACGGCGGTTCGAGTTCCGACTAGGTGAGAAACCGTCTCGCTTCTTCTTCTGGAGATGTTGCCTTCAGACGCACGACCGGACGACGTAACTCGAGTCGAGCACTCGACGTTCCTTAACACGGAACCGGAGCGAATGGAAACACTCACGGATTTGGCAGTCAGTCGCCGACCAATTACAGCTTGCCATGTCAGCACTCAGAGGTAGATGGAGCAGCTTTTCCACCGCCAAAAGAACGGCCCTTCGAGTGGGCATCACGTTAGCATGTTTCGAACAAGTCTTTTCTTTTTCCTGGAACCTGGAGAGACTTCAGAGCATACGACACACTTGAGCTTTTCTCCCACCTCTAGTTACAGTAGAAGCAGCAATTTTCTCACATACGCGACTAAGCGACTCGGCCTTTTGAAAGTAAGGCAGGAATATGAAATTGACTCGCGGAGGGACTGCTCTTAATCTCCCCTCGTGCATCGAGGAACCTAACCGAGTCCGGCTTTCTCTTGTCTGTTCTGCAGAGATTGCCAAGGATGGTGTACGTCAGCATGGCCTTTGGATCTGCAGAGCGTGGTCCCTCACGGAGGCACACAAGAGCTCGGCGGGACAAGTCTTCTGCAGTAAGGTGAATAATACTTCCTCTAGCATAGTAGCCGACTTCGTTTCGGGTGACTAGGAAAAAACGTTTTTAAGAGCAGACGCTTCGCAATTTCGCACTTCCGTTCCACGTCCCTCAGCCCCTTTCTCTATCTCGGCCTGTAGTATGAGGAAGGTCCAGATGTAAAGTCAAAAACCAACAAAACGTCAGACTCTGATCAAAGTCTTTCACTGTTTACGTGCGGCAAAGACACAAAAGACCCTGAGCGCAAGAACGGAAGCGTCGAACTTCATCTACAAGCGAACTTTTTGGCTCGGCTCAAAGCTAACACTATGATGTTCTTTCTTGTGCAGGTTACAAGTACATATTACATCGAGTGCGGCGTAGTTGACCTAGCTAGGGCTCGGGCAGGACGTTCGTCGAAACAGTGAAGCGATATTCTTGTGAAAAAACACTGGCTGGAAATGCGCCTCTACACTCGGTACTCATTGACCTCTCAAGCTTCTTTTGCCTCGAAAGTCGTTGTTTAACCCACGTAAGTGGCTCACATTCACCGCATTTCCAGTCGTCGAAGCTGTGACGCTTTGTTCCATCTTGTCGTCGGGCGCAACGCCGGCCGGTGTTCTGTCTTGCCTTTTGTCTTGCATCTTCTGCGTTTCCACGCTCTTCGACGTGGGCTGTAGCTGTCAATCAATCAAAGTCATGTTTACCGTCGTACCAAGTCAAAGCGTTGTCTTGCAAGGCTTTCGGGGTTATTGGCTCCCATTCTGTTCTTAGCCGCGAGTCCTGTTTCCTCGTGAAAGCTGCTCGTGTTGTTTTGGATTTGAATCCGCTCGCTTTGGAGTTCTTCTAGCTTTTCGCTGACTTTCTTCGATTCTGATTGCTCTTCGCTGTGAGAAAGACGCAAGCTTGCGTTAGTGCTCCATTGCTGAAGCATACGCCCTTCGATTCTCATCAAAAGTACCTGGTTTTCGTTATCCTCAACCCGCCGTTAACCAGGCGACAACCAGGGGTTAACGGATCTCCGGTTGACCCTCAACCCGCCCCGGTTGACGGTCAACCGTGCTCTGGTTGAAGTGTCAGTCAACCGGACCTGTCCCGGTTGACGATCAACCGATCCTGGTTGACGTCAACCAGTCCTGGATGAGACCTCTCAACCAGGCCCTGCCCGGTTGACGGTCAACCAGCCCCCGGTTGAGGCCCGTCAACCAGGCCGGGTCTGGTTGGCGCCTGGAAGAGATTGGTTGGCGCCTGGTTGAGAGTCCTGGTTGAGTGTAGAAACGCCCTGTGACGTACGGATGTCGGATTCGCCCAACCCGTTTTCGGCGCATACCTGACTTTATTCTGCTTCTCTTTCCTATCCACTAATGGCGCTTTGGCAGCTGTCTGCAGCGGCACTTTGACCGCTGGCTTTGCCGCTCTGAGGGGAGCCGTCCCGCTGGATTGCCCCCACTTCCTTCCGTAACCAAACGGTTGACTTGAAGAACATGCTTTTCCGTTCGCACTCCTAATTGGCAACTTGTCGACCGAATGCATGCGCTGCGCTGCTTGCACGGTTGCACCACTTCGGCCGCTACCAACCGTCGCTGCGTCCATTGAAACCAAGCGTCTTCTACCCGGTTCGTTTTCGCTCTGCTCCAAACAGGTCGCTAAGTCGGTCCACGTCAGCAGCGGCCCAAGGGGGATCCCCCTCGCCTGCCCCGAGTGACTTTCTGTCGCCACTGCTTCGCGGGAAACACTTCCCGACGGCTCGACGCCTCCCGTCGAATCTCCGTCCGCCCACCGCACTGAAGACCGGCCTTCCTTGCTGACTTCCGCTCTTTCAATCACAAGACCGATTCCTGATTCCGGCCCCTTCTGCTCCGTTCCTAAGGCCGGAAACCCCTTGCTTCCGCTCCTGAGGGCAGCCAGCTCCGCCCGCGCGTCCGCAATCTCTCGTTGGAGAAGTTCCGACGGGACAAGCACTGGACCATTCCGTTCCGGTCCCCTGAGGTCGTTCGGTGCTCCATATCACCCTCGGTCGAAATCTCGCCCGCCTTGGTTGCCAAAACCTGCCCGCCACTCACTTCTCTATTACTACCGCAGGTGACAAGCTGCTGCGCTCCGTAGGCGGAACCGGAACCGGAATCGGGACCGGCGTCGATCTCAACTTGAGCAGCTCGCGGGTCGGCTGGGCGAACCTCTCTTGCAGGGCGGCCACGTCAGCAGCCGTCCCCGCTGACGCAGCTTTGACGGCTCCCTGTCAAGATGCGCAGCTTTTCTATGTCTACGCTATTGGGCTCCCAAAGCCCTCGGCAAACCTCTCGACGGGTTCGCTTAACCGGCGGGACTTACCCATGCCCTCACCTCGCCCGCTAAACCTGCTCCTGTGTTAGCAAACGGTGCATCGACTTGCCGCCGCGCCTGTGCCACAGCACGAAATTCTGCTCGCTGCAGCCTGAGGCTGTCGACTTGGGCTTTCAGCACAGCCACGCTTTCCTTCATACTTCATTTGCTGGATACACCCGAATTTAAAGACTCGATTTGCGCTGCCCTTTCCCCACCTTGGTTCTCACCCTTCTCAGTGCTTCGCAGGTCTGTAGGCTCAAGTCGAGTGACCAGCCGGTGTCTGGGGCGGCCAAGCTTTGCACTTTGGCAGCCTTCAAAAAGCTGAAGCCACTTGTCGCAAAGAACATGCAGTCGAAAGTCCGTTCTCGGATCCGGTTCCGTTTCCGTTCCCAAGACAGATCTTGCGCGAGCCGTCCGGCCTGCGTACACTCAAGTTTGATTCTCGATTGATACAGGAAGTTTTCGCAGCTAACCAGGCCTGGTTAGCACCCTGGTTAGGGCGCTAACCAGGGCGCTGACCAGGGTCTGGTTACATTCCCGTTTACCAGACCCTGGTCAGCGGGTTGACCAGGGTCTGGTCTAGATTTAACATGGGTCTGGTTAGATACAACCAGAGTCTGGTCTAGGGTCTGGTTAAGCCCTCAACCAGACGATGGGTAGGAATTAACCAGACTCTGGTCAAGCGGCAACCAGGGTGTGGTTAGATCTTAGCCACTGTGTGGTCAATTAGCGACCAGATGTCGGTTAATGGTCAACCAGAGTCTGGTACTCGGACAACCGGAGCCCTGGTTAAGTGGTGCAACACAGCCTGGTAAATCAGGCAACCAGGTTCCAAGTGACAAACGCCTCCACAGAACAAT